ACTGCACCCCTGAGACTCACAGCACACACACACTGCACCGCTGACACTCACAGCACACACACACACACACTGCACCCCTGACATGAACAGCACCCTCAATCACACACACTGCACCCCTGACACAGCACACACACACACACACACACTCACATCACCCTCACTCACACACACACACTGCACACCTAACACTTATAGCACCCTCACACACACACACACACACAGACACTACACCCCTAACACTTACAGCACCCACACACTGCACCCCTGACATGCACAGCACACACCCTATCTGGCCCCGCCCCCTTTGTAGTGGGCCGCTGTAATTAAAAAATGCCCGGGCCGAATTATCTTCCCAGTCCGGCCCTGGATGTAGGATATGGCAATGCTTGTGTGGGATGCGTGTGGCTTACTTCAAAATGTGACGTTGGGATTAGCCTCAGTAATGCTGTTTAAAGTATGCATTAACCCATAGAGTGTTACAGAGCTTAGCAATGTACAAGAGGAATAAAACAGTTAACGTGAGCTGAAGGGTACAGTCCTGAATTCTATGGGTTAACAGATCGGCCATGTGAATACAGTATACCTGGTGGTTTACTATAGGACTTGTTCCTCACCTGTAGACACTGCAAGGATTCTGCGGTTTAGACCTGAAAACACAAATCATATATATTAACGTTATTATATAAAAACGGAGACATCCAGTAGCTCATCAACATCAAAACATAACCTCACTTTACATATCAAACTGGCTGTAAGTGAATTAAACCATGATCGGACGAGATGCTCTGCTAACTTCACAACCAATTTACAACATTTATTTGATGAGTTTACTATTTGTGGTTCGATTACATTTTGTAAGATTATTCATCATGACTCCTATCCCCTCTTGTTCCTGTCCACGGGTCACAAACACTTACCTATCCAGGGACCTTTAAAACCTCAACCTAACCTTCTCCCAACTGGGATATATCAGCCTCCTTTACCCCTCTTACAAAATGGTATTAAGGCCATATAATGCATTAGAATAATGGGACACTCCACTGCCCAAATAAATAAATAAAATCACTGTTTAGTAGATCTACTCCAAACACGCATGCATGCATTTAATTGAGCTAAACAAACCAGGAAGTGACAGGATCGATTGTCTGATTGACAGCCAGGGAGTGTAACAAGGTTCATTTCTAAAAGTTCATTTTTAAAGGTTTCAATTGCTATTGAAATCTGAACTTTTACTAAAATATAAAAAAGAAGACACATTCTTCACACATACAGCATGTTAGCAAGATAAAGTGCTGTAGGTGTTTGGAGTTCTGTTAACCACTTACCTCCCAGCAGAAACATAAGGCTGAGTGTGAGACTGCACCTCATCTTGTAGCATTGATTCGTATTAAATTGAGTCTCTGACTCTCTCTCTCTCTTTATAATGATGTCTCTCTTTTTTCACGTCTACCTTTCCGTTCCCATTTCTCCCTCTGCACCTTGCATTTGTATAAATTTGCGTAGCAAATCCTATGAATAGCGAGAGTATTTCCTTAAACCCACACATCTATCGCTCCCTGTGTATTTACAAGTATTTATTAAAATCAGTATGGATCTCTCCCTGGAGAGACAATGATAATTATTAACCCTATAACTACATTAACATAAATTAACCTGAAACCGAGTCTTGCCCATTAGGCGCGGACTCCCACTGAGTGTGGTTATTACAAATCTATATAAATATCACTGACTTAGCACGAGGCATGGAAACAACTCACATCATGCTCAGCCAAAGATCTACATGTAGAATACCTCTGCAGTGACACCTGGTGGACAGATGTGGTGCAGCACTAATTGATGAGTATGCAGTCCAGAGTGAGTTTACATTCAATTCCTTGATTAAAAAACAAGATAAGAGTTATCCATTCTTTGTAAAACCATACAGGCTTATTCAATAAAAATAAATTGCAGGCAACTCACAAGAATAATGCATCTCAAACAGGGTTCTTCACAAAGGTAAGAATTGTCAGGAATTCAAAGTAAATTTACATTTTCAATAAAAATAACCGAAGTGAAAAAACTCTCCAACTCCGCTATGTTTCCAGCTCAGCTATTTTTGTCCCCATCTATATCACTCAATAGATGGGGACACCAACCCGGATTACTTGAAGGGATCCTGCAGTAAAACCAGCTACGAGTACCAGCCGTGGTGGACGGTGGATCTAAGACGTAGCTATGGGATCTTTAACGTGACAATCACCAATCAGGCCCAAACTGTATCCACCCAGCTGCAGCCATGGGCAGAGATACACGTTGCGGACAGTGTGGACATTGGACATTTCACTATCCAAATATAAAACAAAATCAATGTTTAGTGTAGATATAGCCACAATGAAAACATGAATGAATTTAATTATTTTTCCATTAGAATTATATCTATGGTCTTTGCAAGTCCTCCCCTTCTAGTCCCTCCCAGACTTTATGTGACTTTCCAATCACAGACTCCCCAATGCAGCTCAATGAAAGACTTTGTCAGGCAGGTGCTCTGAGCAATTGCTGCCTCTTGAGTTTAGCTCCACTAAACTAACCAAACCAGGAAGTGACAGGACCAGTAGTCTGATTGGCAGACTTGGTGGAAAGAGAGCTCAGCACAAGTTCTGTGTGTGACAAGCAGACGTTGCAAGCAATACTTGGACAAAATTAACTCAGGCAAGCTGGAGCTATCCTTCTGGGCTTCCTGATTGACAGCTCTTGGGGTCAGGCCTACTGCTGTGTGATGTGGTATTCAATGCTTGCCTCGCACATATTATGGATAAGGTCATAGTCAGCCAATGACCACATGAACCCTGAACAGAATACAACTATGCGTTACCTTACAGAGGACAAAAAGATTTCGATCTTTCCGACCCAGTTAAGGGTTAAACCTGGGTTTTACCAGGAAAGGCACATCCTCTATATGACGAACCTTCTCAGAAACCAAGAGGATGTTTACATATTACAAAACAATATAGCATTGGGCTCCTGAGTCACTATTACGGCCCACTCAAACTAGTTAATCTGTTTAATTACATCTTGTTTTATTACTCGGCATTAACCCAACTTTAACGCAAAGCAGGTTTTTAGAACATCACTTAGCAGAAAATGATTTGTGTTTTGCAATTCCTTATTACGGCTCTTGGTGTGTTGGTTTATTGGGGATGTTAAATTCTAATTGATAGTTCACAATTGACCAGTGTAATTATATTCTTTTGTATTGTAATTAACAGGATGTTGTAAATATTGGGTGTGGATATGAGAGATAGGTGATCACGTAGGGGTTTTATCATTAGGCAAAGTGGGAATTCATCACTGTCCCAAAAAAGGAAGAGATTAGCTACGATTGCACTAAAAAAACTAAAAAAATAAGCGGAAAAAAGGTGGTCAGTGCAGGAACATACATTGCTTAAACATGATTGGCCGACATCACAGGTATCCAAATTAAGTGAAGGGCTACAACTCAACAGTGACATTTTGTTTTGTTTTTGCATGATGTAACGACACCCTCGGCATAAAAGGGTTAAACCGCCGTTTAGTAGATCTTCCCTTCCAGAGACACAGGCACAGCTACTGCAGAACACCAATCCGCCGAACAGGAAACCATACGAATGCTGTAAACAGCCGAATAGGAAAAACCATACGAATAGGTTTACACGCCTAGCAGTCAAACTGGAACAGCATACAGTAAATCCCCCCAAAAACGAGACAAAGCTCTGTGTTGAGGGTCAAGCAGTGAACAGTCAGACCTGTGGGTTTATTGTGCTTATGTACACATTCTTACACATTAGTACCACCCACAGGGTTTTGGAACACAACCAATAAACATATACAATACACTCAGACACTCCCACACAAAATCCTCCCCTCTGCCTGTGATACAATTACCTTACACAATGGGTAATGTAATTATAACAAGCAGAGAAATACAATTTTTCCACATTATTAATAACTTGAAAAGTATGCATCACATTCACATAAAACTTACATTTTCAGAATCAGCATACTCCAAATATGTCAAATTCATACAAATTGGTCCAATGGTTCAAAAGATAGATCGTAGTCCTTTGTGACCAAAGGAAGCATGGTTTTTCTGCCCAAAACCAGTTCCACAGAGTCTTCTATCCTGGAGATAATTGGGAAGTAATCCAATTATCTCCAAGGACAGAGGCAAAACTCCATTGAACACATGGCAGCAAAAGACAATAAAACACATAAAAACATATAACTGTGCAGCCATTGCACAAAACAGGTACATTCAACATATCCCCAGATAGCTCAGATCTGAGCGCACATTATTACTGAATGGCGCTCAGAGCACACACATACAGTTCAATTGCCATGGAGCCAAAGTCTTTCCCATAGTCTTTCATTATACGAATGGGCTCCATGGCATAGCTATCTGGGGTATCACAGCTCAAACAGGGCAAGCACCAAATGACCCGGCTTTCATGTCTTTGCAGGGAAAAATCAAGCCTTTTAACATGGGGCCATAGTCCAAAGGCAGCAGGCGGGCAACCAGGCTTCTCCAATGCAATGTGGCGAGCTTGGTCTCGTCACACATGACTTGATGGCTAATTAATAATTATGGGGAGTTATCAGACACAGAGTTGCCACGTTTCCTTTGCAGAGTGACATCTAATCATCTGTGGAAGATCATGTAAGAATGCAATCTACTCAAGAGATCTTCTTGTGCATGCGCAACAAAACCCTATAAATGTAGATTTTTAAACAATTTGTATATGTGTGAGAAGATGCCTCCCTGAAAATGATATTTAAAGGAAAGGGCTAGTTAAGCATGTAGCTCCTTTTGCTACATTTAGCCAATAATTGGTGCGGTGAAAAACAAAACAGTCAGTATCTTGACATCTTTTGATGACGCTAGAATTTTGGTGAGATGCTAAATTTGTAAATAACCCAAAAGTGACAGTGCTGTGTAATGTCAAAAAACAAACGTCTTACCGAGGAACTCCCTGAAAAGTCTGGGTCCAGCCCTCTAATAAAGAGAGGTGTGATGTCGTGTCGTGGTTCCCCGTACTCCCCTTTGGCTACAAGAGAATAATCCATCTGTCAGACAGTAACAGTTTAAATAACAATATTACACAACAATGTAATAAGAAGACAATATGTAGCAGACATTGATATAAACTGGAAACGCCCTAACAAAAACACTAACAGTCAATCAGTCTGTGTTTTGCCAAAAGGCACTTAAAGGAAAAATATCACAAATAAATAATAGCTTATTTTAAATTGCAGCATATAGCGTAAAGTGCATATTGGTTAAATCCCTTTATTTGGGTTTTAGCTAAAGGACCATTAAAGTCACATCTCAATGAAGTAGTCTGGGTACAGTGGTCCTGTCATTTTAACCATTTAAGGTAAAGCATTGCCGTTTTGAAGAAATGGCAATGTTTACCTTGTAGAGGTAAACACACCTCCAGTGGCTGTTACACTGACAGCCACTAGAGGTACTTCCGCTGCAACGACCAAGTAAAATTCAGTAACGTGAAATAGAAGCACCCGTAGGAAAGCATTGATTAAATATTTTTCGTCAGGAAAGCTTGGATTTGAGTACGGCCAGCGCTTCTGATTTTCAGTGCTCCACTGTAAGGAGCATTGGTTTGGATCTTCACCGGAGGAGGCATTGCCTCCTGCAATGAACACATGGGAAGAGGAGAAAGGCGTGTCAAATCCTGAATTTTATTATTTTTATGGCACACACGGTGGGTAGGGACCCCTATAACTACGAACAGGGAGAACAATATAAACCTGTATTCCTTGCACTTTAGAGTTCCTTTAATGATCGTCCCTCCAGTGTGAGCACAGTCAGACTGTCTAACTATATGAATCAGTGGCGGCAGACTGATACGCACTGCTTAGAGAAATACGCTGCCCCGCACTCACTGACTGGAGAGATTCCGTAGGTAGAATTAGAACCACTGATACCTAATGCATTTAGAAAAATTGCATTCAGTAATGTTTCATTTGACCCTGTAAGTGTCAAACCTTAAGAAATCAACACCACTATATCCTGGAACTGTGTGCCTCCATCTTGGATCACTGTCAATCATTTTCATAGGTGCTGAACATGTTTCTTCTCCTTCGATGCAAAGTGTGCCTTGTCTATGCCAGGATTGAACTGGATTCTGATATTGTGTGATAAATCCCAAATACACATGTAAAATAAAATGGAACATCTCACAAAAAAAAAAGTTAACACAGTTTATAAGGGAATTTCAATGGTTTATTCAGCGTGTGATTTTGAGAGAAGTGATTGTACCTCGTTAAAATAATTTTTTTTTTGTAGAAATTATATAATTGCGACCATAAATCATAAGTTCAGCGTAACTCATAGAAATTTGCTCCAATGTGTAGGTATTTTCAAGCACTGACAAACCCTCAAAAATTCTTTATCCTGTAATATTTTCACATTATTGAAAAGTATTCCAATCCACGCAAGACAACCTGATGTTTTATAATGAAAAAAAGTAACATTTAATTTGCAGTCCAAATAAGTTAGGTTAAAGTTATACACCATATAAATACCATAATCACTACAGGGACATAGGAGCCCTTTAGCACCATCCAAGTGTAAGGTCAAACCATTTTTAGCTGAGATGATACCTATCTTTCTCTGTCATCTCCACAGTCCCTCCAGTCTGCAATGATATGTTAAAGTGGGACTTTGTATGTCTACACTAGCATATTAATTCTGGACATTAATTGTTGGCTAAGAACTAAGGTGTTAGCAAATCAAAGGGGACGGGAAGGACTGTGGGTGTCTGACCAGGTAAGTTTTCATCAATTATTAACTTGTTTGACAGCTTACTATGGGATGGTGATAGGTAAATCCTGGAACCATAACCACTATAGCATGCCGTAGTCACTACAGATCTTACCCTATTCCTTCAAACTGAGTTGAATAATTTCCATTGGAATATGCCAAGTCATACTTTGTAGATGTTAAGGTCACTTCATTGGGCTATGCAATCTAACTGTTAATGTAAATACATAAGCCATACATTCTTATGATGTCGAGAACATTTTCTTACGTTAGGAAGATGAACGAAGAGCGATGAGTGAGTCTTACTGGGAAAATAAGATTAAATGAGTGTTGGGAAAGATCTAATCCATAAAAGGTTACGTTATAATCTGGGATTAGGCATATTCCTTTGAAGTAAACAAAAAATAGTCATAATAAGGTCATTTAACTGTCTCACCTCTCGCATTACGTTACAATGATTTACGTAATGTTGATCGTATGCTGAAGATAATATTGAAGGTAACCGGAAAGTAAACATATTGGCAGAGTCTGGTCATATGTGATGGGAAGTCCAGGCAAATGACATGAAGCATGATGAATCTCTATTCACAGAATCCATTATAAATACAATGTATTAGGAAATTAAATCGAATAACACTAACCATAGTCACAAGTTTAATATCAGCCTTATTTCTGCTTTTGAATAATCTCACTAAAGAAAAGCTTTGGCCTGTTTGCTTTATATTGAATTTATAAGGATAACTAATATAGACTGTGTTGGAATTTCAGGAGATTTCCAAAAGAATCTAATTGACATCAGGCAAAGGACGGACTATTTGGTTTTATATAAGCACCAGATTTTTGTGAAATGTGTCATGAGTGGAGCTTTAAGCAGCTTCCGCTTTTACATCTTACCATATTCTGTCAGCTGTCACAGGAAGTTATATGCAGGTGCGAAAGATTAGTGCGTACATGCAGGGCGGGTGCAAGGATTTTTGGGTACACAGGCGAAGATGATTTTGGCCCCCCCCTCCCCAAAAAACATCTTCACCTGTTTGCCTCTTAACCCGCCTTTTGTTTCGTATCCCATTTTTTAAATGTCTTACCCCCTTTAGTGTCTTATCCCCTAGTTTTTCCCCATTGTGTGTCTTACACCTTCCTTGTGTATCTCTTACTACCCCCTTTATATTGTTTACTCCCCCCAGCCTTTTTGTGTGTCTCCTTCTCTCCAAGCCCTTTGTGTCTTTTACTCTTACCAGCTCCTTTGTGTATTTCTCTTTCACCACCAACCCGTATATCTCCCGCCCTCACAACCCCTCGGTGTCTCTTTTTCCTCTTCTCCAACCCTCTGTGTCTCTTTCACCCCCAGCCCCTTTGTATTTCCACTCACAGGCCCTTCTGTGTGGCGCTTTAATCCCCAGCCCCTCTGTGGTCTTTCTCACCCCCAGGCCCATCTGAGTCTCTTTCTCCCCTCTCATGTCCCTCTGTCTGTCTTTCTCCCCACTCAGGCCCCTCTGTGTGCCGTGTCACTTAGTGTTCTTCTCACCTCCAGTCCATGTCCATTAGTGGTCCTCTCCTCTCCATGTCCCTTAACAGTCCTCTCCCCTCCATGTCCCTTAGTGTTCCTCTCCCCTCCCTCCACTGTCCCTTAGTGTTCCTTTCCCCCTTCCTCCACTGTCCCTTAGTGTTCCTTTCCCCTCCCTCCATTGTCCCTTAGTGTTCCTTTCCCCTCCCTCCACTGTCCCTTAGTGTTTCCTCCACTGTCCCTTAGTGTTCCTTTCCCCTCCCTCCATTGTCCCTTAGTGTTCCTTTCCCCTCCCTCCACTGTCCCTTAGTGTTCCCCTCCCTTCTCTTTTAGTGGTCCCCCCACTACCCTAGTGTTCATTTTCCCTTCCCTTCCCTTGCCTGTACCTTAGTGCCCTCCTTAATGTTCCTCTCTCTCCCCCCCTGTGTTCCTCTACCATCCCTCTTTTTTAGTGTTCTTCCCACCCTCCTCTGTCCCAAAGCATTCTTTCCCCCGTCCCCTGTCCCATAGTTTTCTTCCCCCCCATGGTGTTCCCCCCCCCCATAGTTTTCCTCCCCCCATAGTTTTCCTCACACCCCATAGTTTTCCTCCCCCATAGTTTTCCTCACACCCCATAGTTTTCCTCCCCCCATAGTTTTCCTCACACCCCATAGTTTTCCTCCCCCACTCTCCTACCTTTCTTGTAGAGTGGGTGAGCAGAGCAGACTGCGGTGCAGGAGCTTCAGTTTCCTGTACCCAGCTGGACTGACAGAAAGTTCTCTCTCAGTGAGCACTTCCTTTCAGTCCGGGTGGGTACTGGAATCAGAAGTTCCTGTACCGCAGTGCGCACTGCTCTAATCGGCCACGCTACACTGAGCGCGGGCCCTGCAGACATGCACTTCTAGTAAATAAGTATATGCGTTGATATTTTTTTATAATTTCCCTCTTTTCTAGGAGCTCCATATTGTTGGAGTGTATAACAGAGCTCCACAGCAATAATACTCCCAGTAATGTGTCTGAGTGTATAACAGAGCTCCACAGCAATAATACTCCCAGTAATGTGTCTGAGTGTATAATGAAGCTCCACAGCAATAATACTCCCAGTAATGTGTCTGAGTGTATAACGAAGCTCCACAGCAATAATACTCCCAGTAATGTGTCTGAGTGTATAACAGAGCTCCACAGCAATAATACTCCCAGTAATGTTTCTGAGTGTATAACAGAGCTCCACAGCAATAATACTCCCAATAATGTGTCTGAGTGTATAACAGAGCTCCACGGCTATTATACTCCCAGTAATGTGTCTGAGTGTATAACAGAGCTCCACAGCAATAATACTCCCAGTAATGTGTCTGAGTGCATAACAGAGCCCCACAGCAATAATACTCCCAATAATGTGTCTGCCTGTATAACAGAGCTCCACAGCAATAATACTCCCAGTAATGTGTCCGAGTGTATAACAGAGCTCCACAGCAGTAATACTCCCAGTAATGTGTCTGAGTGTATAACAGAGCTCCACAGCAATAATACTCCCAGTAATGTGTCTGAGTGTATAACAGAGCATTACAGCAATAATACTCCCAGTAATGTGTCTGAGTGTATAACAGAGCTCCACAGCAATAATACTCCCAGTAATGTGTCTGAGTGTATAACAGAGCTCCACAGCAATAATACTCCCAGTAATGTGTCTGAGTGTATAACAGAGCTCCACAGCAATAATACTCCCAGTAATGTGTCTGAGTGTATAACAGAGCTATACAGCAATAATACTCCCAGTAATGTGTCTGAGTGTATAACAGAGCTCCACAGCAAAATACTCCCAGTAATGTTTCTGAGTGTATAACAGAGCTCCACAGCAATAATACTCCCAGTAATGTGTCTGAGTGTATAACAGAGCTCCACAGCAATAATACTCCCAGTAATGTGTCTGGGTGTATAACAGAGCTCCACAGCAATAATACTCCCAGTAATGTGTCTGAGTGTATAACAGAGCTCCACAGCAATAATACTCCCAGTAATGTGTCTGAGTGTATAACAGAGCTCCACAGCAATAATACTCCCAGTAATGTGTCTTTAAACTACAATAAATGTGTTTAGAAATCAGTCTGTGCAAATAAGAAACAGTGTTCTTCTTCTAAATGACATTTTAGTTACATAGTTACATAGCTGAAAAGAGACTTGCCTCCATCAAGTTCAGCCTTCCTCACATTTGTTTTTTGCTGTTGATCCAAAAGAAGGCAAAAAAATCCAGTTTGAAGCACAATTTTGCAACAAGCTAGAAAAAAAATTCCTTCTTGACCCCAAAATGGCAGTCAGATTTATCCTTGGATCAAGCAGTTATTACCCTACATTGAAAGATTATATCCTTGAATATTCTGTTCTTGCAAGTATGCATCTAGTAGCCGTTTGAACATCTGTATGGACTCTGATAAAACCACTTCTTCAGGCAGAGAATTCCACATCCTGATTGTTCTTACAGTAAAAAAACCTTTCCTTTGCCTTAGACGAAATCTTCTTTCTTCCAGTCAAAACGCATGGCCTCGTGTCCTATGTAAAGTCCGGTTTGTGAATAGATTTCCACACAATGTTTTGTATTGGCCCCTAATATATTTGTATAATGTTATCATATCCCCTCTCAGGCGACGTTTTTCTAAACTAAATAGGTTTAAATTTGTTAACCTTTCGTCATAGCCGATATGTTCCATTCCTTTTATTAATTTTGTAGCCCGCCTCTGCACTTTTTCTAGTGCCATAATATCCTTCTTTAGAAAAGGTTCCCAAAATTGCACAGCATATTCAATATGTGGTCTTAGTTCCATAAATTATTAGTAAATCTTCTACAATTTCTCAGAACAGCCCCGCTCTTACCCCCGTGCTTAAAGTTTACCTCTTTCTTTGTTCATTTCAAATGTTGTCAGGTATGAAGCAAACATTCAACACTGTAGTGTACAACTGTAAAATATATTTGATAAGATTTATATAACGAGAATTGCCTGATCGGTAATATCTGGTATCTCAAAATTATTTATACCTCAGGACCAGGGTAGTGAGTACAGATTAAAGACTGAAGATGGAATGGAAAATTGTGGCGGCCTACTCGCAGACGGCCCGAGAGTTGCCTTCAAGAACTGCTCTCCCTTTAGTGATTATAGCTCAGAGAAAATGGTGGGGTGATATAGCCGTAAAGCACCAGCCGAGACTTATTGTAGGGTGAACTTGTTTTATTGTGACAATGACAATTAATTTTCCATCATTTTTTCACCGATAATTTCCACCAACGGAACACGACCCTTGCCAAAAGAACTAATTTCAGGTCCAATTTAGACCATAAGAATTTTACAGATACAAATGCATTATTTTTACTATTAAATAGGAGCACAGTAGCCCTATGAAGGTGCTAGGGTCGTGGCAAAGGTCAGAATAGGTTGTGAAAAGTCTCTCTTGTATTACCACCTGTTAGCCACTTTATTATGGGTGGGTGGACGGACAGACAGAAGGAGGACAAATGGATGGATGTACAGGTGGACGGAGGGATGGATGCAAGAAAGGCTGATGTTAGCGGGTTCACAGCTAAGTTGATCGGTAGTAACTCACATGTTGTAGATAGGGTGGATCTATGTAAACATACGTTGATTTATGAGAATGACAGTGCAGTTAATAGGAATATTTATAGGATACCAGCTGACACATTTAAGGAAAGGATCTTCACAAGTTTTTGTATTCTGACGGAGCAGCATGTTCCCTCGAACCTAGGCATCGGATCCCTCCTAAAATCCAGTTTTTCGTGGAATTATTTTCTCTACTATTCTATGAGGCACTGATCGAAGACTAGGTTAAATGAAATCTTTGAAAAGGTACGTGCCTAATGGAACTTTAAATCTGCTACATCGTTATGGTAAATAGAATGGAAATAGTTATTGTGATCTCTCTTTAATGCACTGTGTAGGTTTAATGTTTGTATGAACATTTACAGGATACATTATACATGTACATACATATCCCGTGTTACATTCATGTCAATCTCTTCCTTATTCTAATTTGGTTTTTGAGAGATTTTTTTTACAAGGTATCTGTGTACACGTATTTTGTAAGTATTTGCGATTGATAACAGAAATTACGAAACAAGTATTACAATATGACTTTTCAAACATATTTATATATTTCCCCCTACAACTGCTCATGGACCAAGTGCTAAATCTGTGCAAAAATGCCTTACAGCTTTACTGAACGCTGAAAAGGGATTTGTGCACACATCTACAAAGTACCTCTGTGTGTTTAATCATGTGCATATTAAATGGCATGACAAGACGTGCTTACAAGAGATTCAACCGCACTGGACAGGACATATCTGGGACTGTCCCACTGAATTCGGGACAGTTGGCAGGTATGTAAATATATAGCCACACATAACGGCATGCAAATAAGATTTGTCTGAGCAGCACAGTGGAGCCCTCGTCCCCTCTTTTCCTAATCCTGCTGGAACCAGTGGCATTTGTTGGCACTTTCTCAATAATAAAAAATTAATTTGAGGATTCTATCTCCGGCGAGCCGTAGATAATTTAGTATCAGTCAGTCCATTATGGCAATTGCCAGTTTGCCACCATTTGTCTGGACACGTCAGGAAAAGCCTATAAACACCTGGGAGAATTTACAAGTGTTTAATGTACACCTCACACACTGTGTAATGCCTTTTAACATTGCCTAACTGGAAAAGATCTCATCCATAAATCCCTTGTTTGCAGGTGAGCAGGGCTCGGCTCCTCCCTGGCATTCATAAATGATGAGCAAAGGATGACAGGTTAATGACTGAGTTTTGTCTGTCATTAAAATCTCATTAATGGCTGTAAACTGCACCAAGTGTTTTTTTAAACAGTTTTCGTTTTTTTAAAGGGACTCAAAGTTTTATGTATAGAACAAGCATGGTGATCCACTTTTCAGTTGTAGAATTTGCTCATTGACTCATTTACATTAATAGATATAAAATAGAGTCAATTCTAAAACATCTTCACCAGGCTTTTCCCAGATTAAGATTGGGATTTACTGCACTGGGAAAGGCAATGTCACTGTAATAAATTACTTATTATGGGCCGCAGCCTTAAACCTGACAAACACAATGAGCCTCGCTCAGCCAACAGGACCAGACTGAAAGTTAAAGGGACACTATAGTCACCTAAACAACTTTAGCTTAATGAAGCAGTTTTGGTGTATAGAACATGCCCCTGCAGACTCACTGCTCAATCCTCTGCCATTTAGGAGTTAAATCCCTTTGTTTATGAATCCTAGTCACACCTCCCTGCATGTGACTTGCAGAGCCTCCCATAAACACTTCCTGTAAAGAGAGCCCTATTTAGGCTTTCTTTATTGCAAGTTCTGTTTAATTAAGATTTTCTTATCCCCTGCTATGTTAATAGCTTGCTAGACCCTGCAAGAGCCTCCTGTATGTGATTAAAGTTCAATTTAGAGATTGAGATACAATTATTTAAGGTAAATTACATCTGTTTGAAAGTGAAACCAGTTTTTTTTTTCATGCAGGCTCTGTCAATCATAGCCAGGGGAGGTGTGGCTAGGGCTGCATAAACAGAAACAAAGTGATTTAACTCCTAAATGACAGTGAATTGAGCAGTGAAATTGCAGGGGAATGATCTATACACTAAAACTGCTTTATTTAGCTAAAGTAATTTAGGTGACTATAGTGTTCCTTTAACCCCTTAAGGACGCATGACGTGTGACACGTCATGATTCCCTTTTATTCCAGAAGTTTGGACCTGGCGTCTAAAATGATATTTGTGCACGCACCTTGCTGTCCCTTCAAATGCCAAATAGTTTGAGTCAGACATATGTAAAAAGATTGGATACAATATTCAACAGTGTCACTTTGTTTGAAATTTATCTTTTTAAGGTTAGAGGGGCTTTCTGGTCTCTAATGGAGGTTTACTTAGTTTAATGATAATGACGTTCAATGTCCTCATGCTTTGTACGAGGAAGTCTAACGTCTTTAAATTTCATGCAGCAATGTGTTGATTCAATGCTTATTTATGGGGAAGCTTTAATGTGCGCGTTGAGCACCGCACATTATTATTGCCACATGCGCGTTAGATCTCACCATCCCCATGATGTCACAGGATGAGACCTAGCCAGAGTCGAGGTATATTCTACAACATATCAACATTTGTCATGATAGCTCTCTGTAGCAGTAGTGCTTCCATTGTTAATTGTCTACAATTCTGGACTTGCGAAGAACCCATTAGAATGACTGCACTAGGAAGAGGAGTTAAATGGAATCATATTTATGGGAGCATGCTGGACAGCTGAGACAGTTTCGTTCTGAGCTCACTGCAGATGCTGTAAAGTCTGGGGATATTCACCAAATACATTAACTTTAACAGTGTATATATTTTGAATTCCACGTTCTGGGTCTCCTCTAACCTAAAAGTCCTTTAAAGTGTAAAAACATTAGAAAAGTCCTGTTTACAAGAATTGGAGGTGAAACAGGAATATTGTTCCCCATTACAAAATCTTTAACCCCCCAAATTTTTACATTAAAAATAAAACAGTACCCAGATTCTTCAATTCTCAAATATGGCCCAAAAAAATAGAAACATTACAATAATATAAAACAGCCCTGTGCACAAAGGCTAGCAATCTATCTGGCCTTTGTACAATATTCCCATACATGTATAAATGATTCAATGAAAAAAGATTGTTGATGACAGTGACACTTAGCCAAACCAATCTGCAATATGGGAAATAAATCATTAGAAATGTGTGTACAGTCTGGCTTCCCCTACACCATAATGTAAAGTAAGTGGCACAGCATGTAATACCACTGGTACACCCAGCCTTGCTCCCAATGTGTCTGCTATTGCATCAGGGTGCACTTACACCTGTCAGCCACTAGTGGCCAGCACAACGACCTGGCTGTAACTCCAGTTTGGGGTGTCCACGGCGCGCCTGATGGAACATAGTGTGTATTAGTGCAATGGGTGGCTAATATTATGGAATGATAAGATACTGGAGGTTATTAATGTGATAGCTGTGAGTGATATTATCTTGCCTGGGAGTTTAGAAAGGTAAGTCAGAGGTCCTCGCAGTAGGCAAAAATCAAAGGCAGCTAAGCCAGGGCAGATCGGGGTCCTTCGATTTGACAAGGTGAGGGCGGAAGTAGGAAGAGAGAGGGAGAACAAAATACACGTGGGTGATGGGGGTGACGTCACTGTAGCGGAAGTGGCACCTGGAGAAGTCTGTAAGAGAGATTGAGGTGAGATCAGTGAGAACATGAATTATATTAAATTAATATTAATGTATTATGGCTATAGGAAGGGGGTTAGTAGGAGTTTGGGGCACATTAAAGGTGCATTTAATGATATTAGTCCACCAGCTGTCTGCCAGACTGAATGGATGACAGTAAATTCTCCCAGTGGGGTTTAGACAGAGATTAATTAAACATATTGAGTCTGTCTGAGTTAATATCTATTCCCTGCCTGATAGTGAGATGTACAAACATAAGGGAGAGGGTGGCTAGGGCACAGCATGGGGCAGATTGGCTGAATGGGAAGAGCAAGTTGATGCAGTTTCCGGGTAGTTTATTTATTATTCACTTAAGCGTCAATCGGCGTGAATTGAAAATATAACCAATAAATAGAGGAATTTTAGATAATTGGTTTGTTTTCAGTTTTACTGGTTTGTCCTAAAATTCTGAACACTCTGAATTCCTGACAATTCACGTTCGTGATTAAAGCTGTCAGACTTGGCTTCAAACAAATGAAACCGAAAGTAAACGCTTAGTAGGTGAGATGGACTATTGTGCGTGTGAGGCGTGCAGTGAGTAAGTAATTGAGGATGCCTATGGTTGTTAAGTGATGAGTTGAGATGGGAGTGATCATGGTGGCTATTTAGCTTTAATGAGTTGGGATACCTACCTGTCATTTATTCAGGGAATTGATGATGTGGTTAGTAAATTTGTGACATTTTCAGATGTGTAATGAGAGATTATAGACAGTTGGCAATAGAGAGAAGAAACTGTAAAGAAGTATAGGAGACTACGGGAGCAGTGAGACAATGTGAGTGCATCTAAGAAAAGATATATTTGGGAGATGGATCAGGGATTGTGACCTTGCGTGAGGTTGTTGGTGAGTGAATTAAAGGAAAAAGCTGTTTGCATATAATGCATCTTAATACAGATATTTCTCACACTTACCTTTTCAGGTCTATCTCTCGCCATACTATGGCAACTCTCTACCTTCCCTTGTCGTCGTCTTCTGACCCTCGCTGTCTCTTTGTGCGAATCTCCTGTCAGTTCTCTACTCCCCCTCATCCTGAACTGAAGGAGGTTGCCTCGGGGCCCCTTGGTGTTCCCCTTCCCTGCTTACAGACTCTCTCCTCTGGCTCAGTATGGGGGTCCTGGGCTGTCTCTTACATGCTGGCTCCAGACATTCTCTCAGGAAACGGGGACCCAAGGAGCTGTGCTCTAATCAAGCAGTGGGTGAACTATGCAGAGACTGAAGTGTTGCCGGCAGCCTACGGAGAGGAGCACTCGCAGGTACTAATCCCCAAAATGACATCAAGAAATTTTAATTCAGCAATCTCTTCTGTCCCAAGAGAAAGTTGGCACAGGTTTCTTTAAGACCTTTCAAACTGAGATGCTTCTTTATTCTGCAGATGATTTCCTCTTTCTCTGTTTCAGGCGAAAGATCGCTCTCGATTAGAGTTCCAGAGAGTACTGGAATTTCTGGACAGTCACCTAAAAGTGCGCACTTATCTTGTGGGCGAAAGAGTCAGTCTTGCTGATATTGCTGTGTCGTGCTGTCTCATACGACCTTACAGCAAGGTATGTCTTCCATTTTAGCCATTATATTAAAGTAATCCTATCGATTTTATGAGGGGCAAACCAATATCTAGATAGATTCCTGTCTGTTAATCCCATCTCACCGGTTTGCTTTTTATTCTGCTATCCTGGACAAAATGGTTCTCTGATCTAGAATAAAACACAGTGGGCAGTTTAATAAATAGTCCGGTATAAAGCTGATATTCAGTAAACAAAAAGAGTTGGTTTTTTTGGCCTTTTTACACCACTTCATATTTCCACCATATTTTGCAACAGTTAAAATAACTTTAAAAGAAAAAATGGATTCACTAGTTAGTCGGAGAGGATTGGATGCAAGATGGGGAATGTTAACTTGAAAACGAGAGAAATCTCAATGTTTCTTTCCTGGTAAAATATTTTATAAATAAATGTTCTCTGCACAAGGGACAAGAAATTAATTATTAATAATTATATTAGCTGTTAACTCTATTAATAAAAAAATATATATTTTTTTCTTTGTAAAAATAACTCTCTTGTAACCTTATTCTTTAGCCGCAAGTGTATTCCAAATTTGTCTTTTTTCTTATTCCCTGACTTCTCATAACAAAGTCCTCTCGTCCAGATGTGGTCAAAGAATAATTTTAGAATCCCAGTTATTGTCGTCATTTGCCAGGAAATATGTATCTATTCCTTTACGCTTCCTTTTTTTCTCTGTTTTTATACGTTAGTTTGTTCATTGCTCTGTGCTTTCTTTCTCTCTCCCAGGTCCTGCCTCCATCCACAAGTCAGACATTTCCCAATCTCACCCGTTGGTTCTTGACCTGTTTAAACCAGCAGCAGTTTAAGGAGATCCTGGGGGAGGTGAAGCTCTATAGTGCTGGTGAGATTACGCGCACGTTGCCGAATACACTGCAGCCTCTTCCTGCACTGACCTCTGATTGACCAATGATAGTCAACTACTGAGGGTATCCGCTTCCAATAACAACCTCTACTGGCTCTTCTTGGAACTGTGGGCTGGTTTGGGATACTGTGATGGTTTTTTTCTGGCCAACTTAGCATTGAGTTGTCTTTTTTGTAGACTTTGACAACTTTTACTGCTGCCTTGTGTGGTCTACTGCTTCCAGGATATGATGACGTTATATCCTGTCCAGTGCTCTGACTTTTCCGTGTGGAACTGCACCGGTTGGGTGAGGGAGTGGGAGAGTTGCTATCCTTGATAGGGAGTGGAGGATACGGAGGAACTCTTACTAAGAGTGGGCAGTGTGTTAGGTAGAGACAATGTCTTTCTCTGTGAGTTGGAGTGAATGGACCTATAAGGGAAGAAAAAGCCATCCAGCTCTGCCTTTTTTCCCTAAAATGTGTAATTCACACATTGAACCTTCCATATTGGTCTATTGAAAAGGTCTGAAACTGATAAAAAAACAAAAAACAAACTATAGATGTTATAAAAAGTGCTAGAGTTAAATCCTTTCTTTTTGGTCTGCGATGGCCAATCTGAATTCATGTTTCCCATCACTGTTATGGGAGATGTAGGGGAGAAAATGAAAAATGTAATGCAGTGGACTAAACAGTAACGACTGCCTTTTAACAATTCTGACTTTTTATCCTGTAGACAACAAAGACTCTGCTGCTGCTGTTGCTACCTCGCCCAATGCTCCCCCTGCCAAAACACCTGCTCAGTTAAAGAAAGAGTCTAAGAAGAAAGAGAAACTTGAGAAATTTCAGCAGAAGCAAGACAAGATAAAGGGACAGCAGACAGAGGTAAGGAGGTCCATCAGAGTGCTGCGTCTTACTTCTGCCACCATTCCAGTGTGCAGCCGTCTCTACTTTTTGAATATGATTTTCTTTCCTTTGTTTTATTCAATGTTTATCTTTCTCATCAGCCATTCTTTGTTCTTGCACAATTACTTGCAGAAAAAGCCAAAATTAGAAAAGAAAGAGAAGAAGGAGTTGGGAGTGATTACGTATGACATTCCCACCCCTGCTGGTCAGAAGAAAGGTAAGAACAGATTGAACGAGATGGGCAGATGACAGCAATTTCAATTTAAGCTTGGGAGAATGTTATTCCTTTATAAATCCTCTTTCCCTTCCTTTGTCTAGATGTCACTGGTTCAATGCCCGATTCCTATAGCCCTCAGTACGTAGAAGCTGCATGGTATTCATGGTGGGAAAAGGAGGGATTCTTCAAACCAGAATATGGGGTGAGTGTATAGGGTCTACCTGCTCCTGACCTGTGGTTTTCATCCTTTTCTGTACCAGGGGACAGTTAAATGAGAATGGATTTGCAGAGGCACACCTAGTCCTGTTCTCATGGGCTGTTGTATTAGGCATGAGAGATAGTGTTTGTTAAACTAGTAGAACAAGCATGTAAAGCTCAGTCTAGCACAGGCCACATAAACAAGGTTTAAGTTTATTTGGGCCGCAAAAAAAAACAACCTTACATTTTCATAGAAATGTGTTTTTTTTGTGTGTGAAAATTAGAGTATTAAAAAAAAAAAAGCAACCCCCTCTACTAAATCCCAGTACCCCCCTTCTACTAAATCAGAGTACCCCCTCGTCTACTAAATCAAAGTACCCCCTCGTCTACTAAATCAAAGTACCCCCTCGTCTACTAAATCAAAGTACCCCCTCGTCTACTAAATCAAAGTACCCCCTCGTCTACTAAATCAAAGTACCCCCCGTCTACTAAATCCCAGTACCCCCCCGTCTACTAAATCTCAGTACTAAATCCCAGTACCCCCCACTACTAAATCCCAGTACCCCCCCACTACTAAATCCCAGTCCCCTCACCTACTAAATCCCAGTCCCCTCCCCCTCTACTAAATCCCAGCACCCCCTCTAGCCAACAAGCGACTCCACTCACATTGTCGCTGCCAGTATGCGACTTCGGAGTCCGATCTCTGGTACAGCCCAAATGGCGCTGTCCGCACCCTGTGCCAAATCTGATCCTCCCGCTACTTCTTGAACCCTGTGACGGTGGAGCAGGTTGATGTCACGTCGGAATGTGGCTTTGCTTGCCTCCATGCACCTCCAGGTCCTTCACCGTCCAGTCGCAGCCAATGCAACACTGACCAACACACGCACTCACTGACAGAACACACACACACGCACTCACTGACAGAACACACACACACTCACTGACTGACAGAACACACACACACTCACTGACTGACAGAACACACACACACTCACTGACTGACAGAACACACACACACTCACTGACTGACAGAACACACACACACTCACTGACAGACAGACACACACACTCACTGACAGACAGACACACACACTCACTGACAGACAGACACACACACTCACTGACAGACAGACACACACACTCACTGACAGACACAGACACATTCTTGTACACACATACTTTACTTTATTGCTCCCTGCCTTTTGGAGCGGATGTGGGGCATCTCCCTAGGGTCCTTCTATCTGCTCCCTCGCGCGGTAAAGTGATGCTGTGTGCCGGAATGCACGCGGCTTCACTACAGACGGCGCGGGAGCAGTGAGGAGCAGAACATTGAGTTCCCTCGCTGGCCATCCTTGCCGGCCAGGTAAGTTTTAGCAGAGTAGGCACCTGCAATGTGGGGAAAGCAGGTGCCTACTCTGCTATAACACCGAGCATGTACTTGTGGCTCGCTGGGCTGCAAAAATGCCCCTTGTGGGCCGCGAGTTTGACATGCTTGTAGTAGGTTTACATTTTTATTTCAGTTTGAGTTGACTTGATCCAACATTTGACAACTTCTCCTGCTTGGCTTGTAACCTTACTGGTGAACCTAAATGTCCAAATTAATTATGTAAAAGTGAGTGGTTGCCCTTCTTGTTTTCCAGAGGAGCAGTATCTCCGAACCAAGTCCTAAGGGCACCTTCATGATGTGTATACCTCCTCCAAACGTGACTGGATCTCTGCATCTAGGACATGCTCTTACTAATGCCATTCAGGACAGTTTAACCCGCTGGTGAGTTACTGTCAGACTGACCGGAGAAGCTGGTAAAAGGTTTGATGCTTATAGGGACCTTATTGAGAAATGGACTATAGAAGGTAGCAGCTGGGCATGGAAAGGGCATTGATGACTTGGTGTTGGAGTGGGATCAAAACCTGGAGGAACTAGAAGCTCTAGAATAATGAGGATCGAGCAGTTGGAAAGGAGAGGAATAAACATCAAAAGCAGGTAACTAACAAGAAGGAGAGGGTTCTGAAAGAGTTCAGGGTTACAGGAAATGCATATAGAAGGGGAGAAGAGATGAGGATATAGGATGGCATGGATTTCAGGGGTGATAATTTTTTATTTTCTTTTAACCAATGAGCACGGTTGGATGATGTAAACATATAGTTAGGATCTTCTAGCAGCCACTTGTCCTTCCGAGTGATCTAATAAACAAATTGAGAGCTTCTGTTCACCTTCCAGGCACCGAATGCGCGGTGAACTTACTCTGTGGAACCCTGGCTGTGACCACGCAGGTATTGCCACCCAGGTAGTGGTGGAAAAGAAATTATGGAGAGAGAAACAGAAAACTCGCCATGACCTGGGGAGATCGGCATTCATCGACGAGGTCTGGAACTGGAAGAGAGAGTGAGTCTCACGCAGGGACCCCCTAACATTGTCACTCTGTCACTAACCACTTCTATGCCCTTGTTACAGTATGTGCCTTTAAAGGAGTAGTGACTCATTATTTAACTTATTTTTCATCATTTTAATCATTGAACCTTTTCTGTAGTGCTAACTTCGTAGATAAGTGAACCTTTCCAGTTAGGGAAAAACCTTGTCCCTGGGTCCCCGGGAACCCCCTTATCTATCCAGACATTAAGTAAATAGATAGGGGCAGGACCTGTATGGCATTTTACACAGAAACCCCATACAAAACCTTTGTAATAATACAAATACTAATATTACACTAACACATACTTACGTACTTTTGTTTTTTAGTTTTTACATTACTAATGCAGGAGAGCCAGAAGTTCCTAATCTGCACCTTCCACTAGATCTCCTGAGCTAAGCCCTTTCACCTGATCACTCTCAGCTAATGTTTTATCCCTGCCTTGTAGGGCTTGGCACGGAAAAGCTAAGGGAAGTTCCTGCTTGGGAACTTCTGGGTCTCTAGCGTTAGTAGTGGAGGCAGGGAGCGGCGCTCAGTGGATAACCGTTCAAAATAATTTTATCTACATAGAATGGGGGGGGACGGGAATTCCAGGACACCCTGTACAGGGAGCTGTGGTGGTTATGGTGCTTCGAGTGTTCCTTTAAGGACTAGATTGTAGTGAAATCACGGGATTTCATCCTTAAATAATGGGTGTCTGTATTTATCATTCTTTGTGTAACGGACTGTCTCGTTCCTCTCATTGCGTAACTTTTTTCTTCCACCAGGAAGGGAGATCGGATCTATCACCAGCTCAGGATATTGGGCAGTTCCTTGGACTGGGACAGAGCCTGTTTCACCATGGACCCAGTGAGCATCTGTCTATTTCCCTGTGTCTGTTTCTGTCTCTCTGCCTCTGTTTCCTTATAATTTCATGCATTTTCCTCTTCTCAGAAACTCTCGTATGCAGTCCAGGAGGCCTTTGTCCGCTTGCATGATGATGGGGTGATTTATCGCAGCAAGCGCCTCGTTAACTGGTCCTGCACTCTCAACTCTGCTATTTCAGACATTGAGGTAGGAGAATGACCACATGCAACCAGTATTTAACATGGGTAGGAATGGGGAAACATTGGAGGATGATGAGGGGTAGATGGGGGATATTGAATAGGAGAAGGGAAATATTTTGTGCATTAGATAAAACGTGGATGCGGTTTCTTCACCGGTTTTGGATTTGTGGAACGTTGACAAGGGAATTGCAAAAGTATCTCAGCCAGAATACATATCTGATCTAGAGAATCTTTAGTTTGGCTATGTTGTCCTGATTTATTCAGTTGCATTGTCCGTTATTTGCAATTCCCAGTATAGTAAATAAAAAAATGGCGAAAAGTGAAATAAAGTCTCTTGTATTCTAGGTGGACAAGAAGGAATTGAGTGGGCGTACTCTGCTCCCTGTGCCCGGGTACAAAGAGGGAGTGGAGTTTGGAGTTCTGGTGTCATTTGCTTACAAAGTGCAGGGAACAGGTAATACTCAACGCACGTATTTTTTACAGCCCATCGTTTCCCTTGATGGCTGCTTGCCATCAGTTCTGCCCTCTGTCACCATCTGCCCATTTTGCTTTGCTCCCCAGCCACCCTTACCTTTTTGGCTCACTTGCCGGGTGGTTCTGCTATTTGCCACTCTTCCCATCAGTTAGTCTTCTCTTTTATTCTTACCAGACGAGGAAGTTGTCGTGGCAACAACCAGAGTGGAGACGATGCTGGGAGATACGGCTGTGGCTGTACATCCCCAAGACCAGAGGTACCAGGTGAGTTCACTTTCCAATTTACAGATTTATTGGAGAATGGATTGCCAGAAGATCTGTGGCAGGGAAATAGTTAAAGAACCACTATAGTTTTCCTGGCACTATAGTGCCCTGAGGGTGCCCCCACCCTCAGGGACCCCCTCCCACCAGGCTCTCAGGAAGGGGTTAAACTTACCTCTTTCTCCAGCACCGGGGGGAGCTCTTGTCCTCCTCTTCGGCTGAATGCGCATGCGCGGCAGGAGCCGCGCGCGCATTCAGCCAGTCCATAGGAAAGCATTCACAATGCTTTCCTATGGACGCTGGCCTCTTCTCACTGTGAAAATCACAGTGAGAAGCACGCAAGCGCCTCTAGCGGCTGTCAATGAGACAGCCACTAGAGGCTTTGGAGGATGGATTAACCCTATTATAAACATAGCAGTTTCTCTGAAACTGCTATGTTTATAGAAAAAAGGGTTAACCCTAGCTGGACCTGGCACCCAGACCACCTCATTAAGCTGAAGTGGTCTGGGTGCCTAGAGTGGTCCTTTAAGAATCCTGTGATACTTTAATCTCTCTCTCTCCATCCTGTCTGTAGCATTTAAAGGGGAAGTATGTGGTGCATCCCTTTGCCTCCCGGCTGCTGCCTATTGTGTTTGATGAATTTGTGGACATGAGCTTCGGGACAGGTAAAGAATGAAGTCACGTCAGTGAAGGTGAATCACTTTCTCTCATTCCTTGGTTACCTTTTTATAGTCTGTTTTAATACCCCTTGTAGGCGCAGTGAAGATTACCCCGGCACACGATCAGACAGATTATGAAGTAGGAATGCGCCATTCTCTGGACTTCGTTAACATTATGGATGACAATGGAATTCTTATCAATGTACCACAACAGTTTATGGTAAGAGGAGCTAACGGGAATGAGCATTATCAAAAGAGTTTCTAAGTTTACTTATTTAGATAAGGGTTTAATATACTTCTATCGGTGTATCCTCACCGTCGTCTTAATGTTTTATTTATTTTTCTTCATAGGGAATGAAGCGTTTTGAAGCAAGAAAAGCGGTTTTAGATGCTTTGAAAGAAAAGGGTGTATTTAAGGAGATCAAAGATAACCCCATGGTCGTCCCAATATGCAGGTAACTACATAAGGAGCTATGAGACTGCCCCTCCCCTTGAAGAGACAGGGGTGCGTTAAGTCTGCCCCTCCCACTGAAGGGTAACAGATGGGGCGCTATTAGAGACACAATGATAGTCTTGCAGGTGACACAGAGGAGGAGGCGCTTCAGGTGTACTGTCCACATACAGTTTGAAATCAATATATTTTGTTTTTCAGCCGTTCCAAGGACATTGTGGAGCCCCTGCTGAAGCCTCAGTGGTATGTCCGCTGCGATGAGATGGGAAAGAGAGCGGCTGATGTTGTACGCAATGGACAATTGTCAATCAAGCCAGAGTTCCACACCAAGACCTGGTTCAGCTGGATGGACAACATCAGGTGACCCATTAAAAGCAAAGTTTAAAACGTGTCCTGGCCATCAGCTTCTCCCTATGCTTCAATCATAATCTCTGAAAGCTTACTCCATGCTTCTCAGATCATATGGAAAAAAATCTTCTCATGTTATTCAGTCATTGTGTGTCGTCCTACCTGTATCATATGTTGTGTGTCTCGTCCTCCCACGTCTCACACATTTTGTGTCTCTTCTTACCCTGTCTCGTAGATTGTGTGCAACTTCCTCACACGTCTCATACGTTGTGTGTCTCTTCTTCGCACATCTCATATATTGTGTGTCTCTTCCTCCCACATCTCATACACAGTCTTTTTCCTCCTCAGAGATTGGTGCATTTCTCGGCAGCTCTGGTGGGGACATCGCATTCCAGCCTACTTTGTTACAGTCAGTGACCCGTCTGTTCCACCAGGAGAGGTAAGTGTGCGTTGAGGGAGGTCTTGAGAAATGTTGCTCGGGGATCAGAGAGGTGGTAAGCACTGGAGAAGTGGTGAGCGTGTTTCTTGGGGTATCGGAGAGGTGGTGAGCATGTTTCTTGTGGTATTGGAAAGCTGGTGAGCGTGTTGCTTGGTGTATCGGAGAGGTGGTAAATGTGTTGCTTGAGGTATCGGAGAGATGGTGAGCGTGCTGCTTGGGATATCGGAGAGATGGTGAGCGTGCTGCTTGGGATATCGGATAGGTGGTGAGCGTGCTGCTTGGGATATCGGATAGGTGGTGAGCGTGCTGCTTGGGAAATCGGATAGGTGGTGAGCGTGCTGCTTGGGATATCGGATAGGTGGTGAGCGTGCTGCTTGGGATATCGGATAGGTGGTGAGCGTGCTGCTTGGGGTGTCAGAGAGGTGGTGAGCATGTTGCTTGGGATGTCGGAGAGGTGGTGAGCGTGCTGCTCTGGGTATCGGAGAGGTGGTGAGCGTGCTGCTTGGGGTATCGAAGAGGTTATGATTATATGCTGGGCATATAAATCATCAGGTGTATGAGGTCATGTTGAGCTTATTTTGCATGATGTAAGTTATGAGTATTCTGGATGAATTAGAAATTATGGTTCTGTAAAAGAATCATGCAGGGAGTTTAGTACCAGGGTCAGATAGGGTTCACTGATGGTGTAATACAAGCTTAGGAGAGCGTTTACTGGTAACGTGTTGTAATACAACAATAAGAATCTGACATGGATTGTGCTTTGTGTGTTTACAGGATACAGATGGCAAGTACTGGGTCAGCGGTCGGTCTGAAGAAGAAGCGAGAAACAAAGCTGCAAAACTGTTTAATGTAGACCCAGCAAAAGTGTCTTTGCAGCAAGGTAAGTGGGGGGAGGGGGTGGGGGGTAGACCTCAAGCTTTAATACCACGAATTTTACGAATTGTACTTTAATTCAATCTTTTTTTCTTTTTCAGATGAAGATGTTCTTGACACTTGGTTTTCATCTGGAATTTTCCCCTTCTCTATTTTCGGGTGGCCCAACGAGGTGATAATCTCTTCTCTTTGTCCCTTCGTTAGAAATGTAGCAATTTCTAGGCTTTATCTCACCCGTGTGGTTCTTTAGGGTGGGCTGTCTCTGCAGTATGACCTTTTTCTTGTCTCTCCTGTTCAAGAGGAACCAATGAGTTAAGTCCAGCACAAGGTAGCCTTTAGTTATCCGTGAGCCCCTTTGTGTTTCTTCCTTGACAGCGTCGCTGTTCATTTTAGTCAGGTAGGTTAACTGTTCGTGTATGACACTATTACAGATAGGAAGTCCACAAATTAATCTCCTGAGCCATGCAGCCTTGTGGAAACCAGAGCCATACAGAGAAACAACTGATCTGACAAATAGGGCGTTATCATCCTGTCCCATTTCCAAAAATTAACCTGTAGGTGTCAGAGTTCCTAGAAAATTAAAGTGACAAATACGCTGTTGGAGTATTTACTGGACTGAGAAGTGCAATGGAGGCTAGTATGAAGTGCACTTACCTCCATAGCACTTTACTTGCCCATCGTTGTGTGATGGTGCTGAGGATGTGATCATGTGTGTTTGAGAATTGCTGTATGAGTGCATGTGTGATTGGCAATCCTTTAATAGTGCAGAAGGTATTGATGGCACATGGCGAATACATTAATGTGCGTGGGATTGTCTGGTTGTACCAGGACACTGTAACATACATTGTTGGTTTAAATAAACATTAAGGGTTTTAGGAAAAAATTAAATATCGCACAAACCATATTGAAGTTTCAACTTGCTGTCTTGTGCAAACTTTATTACTTTTATAATGCACGTCCTTGGTATTGGAGTTGTGTCATCCAGTGAATGAGCAAGTAGCTCCGGTTCTGTAGACAGGGCAATCAGTAGACACTGTTCCTTGGTTTCCATGGAATATGTTAAACTGTTTTCCAAGTTTACCCAAGAAATGCACTGTATGCATAACTCCGTTACAATTAAAAATGAAAACAAATGAAAAGCCAAAAATCTTCATTAATCCGTAAACTGGGGACTATCAAATATTGCCGCAGAAATTGCAAATCTTAGACCAAAAATAAGGATGGAACAATTACCAGTTTAGTGAATTGACTGCCAGAGCATTATCTTACTCTAATCTATTTTTTTTTTTTCCCTCCCCTTCTCCTCCCCCCACCTCTATACATCACTTGATGCACAGTAATGTCTACACAATTGTGTATGAGTAAGGGTTCTGTACAGTCTGTAATGCATCAAGCTGTTTTTTGGCCATTGTCTTTTATGTACAATTAAAAAAAATAGTTTTTCTAGTCACTGACGTTTCTGCAATTCCCTATGTCCTAGTCAGAGGACCTGAACATTTTCTATCCCGGGACTCTCCTTGAGACGGGTCATGATATTCTTTTCTTCTGGGTGGCTCGGATGGTGATGCTTGGTCTAACTCTAACTGAAAAACTGCCCTTCAAAGAGGTATGGATTCGCACACATCCTTCATTCACTCTTTTCATAACTTCACTGACTGGTCTTCTATTTTCTGTTCCCCACTAACAGTCATGTTTGAACATTTTTACTCCACTATACTATCATGCTGGCTGTCTGTCGCTAAATATCCTTTACATTTTATTAATTCTCTTGAAATTCTACTCTATTCTTTTTTTCTTTCAACTTTTGTTTTTGTCATTCTCTTCTTCATTCTTGTTCAGGTGTATCTCCACGCCATTGTTCGTGATGCTCATGGCCGTAAAATGAGCAAATCTCTGGGAAATGTCATCGATCCGTTGGACGTGATCAATGGGATTACTCTGGAGGTAAAAACAAAGTGGGTCTAGAGGAAGAACCTTGTCATAGGGTTGAGGCTGCCTCAATCTCTTGTTCTAATGCTTGTTCTTACCATCTCATCTTCCTCTATCCCAGGGTCTCCATACTCAGCTTCAAGACAGTAACTTGGATCCAGCAGAGCTGGAGAGAGCTAAGCAAGGACAGGTAGGCTAATATTGCTCAGTACTTTTACTCTCTGACCTGATTACCAGATTATACTAAATGTTTTATTACCCCTTCCAGAAATCAGACTACCCCAGCGGGATCCCGGAGTGTGGGACGGATGCGCTGAGATTTGCTTTGTGTGCTTACACTAGTCAAGGTGAGTACGTTGGGGAGACCAGTGGTGACCAGAAGCTTTAAAACTCCCATGCTGCTTTGTTAGCCTAGAGACTGGACATTTTGACATTCTCCCAATTTCCCCAGTTCAATATCTTGTTCAACTGCCCTCTAGTTCTTTCCTTATTTTTGTTTTGTCCTCCTAACCACTTTCCTCAATGTTTCAGGTCGGGATATTAATCTGGATGTGAACAGAATCCTTGGTTATCGTCATTTTTGCAACAAACTCTGGAATGCTATCAAGTTTGCCATGAGGGGTCTGGGAGAGAACTTTGTCCCTCTTGATTCTGCAATGGTCAGTGACGTAGGATTTCCCGTTAGTGAACTCAATCAAATGTTGCCCGTACATTATCTTTGCCCCTCTTTGACTGATCATTCACTCCCATTGTATATACTTTGCAAATATATCATGGTTTCATACGTTTGTGGCAAAGTGTCACCTCCATGGACAATGAACAGATGTACCTGGGGTCTCCTCCTCTCACACATGGGTGGGATGGATAATTCCGTTCTCGGATGTGTTGGATTATTGTTTTAACCATTCTCCTTTTCTTGTAGTTCACTGGACAGGAGAGTCCTGTTGACCTTTGGATCATGAGCCGCCTCAGCTTTGCGGTGGATTTGTGTAACACGGGATTCCAGAATTACGACTTTCCTGGAATTACTACTGCCATTTACAACTTCTGGCTCTATGAGTTATGTGATGTCTACCTGGTGAGATCTCAATCTCCTCATCTCTTAAACTATTTCTATATACTGTTACCCCTTGTCTCTGTCTCTTCTTATTCTCACTACAACACGACTCTGTCTTATGTCCCCAGGAGTGTTTGAAACCCGTATTTAGCGGTTCTGATGAAGCAGCCATAGCCATAGCACGGTACACTTTATACACGTGTCTAGATGCTGGACTTCGTCTCCTCTCCCCCTTCATGCCTTTCCTCACAGAAGAACTCTATCAGCGCCTTCCTCGGCGTTCTCCAGGTCAAGCTCCCAGCATCGTTGTTACTACCTACCCGGACACCACAGAGGTGGGTACCTTCTCTTGTAATAGGACATGTTTAGCTCGCTTTCTATAATTGGGACTAAGATCCAGTTCTATGCTCCTGATAGTGTTAACATGAGTAATAAATAACCCCTCTATGCTACCTTCTTTTGGACTTCTTTGAACTAGTCTTTTTTCTTAATACAGTAACCTTGACCTTGAGAATCTGCTGAGAAGGTGCTTAAGCGATTGGTCTTTAAACCGCAGATAATTCCAAAGTTTATTGGAGGGAATTACTTCCTTTCAAAAGAAACCACTGACATTTCAATGTACCTTGAGACTTCATTATCATCTACGGAGAAAGGTCAAAGTTTGACGTGTCTGCGTCCCTATACATGCATTCCTATATATGCTGTACTGATTCTCTGTAGATCCGTGAAAGTACCTACAAATAAACAGCGTCAGTGCCCAGATCAAAGTGCCCTTTAAAATTCATTAATGTAGAAAAACTCAAAAATTGATGGAAAAACATAATTATATTATTTACTTTTTGGGAGGAAAATCCAGAACAAGTGTGTCTTTATAGTGCTGCTAAATATGATGTCTTTGTATAAAATACACAAAGGATAATAATGCACCCACGTAGAAGAAACTGTTTCAAACCTTTCAAGGCTACGTAGAATCAATTATCTCAAGAAGAAACATTTGGAAACTTTTCCAATCTGAAAGTCTCTATTTTCCAGAGCAAGTTCTGCAGGTTTTTTGTTACTTTGTTAAAAAGCAGGAATTAAATGCGTAATCGTGATACTCTATTTATTTAACATAATTCTTTTTGTGGTTTTTGGCTGATGTGATTCTAAAATGGTAACGCTCATTCTGCCATTGTAGTTCGGCTGGCGAGATGTTGAGGTAGAAAGGAATATGGATCTTGCACTTCTTCTGGTGAAGTCAATTCGGTCTCTCCGGGCGGATTATAATCTCACCAAAACCAAGGCTGACTGTGAGTGTGGGCACACCATGGAAATAGCCATTTTACTCACTAGACTGAGATGCGTTTAAAAAAATTGTATGGGTTTCGTAAATCTTTGTTTTATTTAATTATTGTTTGTTTTAGTACCAATACAATATTAACTGTTTGAGGACAAGTACTGGCCCACTCCCTGGCACTCTTACTGGACATTTTTTTATTAGAACAGGTAGCAGTTAATTTTGGGAACTTGGTGGCAGGTGGCTTAATTGTACATGTTGGCATGTTGTCGTCCAGTGTATGGGGTTTAATATGGGTCTGGAATAATTAATCTAAACTGAATGAAGCTTAATTGGTCATTAATGCTCTCGCTATTTTTGGCCAGGTTACGTGAAATGTCAGGACGAAGAAACCAGTGCCATTGTAGCTGCTTATTCATCTTACATCACTGTGCTGTCATCATCGCGGTCTCTAGTGCTCCTGACTGCTGTGGACCCTGCTCCAGCCGGGAGTGCTGTCAACACCGCATCTGACAAAGCTACTGTCTACCTTATTCTAAAGGTAAGTTCAGACGAGGTTCACCTGCAAATCAGAAATTGATCCCGGCCCTCAAGGGTAGTGAATGGCCGATTTAATAAAGATCGGTGTAGCAAATGCAGCAGCAACGTTTCGATATCCAAAGGTCTTTATCAAGCACCGAGGTTGGTATTTAAGAAGAGTTTACTTGCCTTTCATCTCTAACACAATATCTTCCAGTCACTCATTAGAAATTGCTTAACTGCAGGACTAGCTTCCACACACCTGTATACCCCAAATCTCTACGTTTACTAGCTCCCCAATGCTTCGCTTCTTACAGGGCTTGATTGATGTGGACAAGGAACTTGCCAAGCTGCAAGCAAAGAGGACGGAGCTGGGCCGACAGCTGGAACGGCTAAGGGAGAGGATGGCGAGTGCGGATTATCGCACCAAGGTGCCCGCTGCTGTGCAGCAACAAGATGCAGACAAGGTGGGCGTTATTCATACAATATAAACTGTCAAAATAAAATCCGGCAAATGTCCACCACACTATATAATGCCAGGTAAAAAAAAAAAAAAAAAAGATTTCTTATAAAATGATAAAGTGCTGAGACATCTAATGCAAACGCTCATCGTGCAACAAATCTCCAACTTATTTCTAAAAGATGTCCGCGCTGATAAGGATATTTAAACAAATATAATTCATTGTATAGCGTTCCCTGCTGGATGTTTTATAGTAAGGACACCTTCCAACATAAGTGTTGGTTTATAAACCTGGAGCCATTGATTTCAGCACAGACATCTTTCAGGTATTCTATCGGTGATATTTCATGCTTTTGGAGGTTAAGAAATAAAGAAATAACAGACAATGTATAGGAGATGTCTACCTTTCCTGTACCTCTTAAGTCTCGTTCACTCCTTTGCCCTACGCACACCTTGTTCCCTCCTTTGCCCGCCTATATTTTTCTCTTTGTATACTGCACATTTCATGTATTGCTCCATCTCTCATTTCCTTTATTGCCCCTTGTTGCATTGACTCCTATTGACCTCACATCCCACAGTCTTGCTCTAATTGCCCCCTCTCTTTTACCGTCATGGTCCCTCTTTTGCCCCCCTATATTTTTCTCTTTGTATACTGCACATTTCATTTCATGTATTGCTCCATCTCTCATTTCCTTTATTGCCCCTTGTTGCATTGACTCCTATTGACCTCTCACCCCACAGTCTTGCTCCAATTGCCCCCTCTCCTTTACGTTATGCTCCCTCCTTTGCCCTGTCTCAGTCTAACTCATGTCTTTCTGTATCTCTACAGCTGAAACAAACAGAGACAGAGTTCCAGAAAGTGGAAGAAGCTACAGTGAACTTTCAGAAAATGGTGTAAAGCATTTTGTTCATACTGTGGACTTTAATTGAACACCTCCCGCAGCCCCTCCCAAACGCTGCTGTATGAGGGTTTTTATAGAAAACGTTAAAAATCTGACACTTGAACTCGGCATCGGATTTAATAAAACCTGTAGAAAACCAGATACGGCTGTCGTATGATTATTTCAGAGAAAAGAAGGGAATTTGACGAGGGGGCTGCAGGTAAACGTCTAGCACAAGGACAGTAATTGCAGGGGAGCAATATGAATGGTGGAGCGTAACTATAGGGGTTTGTAAATGTATAATTACTGATGGAGGAGGTAAACGGTCATTGAATGGGATAAAATATCAGGAGATTAAAAGAGAGACTGAGGCGGGGAGGCAAGACCCCAGGGGTACAATATAAAGGTAATCTGATACTCCATATTACATTTAATACTAGAGTACGAATCATTGTATTGGAGTTCTGCCGTTTATACGTAGGTGTCTGCAGGTTTGCAGACCTTAAAAAAAAAAAAAACATTAAAACAAACAAAAGTTTTAAAAAAAAATTCTTCTCTTTTGGTAATTTTTTTTTTTTTTTTTTGGAGAAAAAACAAACCTGATATTAACTCTGTGTGTTGGGTCTAAAGTGACAATTAACTGCACGATAAGAACAGATAAATCGGTGAGCACACAATGAAACAGGGAGAAAGGGTTTTATTGCTGTGTTGCAGCGTGGCAGGCTGGAGGGATGGAGGAGGCTCAGTTTCGCTGGGGTACTGTGCTAATCTGGTCTCTTCTCACGCTTCCCCCCTGCAACGTGGTATTGTGGAATTACAAAGAACTTGTGACCTCTTGCTCGCACAGAAACACCGCACAAAGGAGCGCCTTGCACAGCGAGCACAATGCAGAGAGACTGTGCAACCACTCGTTCACCCACAGACACACGTCAGGATGCTGCATCTACCTGCTGATCTATGTGCAATGTGTGTGTGTCTGTGTATTTCCTGCACTGTCTACATTTAGTTTCAGTCTGTATTTGGTTATTCTAATACTTCCTCAACTATTCATGGTATTAGCAGCTCAAACCAAACTCTTTAAAACCATGTTTAAATAACCCACATACGCTTTGTTTCACTCTGCACAGCTTCTTAGCCTCCTCTACTGAAAGGGACAATTGCCCTTTAAAAGCAGAGGGCGGGCCCCATGCATTGCTGTGGCTGATAAAGACTGAGAAGTGGCTACTGTTTGTAGGGAGATTATTGTCTGTGTGCACTGCGCTCAGCAGTGACAGTCGGGGCGAAGGGGACGGGGGATTAACCTCTGATTGCAGAGAGTAAGGTACAGATCTTCCTCTAATTCTTCTATTTTCTGTTGTTTAGTGAATATATAGAACAGGGTTAATTTTATAACCGGGTCGTTATGCTGCATGACTTGTCACTGACAGGGTTAATGTGCTTGTAAAAATTCCTGAGTGTAATTCTGTGTTGTGTATGTGTGTGCAAGGTGCATGGCTTACTGATGCAGGGTATTTTTTTTTTATTTTTTTTTTAAATAATCAAAGTAAAGTTATGCTATAGGACCCCTGTCATTTGAAAGGTATGAGTCTGTAAGATTGTACCTTTATATCATGTTTACAAGTCAGTGACGTGCGTGCGTGTAGCCAGATATAATGTATGTGTAATGTGTTTGCATGTCCTGTAAATGGGAATAGAGGTCACCCATGCCTTTGTGTTTGCAGTAAATGAAATCTAATGAGCATGAATGTATACAATGTAATCCTAACTTTCTATATGTTCTTCCTGTGCAGTTACTATTTGTGTGTTAGCGAATACGCAAAAGGTTTTACAGATTTAGATCTCCCTTTTTATGTCCTTAATGTGCAAGTTTCTTCCCTGTATTTATGAGCGTGTTTGGAAATATTTCGATTTTATGGATTTGAATGGTAATGGTTCTCCCGAAATGACTGATAAATGAGTCCTTTTGTTTAATTACTGTTTGTTCTGTATGGTTCTTACAGTGACTGTCCAGGTTTAATCAGAGACCTGCTCACTGGCTCTTTGTACGATTCTTTGTTCTGAACGACTTTCAATGATCTGAAGTTTTAACACCTCCTGACCCGCTTGGTTGTTAATTCCAACATAATGACTGGAGCTTGTTCCTGAAACACTCCTGATAATACAATTGATGTCTCATGGGACTTTGTAATGCTCATTAATTCACCCCAGACAGCCCTTTGTTTCATGGGATCCGACCTTCTCTGCCTATGTGATGAAACGAGACTGTCTTCGAGACAAAGTGGGATCCTCTGTAATCCATCTTTCCAAATAAGGTGTGATGCGGCTTCTTTAGACTACAGGATTGACATAATGAAAACAAGTAGAAAATCCAAAGTGTTTGGCTTATTTATTTATTTTTAACATATTCTTCTCATTATTCAGAATATTTGTTTTTACAATCAAAAATTGGATTCAGCATATCGTGAGTTAGGTACAAAGCCGTGATACACATCTTGCAGGACTCTCAGATTCTGTTAACAATTTTCAATTTTAAAAGTAAAACGAAGTTAGACACGTTCTCTTGAAATGAATTTAAATGGTCAGGAGGGGAGTGTGTTCATAGCCATGTAACTGTAGCATCTATGGCATACATACAGTGTGTGTATCATAGGATTCCTTTTACCCCATCGTATGCCAAAGAAGGTGCGTATGATGTATGGGAGCACAGATTAGGGGTGTATCTATATATCTAGTAATAGATCTGTAGTTGTGATACTTGTGACTGGGTAGTAATAGTTCTGTGCCAGGACAATTGTAGGGAAAAAAAAACAACAACAAAGAATTTCACATCATGAAGGAGATTAAATAAAGTATTTGTCATTAAAGAATTTGAATTAATAGAATTCAGATTCTCACTAGTGTACCAATAGATTTTGGAACCTTTGTGTAATGCAAACTAGTTTAATGTAGCCTGAATATAGTCTGTGGTTAAAGATGAACATTTTCACTAATGGCAAAGCTAGCTTCAATACAACAGAAAAACACACGCTAAAAGTCTTTCTGTTGGAGCCTTGCAAGGAGGAAAGTACAATAACGTGGGTTTTCCTGACTTGCTCAAAACGCGCTGGCTACACCTCTGCAGTAATACAAACCCTGATACGGTCAAAATTGTGACGTTTATTGATCGATTTCCTTCCATTTTTTTAACTCTTATGACTACGAGACTCAAAGTGATTTGATTTCTATTTTATTCTTCCTGTTGTGTAATGTTTTGTACATTTCCTTCCTCTTCCAGTGTTGGAGGAACTGGTAGCTTTAAACTAACCAGTAGAAGCACTGAGCTATCCTCTCACACTGGGAGCATTGTTTGAGAATATTAATTGAGTTAAAATATTACAAACTTTATGGCCGGTTCGTTATTTCATTGGGGTTGTGCTATTATATTATAGTACTGTTTAGAATTTTCTGTTTTTGCATACAATAACATTTGGGGAATTCATCCAATTTGTTTATTTTGCCCTAGACTCCATTGTCTAGAAGAACAGGCTTCCCCAAACTCCGCCCCCTCCAGATGTTGCTGAACTACAACTCCCATGATTCTCACCCTATCTATTTCATTCATAGAATCATGGGAGTTGTAGTTCAGCAACATCTGGAGGGCCGGAGTTTGGAGAAGCCTGTTTTAGTACAGTGGTTCCCAACCCAGTCATCAAGTACATCCTAACAGTCCAGGATTTAGGGATTACCCAGTTGTCTAAGGTGTTTTTAGAAAAAGAGGGGAAAAAAAACACTTTAGACACAACAAGTTAATCCCTAAATCAGTGGCGTACACACAATCCATGGGGCCCCTGTGCGAAACTGATCCGTGGGCCCCCCTTCCTCCCTCTCCCCCCCTCCCCCCCCCCTCCACCATCAACAGACAGACACATACAAAGACACACACATACATACAGACACATACATACACACGACACACATACATAAAGACTCAACACATACATACATACATACAGACACACACACAAGACACATAAATACATACAGACACACACACAAGACACATACACAGAGACAAACACACACACACACAAAATATTTTAGTCACCCTCCTGTTTCCTACCTTTTAGGTGCAGGAGGGTGACAGTCCCTGGGGTCCAGTGATGGCTCAGGTGGATGGGAGTCAGAGTTCCCACTCTGACTCCCTCTGCTTCCTCCAGCGCGGCTCTCAGTGTTAGCTGGGAGGAGTAATGTGCAGTCACTTCCTCCCAGCTCTCTGTGATGTCATCACAGGGGGCCCGGTTGCGCTGTTAAAGTACCCAGCGCTGTCCGGGCCCCCTTACAATCCACATCCATCGGGTGGCCCTGACAGCATGGGCCACCTGATGGACCCCTTGGACGGTAGTTTGCCGCGCCGGCCGGGGCCGCAAATGGTGATGGCAGGTACCCGGTTGCAGGGGTCCGCAGGGCAGCCTGGAGTGCCGAGCACGGTTGCAGTTGCGACCCCTGCAACCACGGTATGTATGCCACTGCCCTAAATCCTGGACTAGTAGGAGGTACATGAGGACTGGGTTGGGAACACCTGCTATAGGAGAATCATGTCTTGTTCATTACATGTTTTACATCTGCACTAAAAATGTGTACAAAAAGTATCTTAAGAGACCTCTAATGGAATAGAAAAGCAAGCTGAACATTTTTGATGTGATTTGAAAATGCACATTCCATTTCCAACCCTTGAATGTTACAAACCACTGGAAAAATAATTTATTTTTAGAATTGGTGACAATTTCTAAAACGGTGATCTGAGACCTTCTATTAAATCATAGAAGTTTCTAGAAATAAATTTGATTTGCCTGTGTCTGCTAAATAGGCTGTAAAAAAAGGCTCATGTACATCAAGTTCAGCCTGTCGCACAAGCAATTTAACACACACATAAGTGTGTGTGGGGGGGATCATTCTTGACTTTAAATGGTCAGTGATAACAGCCAGCTATCACCTCGCATATTAACAATTTTTTACTACAATATTTTGTTTTTCCAAAAATGACATCCAAAGTTTAAAAATGTCTATGAAATCTAAAATCTAAAATAATCTCTTTGGACAAAGAATTCCCCGTATTTCTTGTTCTTCCTTTAAAGAAACCTTTCCTCTGCTGTAGGTGAAATCTTTTGTCTTATTAATTCTGTTTCCTACTTTTGCAATTCTCTTACCATTGTTACATCAAGAAGAAAAATTAAGGGTTCTTTTCATGAATTAATCTATTTCATACATACCTTACTGGCCTTAGCAACTGCTGCCTGACATTATGTGTTGTTGCTTAGTCTGTGCTAAACGAATCAAATGACTGTGAAATGCTGGACGAACAAATGGAATCGTTCAACCAATGATTAATAGGCATTTTATCCAATTAGCGCAACCTAATGGGATATGAGCACGAGTCTAATTTGCAGTCTGTATCGTCCCAAGAAGGGTACCAATTGTCACATGAGATTTAATAGGACCATCTCTGGACCTGTACTAGACTTAATGAGAGGGAATGTATGCTGGTAACACCTGCGGTGAAGGGCCCAGAGTGACGTGATACATGATAATCTATTGTGATTATTAAACAAAGTGAGGATTCACAGTGAATTTCAAGTTTCAGCCCAATGGACCCAATCTGGAGACTTAGAGAATGTATCCAGTTCAGATGTTTTGTCATGAAATTTTAAATACACTTTGAATTCTCAGTTTCGTGAATTATCCTGTTAGTGTTAGAAGGAAAGGAAGAAAGGAAAGACAAAAATAAGAGAAGTGAAATATGTCATTATATTCCTCTAATATGGGCTTCATTGTTCTGTACCTTTTATATGCCGTGCTGCGGTAATGTAGGGGTTAATGTGCAGTGTATGATCGTAATGTAGGGGTTAATATGTAGTGTGTTACGGTAATATAGGGGTTAATGTGTAGTGTATGATGGTAATATAGGGGTCAATGTGTAGTGTGTTACGGTAATATAGGGGTTAATGTGTAGTGTATGTTACTAATGAAGGGGTTAATATGTAGTGTATGTTACTAATGAAGGGGTTAATGTGTAGTATGTTAAGGTAGTACAGGGGTTATTGTGTAGTGTGTTTGGGCAATGTATTAATGTATAGTGTGTTTGGGCAATGTAGGGGTTAATGTGCTGTGTGTTTGGGCAATGTAGGGGTTAATGTGCTGTGTGTTTTTGGTAATGTAGGGGTTAATCTGCTGTGTGTTTTTGGTAATGTAGGGGTTATTGTGTAGTGTGTTAAGGTAATATAGAGATTAGGGGGAGTATTTTGTTGTAAGACAGCATTGGGACATACCCAGAACACCTCTTCGAGGTTCAAAATATATTTTCAAGAAGGTAAATTTTGGGATGCAGCACCCCAAATTTCTGGAGCACCGGTACACTCATGTTACCTATAGCTGTAGGAAATGTAAACGTGATCCAAGTTCATGGTCATAAAATGACCTTCACACCAAAACCAGGGCCCCATTTACATTAGGGATATAGTCACTAAACCGTAACTGACCTGACATCAAAATCTTAAAAAATAACTGCGTTAGACTATTGTTACAGACGTGCTATTTCCACATGTTGCCGTTTTGGTTTCAGATCACCATTTAGTGAATACGTCCTTCCAGGATTGTGAAACATCATTATCTTTTTTTTTAGAGACTAGTGGGTAATCGGTGGTATGTCAGAGCTGACTCAGCTGACATGTATGTGTGTTGAAGGCGTGTACTCATGCACTGCATACATTCTGTGACAGTTAGACAGAGGTGTGAGCCTGTACATGTGTGCGGAATGTTATTTAATTTGGTTTGTTTTACAATTCGTTACAGGAGCCCAGAGATGCCATGCATTTTTCTTTTCTTTTCGGACTTTTTTTGTTGAGAATATAACTTGTTTTCTCTAATTAACAACTTGTTCTCATCTCAAGAAAACAAGTTGGGCATAGCAAGTTGTTCCCTCCATATAACACATTGCCTATTCAATAAAAACTTGTTTTCTCAAGTCAGAAACATAAGAAAAGGTAGGCACACTAAATATACAAAATATACCACAGTCCCATATATATATATATATATATATATACATGAAACACAGCTGAACAAGCCAATAATGTACTCCTAATGCCGGATCATATGGATACCGAGAGGAAATTACCCAACAAGTAATACATGCCATCAGACAAATACCAGGAATAGTGAGAAAAATCAAGAGTCGGCAATGTTTTGGCAGAAATGCCTTTATCAAGTGAGCTCTTCTCACTATTCCTGGTATTTGTCTGTTGACAGTATATATTATTTCCTCTTGGTATCCATATGATCCTGCATTAGGAGTACGTCATTGGCTTGTTCTGCTGTGTTTCGTGTATCTATGTGACTATGGTATTTTTTGTATACTTTATATGCTATTGTTTTCATATTATTGTTGAGGTTTCTTATTATTATTACTAGTATTTATAAAATGTCAGCATATTCCAGAATCACATATGACGCCAAGACAGCACGCTTGCAAGAATGGACTTATGTGGGTACCACTAGCTTGAAGGGAAAGCGAAAGAGGCGGATCAGTGTTAAGGGGGGTTTAGAGAGATTGAGTTTCAGAAAGCGGGAGGACTCCAGTCAGAGATGGAAGTAAGGCAAGCAGTGACATGTTGCAGGACGGCAGGGGAGAGGTCCGGGAGGAGAGATGTATCTGGGTGTCATCAGCGTACAGGTGGTAGTGGAATCCAAATGAGGCAATAAGTTTGCCAAGAGAGGCAGTATAAAGCGAAAATAGAATGGGACCAAGGACAGAGCCTCGGGGGACTCCAACCGAGACAGGACAAAGGGAGGAGGTATCATTAGAAAAGGAGACACTGAATGAGCGTTGGCATCTATTTTGGGACACCTGTGATATTAGACCCAATTGATAAAACATTTTTTTTCCTCTATGGCTGTGCCCCTCATTCTGTTTTATCAGTAGATTCTCAAGTCAGAAAAACATTAAAATGTATGGCCTCTGTGGACTTTCAGAATTAGCGCATAATTTATCTTTCAAAGTAAATTATTACAAAGGGCAGCCCTAGGTTATGATAAAAATGGAATACGGATCTTAAAGGATCTGTTACAGATGGATAAATGATGAGTATTTTGGCTATTACTTCCCTTCTTCATTATTTAATCATTTACTCAGACAAAACGTATTTTCACAGAAAGGAACACTCAGTCACAGCCAATGGCAAGACACCTAGCTGGTAATCTAAAGTTTGAATCGTTGTGAATTGAGAGTAAACCCAAACTTCAACATTCAGGACAAAATAGCTGAAATGTAGATATAGTTGACTGAGAAATTTAAACTTTACATGTGTGACAATTCGCACTTTAGTGCATAACCCGGCTGAGAGACTAAAACAAGGTCAGGTCGGGCACCCCTGGCTGCATTGAGTGGGCATATTACAGTTAGTATGGTAATAGGCTGTGAGTGGGGTACAGTGACCTACGGTCAGGTGGCAACTACATAAAAAACGCTAAGAAAAAAATACGCTTCTACGTGTTTCAACATTACAGGTCTACAAACCTCCCAACATTTCAAACAGACAGAGGGAAACACTGCACATTAACCCCTATATTACCTTAACACGCTACACAATAACCACTACATTACTAACAAACACTGCATTTCTAGGGGTGTGAGTGTGGCCAGGGGTGGGGCTGTTCTGAGAAATTTTAGTGACTTACTAATAACAATTTATAGAACTAAAATGTAATTTGGAACAAGAACAATGTATCTTATTTACAGACTGATTTCTAAACACATTTATTGTAGATTAAATACACATTACTGGGAGTATTATTGCTGTGGAGCTCTGTTATACACTCAGACACATTACTGGGAGTATTATTACTGCAGATCTCTGTTATACACTCAGGCACATTACTGGGAGTATTATTGCTGTGGAGCTCTGTTATACATTCAGACACATTACTGAGAGCATTATTGCTGTGGAGCTCTGTTATACACTCAGAGACATTACTGGGAGTATTATTGCTGTGAAGCTCTGTTATACACTCAGACACATTACTGGGAGTATTATTGATGTGGAGCTCTGTTATACACTCAGACACATTATTGGGAGTATTATTGCTGTGGAGCTCTGTTATACACTCAGACACATTACTGGGAGTATTATTACTGCGGAGCTCTGTTATACACTCAGACACATTACTGGGAGTATTATTGCTGTGGAGCTCTGTTATACACTCAGACAGCCAACAATTTTAGTTTCTAGAAAAGTGGGATATTAGGATAGAAAAGAGGAACAGATTAATTTGGGCCCAAGATAGGGACTGTCCCTCCTCGATAGGAACACATGCGAGGTATGGGTTTGGGAAACTGTAGCAATGGAGATGAGATTTTACAATTCCCAGGTGATGTATTTATAAATATTCCCTCTCTTGTTTTGTAGCCCGTCCCTTCCATAGTAAATGGCTCCACGTGTTTCTTCGACCCTAAGCATCCTGCTGCTGGGGAGTGTGGTCTTTCCAGGAGGTCTGACGTTCTTCCCAAACTTCTGGACCAAGTTTTTGGGCCTGACATGGAAATCGTATACACACCAGGACCTGACTGAGGACGCCATACTCAATGTCACCCTACAAATCCTATTGGACTATAAACACCCCACTCGACCTCCGATAAACGTGCGAGAATTCCAGGTGAGTGGGACTATAATGGGATAAATGGAGAGATAACGAGAGAGAGAGACCTCTCAGTATTCCTCATTTTTGAGAGCCGGGAAATGAATAAAAATTTATATTTAAATACCTTGAAATGGAAGATTAATGTAATGGAATCACAGCATTGTAACTGTTTTTATAAAATATATAATAATATATAGAAATATATTCAGAAAAGCATCACTTAAAGGGCCATAACACCTTTTTACTTTTTATCAAAAAGGCTGAATTTTATTCTTAATTTAGAAACTCCTCAGTTATTTGATATTAAATAACCCCCCCTGTGCTGGAAACTGCTCTTTGAATGTTTAGAATTAAAAATATAAACTGTGAAGTGCCACTTTTATAATAGGAGTGCAAAATCTATCAAAATGCAAAGTCAGCAATCTCACCTGTGAGAACCTCATAAAGCAAGTTATCGAACTGATTTATTTAATATATTACTGTGAGTTTTATTTCTGTGGAGCTCTGTGATAGACTCACACACTGCCCATTACTGTGAGTTTTATTTCTGTGGAGCTCTGTGATAGACTCACGCACCGCCCATTACTGTGAGTTTTATTTCTGTGGAGCTCTGTGATAGACTCACGCACCGCCCATTACTGTGAGTTTTATTTCTGTGGAGCTCTGTGATAGACTCACGCACCGCCCATTACTGTGAGTTTTATTTCTGTGGAGCTCTGTGATAGACTCACGCACTGCCCATTACTGTGAGTTTTATTTCTGTGGAGCTCTGTGATAGACTCACTCACTGCCCATTATTGTGAGTTTTATTTCTGTGGAGCTCTGTGATAGACTCACGCACCGCCCATTACTGTGAGTTTTATTTCTGTGGAGCTCTGTGATAGACTCACGCACCGCCCATTACTGTGAGTTTTATTTCTGTGGAGCTCTGTGATAGACTCATGCACTGCACATTACTGTGAGTTTTATTTCTGTGGAGCTCTGTGACAGACTCACGTACTGCCCATTACTGTGAGTTTTATTTCTGGGGAGCTCTGTGGTAGACTCATACACACTGCACATTACTGTGAGTTTTATTGCTAGGGAGCTCTGTAGTGCATTAGTAGTAGAGGCAGGGAGTAGAACCTGGCATTCCTCGAGTGAGAAGTCAAGCTGTTCCAGAACTTGCAGTGGTAGGGCTTCAGGGAGCTCTAACCCCCAAATGTCTGGAAGTCAGTGAGACAGTCCTGGTTTCGGGTGTTGCCAGGTTTACTCTCTGTTATTCCACTCCTGGGCACACCAGAACAAGTTCCTCAGAACGCGTAGAGTGACCCAGAGTGACGTAGAGCGACCCAGGCATTATCTTCCACAAAGAGCACTTCAACAGGACTCCGAGCCTTGGCTACCCGGGGCTAGTCAGTCAGTCTGCTGTGTGCGCATTCTTGGTTACGGTGCTCCACATGTCACCACACTCGTTTCCCCCCCATGTCACCAGTTACACAAATTAGTCACTGTCGTGCACTCGACTCCCTTCCTGTTCCACCTTTATGCCTCCCAATGTTGCAAATCGTGAAACCCCACTGCAATCCTCACCCCAGTAAACGCTTCCACAGAACGGTAATAGAAAGAGGAACCGTCAACTATAATTAGAACAATGCTTAGCCCGTAAATATATCGGATTCACAAATTGTTTGTTCTTTAGTCTTGCAAAACCCCACTTCCCTTTCAAAGGCTATTTATTTATCCGTGTCTGCAGTATCTAAAGCCAGACAGCTCTGGAAATATTCTTCGATGGGTCCTGTTCCAGCTATAATTTGGAGATAAAGAAGAGACTTTTCCATCTATATTAAAGATTTAGCAAATTACATTATAATCCAGTTCAGTCAAGGCAAAACAGGCGCAAGCATTGCAAATGAAGAGGAAATATTGGAGACATTGTTCCATTTCTCCTTTTCTCTAAGCTTTCTCAGGTGCGAAGGACAGAATTTATAACAATGATTGACAGGGATCTAAAATGGAGGTGCCCAGTTGCATGAGAAATAGGTGCGGTTTTCTACATATACATTTTTTTTCACACCTCACAATATAGAGAGCAAAAAACAGGTCGCATGAGTATTGAAATAGCCTGCCTTCCGGTGGGTCCCCGCTCAGAACTCAAGCTGGTTTTAGCTCATCTTGTGCCATTACAGAGAGAACATATCTGAAGCATATCAGACTGGTCCCACCCATACGGGCAGTCCAGATCCGAAATGCCAGCAAGTTCCCTCTGCACGATAAACAATAAAATTTTAAATATAGGTAATATATATATATAAAAGTAAACAAAATTTGAAAACTCCTGTGAAATAGTTTTATTTCCCCTTTAAAGTGAAACCATAGTTCTTTCCCTGGGACTATAGCTCCGATGGTGCCCACGTCTACCTTACCTGGGTCCTGCTCTGATATCCTTCAGTGTTGGGTCGGATCTGTCTCCGTTCCTTCCCGCCAACATCATCCTGCGACGCAGACAGAATACGCGTGTGCAGCAATGGCCACGCTCACATTAGGCTTTCCCCAAAGGAAAACATTATACAATGCTTTCGTATGGGGATTCCGGTGAGTCTGGATGTATTTATGCAAAGCGTGAGGTTGTCCAACGTAAGTTAGGCGACCAAAAGTCCCTCTAGTGGCTGTCTGGTAGACAGGTGGAGTTACCCCACAAAGCTAATTATTACAGTTTATACAAAACTGCAATAATTAGCTTTGCGGTGCTAAGGGTGCTGGGACAGTGCACCCAATCCACTTCAATGAGCTGAAGTGGTCTGGGTGCCTATTGTGTCCCTTTAAGGCTTCTGGCTGACAACAGGTGGAAGGATAAGACCAGAGATAGTTATTTTGTGTTTTCCATAGTATTTTGAAATGTTTAGAACCTCCCTGCTAATCTTTTCTTTTCTAACTTTTTTGATCTACACATCAGGGAGATCTTTGAGGGGCAGTGCATTGTGTGGTCAATACTAACAATGAGTTTCTTTATTCTGTAATTCTGTAATTGGTGAGTTACGCTGAGTTTTCTTGTGGACAAATCCATTTCAGCTGCATCAAACAATTCAAATCCCTGTTAATCTACGTCCCCCGAACACATTGATTCACCCAGTGTTCACCTTTGGGTAAATCTCAGACGGATCGATTCATTCGGACGTCGATGAACCAGAATTTGATCTGTTTGTCACAGCTAAAACAAGACATCCACAAGTCTAATGCTGAATTACAAAAAGGACTAAATTAGGTAGAATGAAATCCCTCCAGATTCATATCGGTGGAAGTTAGAGGGAGAATAATGTAGGGACTATTTATTTATTACGTAAATGGTTGCAGTTGTGCAGCACGGACTCCCAGTACAGGTGGCAGGAATTAAGAAAGCGAAGCATTCACAAACAGCGATGAATAGACACACAGCTAGGCAGAGGAAACTAAACACTGGCAGGGTTATTTAATAAAGTGAGAATTCAAAGTGAAATCATAGTAAATTTAAAATTCAAGACCAAAGTAGCTAAACTGGAAAAAATGTCAACTATGCTCAGGGGTTGATTACTTTGGCCTTAGATTTTAAATTCACTTTGAATTCTCAGTTAATTAAACAACTCTGCACAGTGTTTTCCCATGGAAATAGGCGGATTAGAGAGGCCAGTTTGATTGCAAGAGGTTGAGCAGATTTGAGTTTGTTTTACACGGTTCATCTAAATCAAATGCCTTTTAATCCACACCTTGACGATCGCTTGGTCCAGGTGTGCGCTAAAAGGCACTCGATTCGGACAAACTGTCTGAAACAAACTTGTGACTAAGTTTAATGTTCAGTTGTACAGAGAGTGGAATATAAACAACTAAATAATGTACAGAAAATAAAATAAACAAACATCAAACACAAATCTGCTATTCGTTATAATGCTCATTAAAAGGATTTCCATCTGGTTAAAGATTAAAAATAAAAGTAAATTTTTAAAATCTAGTTTGTACTTTTGTCATTCTGCAATTGCAGTTAATGCAGCATGTAAAAAGAGAATGACTTAACTTTGACCTCAGCCTGTATTCCCAAGTTGAGTTGCACTATGAGCTCTGATTTATGACGCCTCTCTATATATGGAGGTATTTCTCCTTGCATGCCATATACCATTAGTGTTAAGATGACAGCTTAATGAACCACTCCTTTTTATTATATTTTCTGTATATTTTCTGCAAGGCTAATTAGGGATTATCAACAACAAAGCACATTCTAACGCCAGTGTCATCTGACGTATTCCTACATAAGTGTTTCTATATGTCTGAGTTAATACCTCCACAAAACTGCAAGTAACGATTGTAAGACAAGCGGTACTTATTTATACATCACCACTAAACTCTCAGCTAAACGCCATGTTTGTCATAATGTTTTGTGTATTCAAAGCAGTGACATCTATCTGACACATAATTCTAGCATGACACGAGGCTGTGTATTTACAGCTATAGGTGTGTTTATGTAATCATCCTTTACACAGTGAGATTTTAGGTAGAAACACCATTTCACTGCTAAACAAACCGTGTGCTCACAGTTCCACTGAATTATTTTTTTTTTTTTTTAAATTGACAATTTTTATTGTTTCGTGCGGTGGGGGTACAGAAAGGAAGAAGGAGGGAGGGTAGGGGGGGAAGGGTGGACAGATTTCATCAATACATATTAACATATTAACAACTCTCATTCAGTTGACCATGAGTATTCAGGCTACTTATACCGTTCGTAGACGGTTTGTGACCAGAAGCCTTGTCTTGCACCTTTTGTGTGTCAGAGCGGGATGGGTGTGCTCCCCACTCGATCCCTTATGGGAACTAACAGGAGGGGTCTCATCCTCGCTCTCTATTCTCGCACCTCTTGCGCTGTTTCCCACTGATGTGCGAGGCGCTTCTGCTTTTATGTGGTTTGTACATACAGTATCATTGGTAGGTTACATTTACGTTTCTCTATCACCCGATCTCCATGAGTTCCACATCTCCCATGCTGCTTGTGTGGTGTTGGATGGGGGGAACAATGTTTTGAAGCTCGTTTCGAACGTTCTTTGTGTGTCCAGGTCCTCAATGACCCGTTTCATACCAGGGGTATTTGTTTGTTTCCAGTGTTGAGCAATTAAGCGCTGTGCTGTCAACATTATATGTAACAGGAGTTTTTGCTTGGCTCTTGGTAAGCTTTTTGGGAGGTCGGTTATTAACATCTGGCGGGGCGCAAAAGGAATGGAGCAGCCAGCCGCCGCTTGTGCAATTTTATGGATCCCCGCCCAGAAAGTCTGGATGCGGGGGCACGTCCACCAGACGTGCAGGACCGTGCCCTCAGCCTCATTGCAGCGCCAGCATGTGTTAGAAGTGGCAGGAAATAGTTTGTGCAGCCTGCACGGTACCATGTACCATCTATATAATGTTTTATGGCTTTGCTCCAGATGGGCGGCTGATTTGATCAGGAGCCTGGGCAAACGGAATATGCGCTCCCAGTCTTTTCTCAGGAGGGAGCAGTTTAGGTCCGCTTCCCACATTTGCGCTGTTTTTGAGGCAGCGAAGGGTAGATGGCGTGACAGGAGCTTGTAACTCATGGAGATCGGTTTACATGCAATGGGTAGTAGTCCCTTAATAAGCATTAGTTCCCACCCCGTTGGGGTTTCTGGGGTCAAATTGGACCCAGCATCTCTACAGTAGTGTTTGGTCAGAAACGACCGTAGTTGGATATAGGAGTAGTGTGAAGTGGGAGGCAGTGAGTATCGGATTTGCATCTCTTCAAAGCTAAGCATTTTGCCCTGATTGTACAGATGCGTCAGGTGGGTGACACCCCGGGTCTGCCATGGTATGGCGTGGAAAGTGGGGATGCAATATGTGAAAGACTTTATCGGTGTTGCCAGGGAGAACCCCTTGTGGCCGCTAAACAGTGTCGCATTTTTGTCCCAGAGCCGTAAAAGTAAAGTAGTCGAGTGTGGTGCTAGGGGCCATTGCGGTCTGTACTTTTTTGGTATCCATATCACATCGGCCAGTGTGTGTGGGGCCACCAACTCTCGTTCTAGGAGTACCCACTGCGGTGGTGGTGTCTGGAGGAAATGTGGGAGGGCAGTGGCGATAACAGTTGCGTGGTAATACGTGTGTACATTAGGCAGTGCTAGGCCACCGTCTCGTTTGGGTGCGTTTAGTAAATTCTGTGCCTTTCTGGGTTTGCTCCCCTTCCATACAAATTGATTTATGTCTGATTGGACCGTTTTGAGGAAGGATCTGGGGAGTTCTATTGGTAGGGTACGGAACAGGTAGAGCAACCTAGGGAGGATTGACATTTTGATCGTTATAATTCTTTCGGTCCAAGACAGATATAGTGGCGACCATTTTTTGAGCAAGTTACGGCAGTTGTTCCATGTGGACACATAGTTTGCCGCGAATAGTGCAGTGTGGGCCTTCGTGTATGTAATCCCTAGATATGTGATAGTATCAGACCTCCATTCGAACGTATATTCCCGTTGGAGTTGTGTGGTAAGTTTGGTCGGTAGGGATATGCCTAGTGCTTGGGTCTTGGATGTATTGAGGGAGTAATAGGACACCCTCCCATATTCCTTTATCAGTTGCATAACTGCTGGGAGTGTGGTGTGGAGATGTGTCAGGTAGAGTAGAATGTCATCTGCAAAAGCTCCTACCTTAACCACTTTGTGGCCTATCCTAACCCCCTGGATTTCCTCATTTGCTCTGATCTCTTCCAACAAAGGTTCTAGGGCCAGGACGTATAGCAATGGGGAGAGTGGGCACCCTTGCCTCGTCCCATTTGTGATCTGAAAGGGAGAGGAGAGGAATCCCGACTGGAGCACTTGCGCCGAAGGATTCGCATAGAGTGCGAATATTTGTCGGCACACCTGGAGCGGGACTCCATATGCCTCCAATACTCCTTGGAGGAAGGGCCAGCCCAGGCGGTCGAACGCCTTTTCGGCATCCAGCGCTAGCAGGAGACCGCCCTCTCTGGCCCCCCTGAGCTGCTGGAGGACCACCGACAGTTTCCGAGTGTTGTCCAGGCCTTGTCTACCTTTTACGAAGCCTGTTTGGTCGTCTTTGATAAGGGAGGGTAGTATGGGGGCAAACCGGTTTGCCAGGATTTTTGCATACAGTTTAGCATCTGTGTTGAGCAGGGAGATGGGGTGGAAGTTTTTGCATTGGTCAGTCGGTTTTCCGGGTTTCGGCAGAGTCACTATAGTGGCCCGCAGCATTTCTGCCGGCAGTGCTCCCCTCTCCATTGCCTGATGGAAGGTTTCCAGCAGGTGTGGTGCCAATGTTTGGGCATACTTTTTGTAATAGAGGTTTGAGAGCCCATCTGCTCCGGGGGACTTGCCATTCGGTAACTCTTTGATAGTGTCTAATATCTCTTTCACTGTGAGGGGGCATGTCAGGGTTTCGACTTGGCTACTCGATAGTTGGGGCAGTTTGATGCGGGCAAGAAATGTTTTTACCTCATCTACAGTGGGGGTATGTGTATCGGGGTCGTCCCTCAAGTTATACAATTTGGAATAGAATGTGGCGAACGCGTCACCAATCTCTTGGGGTCCTAGCCTTTTTGTCCCATCTTCCCCCATTACGTGCGCTATCCTATTAGTTGCCAGTTTGTCTCGCAGTCTTGCTGCCAGGTACTTGTTGGCTTTCCCCCCCGAGTGATAGGTAGTCGCTTTCAGTCTGTTTAATAAGTACTCAGTTTTCGTTGCGTTTAGTGCATGTAGTTTACGGTAGGTCTGCTGGAGTTCCGCAGCCAGAACCTTATTTGGGTTGGTTTTATTTCTAGCTGTCAGTGTTGCTATTTGTTCGTGACATCGGAGTAGATCTTCCTGTCTCTGTCTTTTTAGGTGTGCGGCTCTCTTAATGAATAGGCCTCGGATAACCGCTTTATGTGCTAGCCAAACCGAGGTTTCTGATACCTCTCCCCCACTATTCAGACGGAAGAAGTGTTCTAGTTCGTCATTTATAAGTGTAGCAAAGGAGTCGTCAGATAGTAGCGACTCATTGAGCCTCCAGTTCCCTCGTCCCTTGAATTGGAACGCGTCGTGTAGCGTGAGATAAATTGGGCTGTGGTCTGACCAAGCAAATGAGCCTATTTTACAATCCGCCATTTGGGCCAGAGACCTGCTATCAACTAGGAATGTGTCGATGCGGGAATAGGTGTTATGCACCGCGGAGTGGAACGTGTAGTCCCTCTCCGTGGGGTGTGTGACCCTCCAGCCATCGTACAGGCCGTGTTTTGAGATCAGGGTGGTGAGCCTTTTGCATGTGTTGGATAGGCGTCTACCCCTATTACGGGATGGTGTAGCTGATGTGTCCAGTTGTGGTGACTGGATGAAGTTAAAATCCCCGCACAGAATCAGGCCTCCCTGTCGGTGGTCCTCCACAGTCTGGAGAAGTTTGTTTAAGAAATTTGTCGAGTCGGAGTTGGGAAAATAGGCCGTAACTAGTGTGTATTGTGTGGCATTAAAAAGGCCCACTAATATAATAAACCTCCCTTGCGGGTCAATGTATTGGCTTTGGACCTCCAGAGCTATGTCTCTGCTGATGAGGATTGACACCCCTTTTGTTTTGTTGGCCGACCGGGCGTGGAATTGAGTAGGATAGTGTTTAGCGTATAACTTTGGTTCCGTGGAGGACTTAAAGTGAGTTTCCTGGATGCACGCTATATCTATATGTTGTTGTCTGAGCGTCTGAAATAGTAGGTTTCTTTTAGTCGGGGAGTTAAGCCCCTTCACGTTATAGGAGACTATTTTCATAATAGAGTGTTAGATTTTGAGCGTGTGGTGACTCCTGGCTCCCATAGTGAGAGCACCTATGTAGACGTGTGATGGACAGCATGCAGTACATATTATCACAGTACATATCAATAAGAGTTGTGGTGAGGAACACAGTGTTGTAGTTGATCGAAATCCAACTTGGTGGGGGGAGGGGGGTGGGGGTAGAAAAAACAAGGGGGAACATTTAAGAACAAGTTACAAAGAGCTCAAGTCTCTTGAGCTGTAATGTGCTCAGTAAAACTGGGCACAAGTAGTGGGTGACGTGGCTATAGGTCAGTTTGATGTGGTATTGACCTAGATTGGGGGAGGTGATAAGGAGTCGCTCAGAGGGGACCATGGAGTGGTAGTGGCATGGGAGTATTGGGTTGTGAGAGACTCTGCTGCAGGATGCTCAACCACTTTGTGTCAATGCCCTACTCTGTCTGTGCTCTGTTAACCGGAGCAGGTGTGGAGTTTTGGGGTATGAATGCTATTGGGCAGCGCCTATTCTAGCCGTCAACTAAATGCTGCTGCGGTGTTATGCATAGTAAGTGGTGCACACAACATTAAGCATTATACAAGCCTATTTCAGGGTAGCAAATGAGCGATGACACAACATTAAAATTGAAATGGTTAGTAAAACAGTGGTCAGCAATCATGCAGCGTATACTCAGCCTTCACGTTAGGCTCTGGACCAGTCCACCGACAGTCTTGGTATCTTTTTCGCGGGTTGCACCGGTACATCCGGTTTGGGGAGCCCCCAGTCTTCCAGCTTCTTCAATCCTTCCTCCATTGACGTGATAGGGTGGTTGGAGTTGTCGTGATGAACGATAAGTTTCGCTGGGAAGCCCCACCGATACGGAACCTCCTGCGCTCTCAGTGCGGTGGTGATAGGAGCGAGTGACTTGCGGAATTGGAGTGTGTGCGCTGACAAGTCCGCGAAAATCTTCAGGTTTTCATATTGGGAGGGTAGGTTATCTTTTCTAGCTGCTTTAACAATCTTCTCCTTGATGTGGAAGAAATGCACTCTGGTGATTACATCTCTGGCCGTTGAAGTAGGCAGATGCTGGGGTCTCCTGAGTCTGTGCGTTCTATCCAGAACTACTTGATCTGGGTGGACCTCTGGAATCAGCTCTAGAAAAAAGGCCTGGAGGTAACTGTGTAGGGCTTCATTTGTGATTGATTCAGGAATACCTCTGATGCGCAGATTATTCCTCCTAGATCTATCCTCCAGGTCAGCAAGTTTCAGGTTTTGTTCTTGGATTAGTTGGTGCATCTGGCATAGCTGGTCAGCCATGTTGTTGTGCGCGGAGGCATGTTTGCTGACTGCATTCTCTATATGTGATGTGCGTAGGCCCAGGTCCTGTATATCTCTCTTAAGCTCACCTGCTAGTGATTTGAGCTGCCCCTCGATGGTGCTTTGGATCTGCATTGTGAAGTCTGCCATAAAGGACTTCATTGTGGCCAGTGTGAGGGGACTGTCCTCCAGTAGTGAGGTGGGTGAGGAGGGAGGAGATGGAGAAACTTCCCTGGATCCGTGGCCGCCGCCATCTTGGATTTCCTCGCGGCCTTGTTTCCCATGCGCGGCTTTTGCCATGAAGAATAGTGTTTTGTCGGCTTTCGCCGGTCTTTTGGCGGATCTGTGGGACATAGCTCCGTTTTCCTCTCGGTTCGTGCCGAGATTAATTGTTGCAGCCCGGTTATTTTTTCCCCTGTATCCTGCGGCTCCCCGGAGCTCTAGCAGAGCACGTCCATGCGGCTCGGATGCTAGGCCACGCCCCCCCTGAATTATTTTTTTTAATGGTTCAGACAATCATTTTATTCTGGCCTATATTTAGGTCTGGCCCTCGGCACATAATAATCTCACTACCCCCTTAAAAATCCCGAACCCCGATTAACCAAATTACATAAAACCAATATCCTGTGGGAAACTCCTTTATTGACCTGCGCTGAAATGCACATCAGCCGTGTGGATTAATGTATTCAGCCATTGTGTATAAAACAAAGCATTACAAGAAAGGTTACTATGTGTATGTTTTATTCAGGGATGTATTTACCACAAGGCAAACAAGGCATTTGCCTAGGGCGGCACTTTCGGGGGGGCGCCAAAAAATGCCACCCCAAGCTCCCAGACAAATGCCTTGTTTGCCTCTTGTTCTGGGGCTGTTTACCTTGCTGTAAGTGAGTGTAGCTGTCAGGGTGTGTCTGTGAGTGAGAATGGGTGTGCCTGTGAGTGTGTGTCAGTGTGTGTATGTCATTTTATGTGTATCTGAAAGTGTGTGCCTGTCAGTCAGTGAGTGGGTGTGTCAGTGTGTGTCTGTCAGTGAAAGTGTGTGTTGGTAAAACAGTGTGCCAATGACTGTGTATATCAGTGCATGTATCAATGAGGGCATGTGTCTGTCAGTCAAAAAAAATGGCCTTGACGCGAATAGGGGGGGCATATTTAGATTTTGGGGGTGTCCGAATTTAGTCGTGCCTAGGGCAGCACAAATCCAAAATACACCACTGGTTTTATTTATATCACATTAGGTATACTTAGCACTTCACAGGTTACATTACAGTAGAGGGAGGTACAGTAAGTGCTGTACATATACAGTGTGTGTATATTTGATTTATATAGCTCTAACATGTATACTTAGCACTTCACAGGTTACACCTGTAACCTGTAAAGGACCTGTGTGAATAACTCTAATACAAGAACAAAATTTAAAAAGTACATACAACTCACATTGTACCGAGCTACTCTGAGCTCAGTATAGATGTGGATTATGTTAAACATGCTTTAATGTTTATATACAGTGATAATGGGAAGATGGTTTAGAGACCCTTTGCTATACTGTGACATTGATACTTCCATCAAATCCTACCCCTGAAACCAATACTCCCCTCATTATATTGATATCAGGCAAGATGATGCCAAGTCTTTATTTACTGAGCACTGAGTGGCTCAATTTCATGTGAGGAAGCATGGCATGTTATTATGCCTTCTAGTTAATCCTTTATGGTCAGTTTACCCCTAATTTATCCCAGGACATTCTTAAACCGACTCTCCAAATTTTTTATCAGCTTTTGAGCCAACCTCCTATTATTTCTTCTTTTTCTCAGTTTGTTGTTATGTTTGTTTCTCATTCATGATTAAACTTTCTAATGTTGGCTGGCCTTTATGAAATGCACTTTGTGCTGGATGTAAACAAAGAATTCTAAAGTTAAATAATAAAGTCTCTCTCTGTCAGGGACGCTCCTCTTACTCGATCCCTGGAGGTTACATCCCACGTGACTTTAAAATGTGTAATAGGACTCATATAACGGTATCTTTTAATTGCTTGAACTATTTTGAGCTGGTTTAATACCAGATTGATAACAATGCTTCTAAAGAAATAAACCTAGTTTAAATCTAAGTCTTTTCATTGTCAAACAGTAATCAAATTGCCAAATACCCGTTATCTTCATTATAACGTGGATCGGTTAAAACAAATTTGTGTACAAGTCTAGTATTTTGTTGTTTAGTTTAGTAGTCTTAGTAGTCAGTAGAGACAAATCAGACATTGAAGTGGAGAAATGAATGGTTATGTATAAACAGTTTCATGCTCTGAAAAGTGCTCTAAAGCAAAAAAAGTGGAGGAATCGTAGCAAGGAGATAACTTTCGTGGTATTTTACTAAAATGAGGATTGTTGAGAATACCAAGTGAACTCAAAGTGAATTTAAAATTTAAGGCCAAATAACTGAATTTCAACAATTCTCCAAATGTTCCACTTATTAGTTATCAATTTTGGCTATTTTTTATCTAATACGTGAAATTCAGTATGAGTTCCCCTCAATTCTCACTTTAATGCATAACCCTGTTTCCATGGCTCTAGTCTTATTTTCAAATCCACAATGGAACGTGGAAGCTCTATATCATGAAGGTCAATGGAGGTTAGCAGAGGTGGCCATTTTGTTTCTGGCCTGCTGTTGCTGAAAACTATATCTAGATTTGTGAATGTTGTAAAGTTATATTTCACTGAACAGATGTAAACAGACACGACTTGAGTAAGAATGACTGTTTAATTCTCATGCTGCTTGTTTAGGGCAAGACGCTGATTGCAGATGATATCTTGAGAGCATATTTTGGGGAGGAAGCATCTGCACGTCAATTCAGAGCCTCCATGCAACAGATAGTCAATGCCAATGCCAACATGGACTTCTTCAGTGGGACCCGAGACGACCCGCTGTGCCATTTTGACTCTGAGAGATTGTTATCAGGAAACAGCCGCCTCCTGAGGTCCCGTGAGAAGCTCCTAGAAGCTGTGATAGCAAAAGACTATGAGGGGGCTCGGCAGAAACTAGGTCAAATATTGCACTCTCTGCAGGTAATGCAAGAACTGTTTCTATATATACCAAGAATTCGAGACTTGTTGAGTGAGAAGTCCACATCTTTTATAATTTCATTTAAACCCAGTTTAACTAATGAATATAACTTTAAATCATACACAATATGGGATATCTTCATCGAAAAGGTCCTGGTAGATGTGTAAACATAGACATTATTAGACTTCTGCATTCCAATCACAGGTCGTTCGAACTGACCGTAACAGAATGTTTTTTTGGCCGAACCAGTTTATTTCACTGTGCACAAGTCTTATCATTGTATTGGTGGACTGCTGTCGGCAATCCATATCTAGATTCAATAACTTTGCAACAATGTAAATAATTAAGATTATACACCATCACAATGTAATCCTCTTTATTCCATTGTGTAATCTTTGCATTCCTCTCAGGATTTCTACAGTCACACTAACTGGGTAGAGATGGGAAACACGGACATTAACACCGATCTGGCTTCTCCAGGAAAACAAGTCAACTCTCTGGCCAGAGGTAGGAGACCGACCTTCCATGGAACAGCTCGCCACTAACTTCTTTTCTTTACTAATAATTATTTATTACTGGTATCTCTTTATGTCATCTTTGACCCTTCTCTGTCTTTTACTATATTTATTTATTTTGCTTTCTGTATAATTAGTTTTCTTCAATTTATGCTTCTTAAGTCTTCGCTTTCTCTTTAACCTCTTCTGCTTTCACCCACTTTGTTGCTCTTTCCCCCCTTCCTGTGATGCATGAAATCACATTACATGTTTCTCCCGTAGTCATATGGGCTTCATCCGACTATTAAAGACTGCACATTTGTGAGATTATTTTATATTCGTAACGCTTTAGTGTTGCTCTAAATAAGGGTTAGGGTTAGGGTACTTGATCCGTACTGCAGCATTACGCATTTTCACTTATTCTTTCCGTGTCTGCCCCTTGAACCAATCGTTCTGTCCACCCCTTTCTGTTCAAAATCTCTGCCAACATAGAGACTGTGGCCATTTTGCTTCTGTAATTACCCCACAAAAAACATTTACGACCAGCCAGCAAAATGCAGAGTAGGTGGCCTCCCTGCTTACACTGTGTCTCCTATCAACCCTCATTATGCCTCCCCTGTTGTTATTATTTTCCTCTCGTCCCCTCTTTCAGCCTCCGACCAGACCTGTACGGATTGTTCTGACAGCTTGTGCCAGAATAACATTGCTGACTTTATTAATGAAAACAAACTCCTGACATCGGGATACTACGGAGAGACACCCAACAAGCCTCAAGGTAAGTACCATGCCAGATTTATAGGAAGAGATGGCACCCACAAATATTAAAGATGCTTCCCCAACCCTCAATGAAAAAAAAATATTGTATCACTGGTTACATAGTAACAATGTTTCCAGTTCCAAAAAAGAAAAGTTGAAATTTATGTACTTTTGGTGGCATTTCGCTAAGCTTGCAGTACTAGGACAGAGTTTTGCCAGTTTCCCATGTCTTTTATTTGCACTAACTTGTTCTCTGATTGTAGAGTCACCCATTGCCTGCTGGACCATGGCTGGGGTCTCCTTGTTTTGGATTAGTAACAAGAACACTTGCAGGAGACATCCTACTTATGAAACACAAGCAACACTACAAGACATGGGATAAATCCTATAGATGCAGAGACATTAAGACGTACCAGTACTGGGACATAATCAGGTTTAGAAAGGAAGAACTGCAAGAAGATGAAACACAAAGTGAAACAGAATAACCAGATGTTCCTTAAATTCAGGAGAACAGAGTATAAGCCAAATGTCAATGTGGTAAAAAACCCAAACTGGAGGAACAGCATAAATGGCCCAGGTCAAAAACAGGAAGATATCGTAGGCAACAAGCTAGGCTACAACACAAAAAATAAAGCACTAATCTCAACATCTCTAAGGAAGAAAGTACCACAAAAAAATATCATAGAAAAAAACTGGAACCAATTTAAATTGTACACACAGCCAGAATGCCAGAACAAGGATGCAATAGTCACTTGGCCCACTAGCATACAGAGATTATGGGACACAGAGCCACAGCATTCTTCTGCAGATTAAAATAGGCCTTGTGTGGGGTTTTACGTGGGCTAGTGGTCCGTAATCTCAATTCACTCTAGGAATGGGTGAGATATTTGCCAGGAAACTGTTTAATGGGATGTTATATTACATTTACTTCTAAGCACATATTGCTTAATGGAGCATTAAGGTTTTTATAAACAAGTTGAGATATGTGTGTGTGTGTGTTTGTGGTGTGTGCGTGTGTGTGGTGTGTGTGTGTTTGTAAAAATAACTATAGAACAATTACTGCCATCTTTGGATGAAAATTGGAATTGTGTTTGTGAATTTAAATAAATTGACACATGCTCCTGCCTAGTTACAACAGGCATAGGCCAAGCATTCTTCTAGCCTTTTAAAACCAGTCATTTGTTTTTAAATTAAACCAGGAAAATGTAGCCATGGGGGTCCGTTTGATGACAGCCGCCATCGCAGTGCACTTGGAGGGATCAACAAGGACACAGCCTCGTCCATCTATTCCCCCCACCACTTCCTTCATCATAAGGCAGCCACGTTGGCTCTCGAGGCTTCCATTAACTTTCTGAGTGAGCTGAAGATAGATATAACAGACAAAGAGATGCTGAGGTGAGGTGCATCTTAGAGATGACGATAACTCCAAGAGAAACCTGCCAAGTGCAAACATGAACATCTTTTTTTTTTTTTTTTGTTACAAGAAATAGCTACAACTTTTGATTTACCTGACCAGACGCATTGAGAACTTTATAAATGTTAGATTGAACTTTAACATCACAAATGAAATAGCCTTGCTAATTATAACTTTAGTAGTGTCAGACTTACTTCCACCTTTCTGCATAGCCTTACCAAAATCCAGTTGAAGTCAATGCGATATGCATATTGGAAAGATGTATAAAATATACAGGAATTTGGACATTTATTACATCTTAATTGCCACTGAATTTGTCCTTTTTTTTTTTCAATTTGACAATTTTTATTTTTTGGGTTTGCGTGGGGTACAGAAGAGAGAAGGGTTAGGGTTGTAGCGTTATCATCGTCGTACAGTTCCCATCAGTAAAGTACGTTGTTGTACATGCTTACACAACAATAAACAGCCTGATTTAGCAAGAAACAACATTATTAAACATCATTGTTAAACGCCTCCGGACAAGATTTGTGTCAGATCTTGCCATCTGTCTAATGAGGTGTACGTGGATTGGTCTGTCCTTCTGCCTCAGCTGTCTATGCGGCCCCTTGTTCTGGGACTTCTTTAGTCTTAGTGCTCCTAGAAGCACAGCTTGGTGTGTGCATTAAGGTTGCTAATTGGGGGGAGGTGGTTAGATGGGGAGAATGGGAGGGTTTGTTACTTTCCTCGTCTAGCCCCAGAGGATTTCTCTGGCGAGCCTCGTGAGCCCTTAGGCTCCCTTGGTTCCTTTGTGTCGCCTGTTGCGTGTTACCAGTACTTCATCATGCGGTCTGGCAGCTAGCGAGTGTTCTAGCTGACTCCTTTTGTTAACATGAATTTGTCCTTTTTGTCACCACATCCAGAGACACTCTACCCAGCCTTTCTCATTCCCACCACATCCAGAGTCTTTCTCTTTTGCACCATACCCATCTACATCACACTTCCCAAATACTCTGCTCCACCAATCTTCCTCAAACGCTACTAAATCAATTTTGCTTTTCCTACATCCCCCATAATGTCTTACTCAGAGAATCTTTGCTCCTCCATGCTTGTCCCTTACACATCCCTCATTTATCTACATTCTACCACATTCAGAGAAACTTTGTTTCCACCATCCATTTCCTTTCCAGGAGATTTGCTCAGAATCATGGGAAATGTAGTTTGTTACAAGCTGAGCATTCAAATTTAGACGTGATTATTACTTACGTGTTATTACGTGTTATTGATCAGATATACACAGAAACATCAACTTTTCTGTTCGCCTTCCCTGTGCCTCTTTCCTCCCAAATCTGACTGTATATTGTTTTCATAAATAACTTTCCATCATAACCGCCATTGTCTTCTCCCTTCCATTCTCTCCTCCCAGGCTCCTGGGAGTCTCTTCCTTTCCAGCTCTGAGCTTTGTTGTAGATACTACTGGCAGCATGGGAGAGGAGATCACAGCAGTCCGACGCCAGGCCCACAATATAATTTACCGTCAGAACATGCTTCCTCCTGACCACTTCATTCTGGTTCCCTTCCACGACCCAGGTACATCTCAAATCACCATTTTCGTTAGTTGTCTTCTTCCTTTAGCATACAAGGGTTCCAGCTTTTAAATAACATGTATGATACATTTTTGGTATATAAGTCATAATTAATTTATCTATATTTCTAGGTTTCTCAATCATCAAGTGGGTCTTTTTCCATCTATAAATTGATTTTACACTCCATAACATTAATGACACTTGAACTGTAAAATGTGGTTAGTTGTTTCGGAGTGGTGAATGAGAACTCAAGGTGCAATCCAAGAGCGTTGGGACCATTCGTAGACCCCTATTGTAGTATGTGATAAAATATTGACCTCCTTGTTGCTTTTAGGTTTTGGACCTCTTTTGGAGACCAGTAACCCTAGAGAATTTCTAAATCACTTGGATTCTTTAAGTGCTCTAGGAGGGGGAGATGAACCAGAAATGTGTCTATCAGCTCTGCAGGTATCTATCAGTCTGTCAATCTGCCCAACTTGGCAAGAATATGTGGATATTTTTGTTCCATTTTTGATGTAGTTAAAATGTAAAAAAAATAGTCCCTACAAAATCGGATACTATTTGATGATGTATCTCCCTCGTGCCTGCCCTTTTACAATAATGCCATTATATTTTCAGCTGGCTCTGATCCACACCCCTCCTTATTCTGAAATCTTTGTGTTCACGGACGCTTCATCCAAAGACATGGAGTTGAGGAGCTCAGTGGAGGCTCTGATCCAGGAGAGAAAGATCAAGGTCAGATGTCTTAGAATAGCACATGGAGTAGAATGTTGAGTGGAAGTGATTGATGGGGAACATGAAACCAAACTGAGACAATAGAAAAACGCTCCAAGTCAGAGGAAGAAATGTTTGAACTTCAGTTTGTTTAAAATAAACTTATTTAATTCATTATGAAATTATTTAATCTTATTTTAAAAAAGCTGTTAAGAAGTTCAAAAAAAGTCTATGAAAGTTGTAAAATAAGTCTGTTTTCATTTTTATTCCCCAAATAATCTGTCTTTTAGAGCAGACAGGGGCTGCCGTCTTGTAATATCATATGTTAATTTTTATGATCAATCCCCATGGCTTGATTTAATAATTTGTTCTGATTGGCTGAGTGAAAACAACAAGTTGTTAATCAAAATGCAGCCTTGTTTCCAAATGGGTTATTATATTTTATTGATATAAAGAATGCAGCCTCGTTTCCTATTATATTTCCATAATATTTTCTATTATATTTTACAGATTTTATAATCTAATTCCTCAAAAAAAAAATAGACTTTCACATGTATATTCAAATGTATTTTCCAAATCTAAACCATTTCTACTAAGCTATTACTGAACCTGTGAATAGGTTCTGACAGTCAGAATTAAGAGTAGGAGGACTGTTAGAGGAACTTTGCAATTATACAACAAAGAATTCTTTTCTCAGGTATCTTTCTTGATCACTGAGGATCCCTCCAGGACGCAGGGCCGTGGGCGTAAGAGGAGGGAACTGTTACGCCAGGACAGGTTTAATCTCTATTCTGAACTCGCTTTCACATCCGGCGGACAGATCATCTTCTCCAACAATGAAGACATTAATGCCGTGACAGACATAATTAAAGAGTCTTCACACTTTGATATTGTGAGCAAACGTATGTAAAGGCTTGTGGTTACGTGTGTGGAGTTAGAGATTCGGACATCAGCAAGTAATAGGAGTGCAGTAAGTGGCTGGGGAGCAGTAAGTGATGGGAATATGGCAAGTGATGGGGAATCAGCAGTCTTGGGAGTACAGTAAGTGACTGGGGTGCAGTAAGTAACTGGGGTGCAGTAAGTAATTGGAATATGATAAGTGATGGGGATTCGGCAGTGCTGGCAGTACAGTAAGTGACTGGGGTGCAGTAAGTACTTGGAATATGTCAAGTGATGGGGAATCAGCAGTCTTGGGAGTACAGTAAGTGACTGGGGTGCAGTAAGTGGCTGGGGTGCAGTAAGTAATTGGAATATGGCAAGTGATGGGGATTCGGCAGTGCTGGCAGTACAGTAAGTGACTGGGGTGCAGTAAGTAATTGGAATATGACAAGTGATGGGGATTCGGCAGTGCTGGCAGTACAGTAAGTGACTGGGGTGCAGTAAGTAATTGGAATATGACAAGTGATGGGGATTCGGCAGTGCTGGCAGTACAGTAAGTGACTGGGGTGCAGTAAGTAATTGGAATATGACAAGTGATGGGGATTCGGCAGTGCTGCCAGTACAGTAAGTGACTGGGGTGCAGTAAGTAATTGGAATATGTCAAGTGGTGGGGATTCGGCAGTGCTGGCAGTACAGTAAGTGGCTGGGGTGCAGTAAGTGATTGGAGAGGTGCATTAAGAAGAATAAACTCACACTGTGCTTTTCTTTTTTTCGATTCATGTAGGTGAATCTGCTTGATGTGAAGAGCGAGAAGAGGGGTGAAACCACCCACATGTTCGAGATTGATCATTTCATACGTAACGTCACTCTCTTTATAAATGGCGATATCAGAGGAATCAATGTCTATAACCCTGACGGTAAGAACAAAGGACCTGTGTGTTAAAAATATGATCCTCAGGCCATTCTGAGTAATTTAACCAATTCCTCCTCTTTATTTCGACTAACACAATTATATCATCTGTTACTCTTTGAGTAAAGATGGCGTAAGTGTGAGCTGTCTATACAGATAAATGCTCTGATACGGTTACACCACGCTGCTATAAGCCATAATTAGCCGACCGTAAAGGAATTATGTACGATTCTGTGCAATATAAACTACAAAACTAAAACTGCTGCCGCAAAGATAAAGTAAAATCTTTAAAAACCAACATTTACATCAATGCGCCAATGCGAAAATAGCAGCGAGATAATGAAAATGTCTCTACAGGAGCCTCACCAGTTTATATCGATTTACAACGCTAGATGCTTGAGGTTACTTTATTTAGGCTTTTCTCTCTCCTACTAGGCCACATTCAAAATGTCAAAAACCACAGGGAAGGCTTGTTCACACGAATATCCCTAGAAGATCCTCTAATGGTGGGGAATTGGAGCATCGCTGTCGAAAACACGAAACCATACACATTGCATGTGCAAGGTGACCGGAGTCATTCAGCTTTCTCTAATATTCACGCACTATTATTATTACATCCCTTGATTAATTTCTCTATCGTTAAGTCAGTTATCCTCTATTCACTGCTCGCTTCGTCCTTCTCTCATTAAGGCAGAAGTCTTATAAAACGAATGTCCTTCAATGTATCTTTTTTATCCATTATGTACGTTGTATCTTCTCACATCCTAATCTTTCTCCTCTTCCATCTTTCTGTCTCCCCCCTTTTCCTGTCGTGTAACTTTCTTTGTAATCGTCTCCCTTTCTGTTACACAGGACGGAGTTCTTTTGACTTTCTGTACTATTTTGGGTCTTTCCTGAATGGGTCTCACCCTGGACTTTATAAATACACCAACCAACCAGTGGCAGGTAAGTCATTTAATATACCTAGTGTCTCCAAGGCACAATTCTCTACCTATCTGTTCAGCACGTGTCACTTAGTACCCCTCTTCAATTCACTATTGTATGGACACCATTTTTTTTAGTGCTCGTTTCAATAGCGAGTTCAGCTTAAGAAGTAAGTCCCTAATAAAACGGATTATTCAGCCTAGCGCACTCCTGCTGCTGTGAACTGTATAATGTGCCTCATTTGGCCACATTCTAATTTCAAAGCACCGTTACCAACCCTCATTGCTGGAGATTAAAGGGTCACTCTGGACCCCTAAAGTTCTTCAGCTTGCTGAAATGCTTTATGTGTAAAGAGTGTTTTTCTTTCTTTTTGTTCTCCTTAATTTTACAAAAAGTGAAGATTTCAATAGAAATTGACAATTTTGTAAATGAACCTTGTTACAGCCCCCCTGACTGTCAGTCAGATAACCGGTCCTGTTACTTCCTGGTTTGGTTAGCTCAGTGGAGCTAAACTCATGATGCAGTAATTGCCCAGAGCACCTGTCTTGTAAAGACGTCTCATTGAGCTGCATTAAGAAGCCTGTGATTGGACAGCCACAGAAAGTCTGGGCGGGGTTAGAAGGGGAGCGCTTGTAAAGGATGCAGACAAGAGATCTACATCTTTTGCAAGTGTTTTTATATATACCCACAATGAAATAATGCATAATTAAAAGCATGCAAGTGTTCGTTGGGGGTAGTTGGTTTGGTGTTTAAAATATCCCTTTAAGTTTACTACTACTGCTACAATTACTCATCAAAAGCAAATCTGTAGCTCCTGGAGCACAGCAAACCAAAATGTATTGTAGGTTCTTCCAACCACTGTTGGTTTTAAAAAGTGAAGTTTCTCTTCTTTTACCACCACAGGTGTTCCTTCAGTCTTGGTTGTTGAAGCCATTGGCCTCCCAGAGGCTGCTCACCTGGACCAAGTCTCCCTGACATTCACTCAAGGAGAGACGCATATGTTGCCACTGGAACCGACCAATCAGAGCAGGCTCCTGATTGCAGAGGTGGGACACCTGCCCATTGGTGAGTTCAGAGTCGGGGTGACCGGCCAGGATGGCACTGGGCATGTACTTCACCGGGAGGCCCCACAGCATGGGAAAGCTACGGAATGTGTGGTGGAGGTGCGCATGAAACCTAATACTGCATCCTGTGATTGTTACAATGTGTCTTGTACTAATCCCTAGACTTCGCACTAATTCTTTGCAGCTGTTATGGACTCATTAAATTATCTGTGGAGTCCTATTTATTGAATAAAGATTCCAGAGATAAATCCCAAATGGACCAATTCGTTTGGGCATTGATTAAGAGGAATTTGATTTGTTCATAGCAGCTGAAAAAAAGTTTACTAACCACGCCAGTAGTAATGTTGTACTAACCATGCCAGTAGTAATATTGTACTAATCACGCCAGTATTAATATTGTACTAACCACACCACTATTAATATTGTACTAACCACACCAGTAGTAATATTGTACTAACCATGTAAGTAGTAATATTGTATTAACCAGTATTACTATTGTATTAACCACGCTAGTAGTATTAACCAGTATTACTATTGTATTAACCACGCCAGTAGTAATATTGTATTAACCACGCCAGTAGTAATATTGTACTAATCACGCCAGTATTAATATTGTACTAACCATGCCAGTAGTAATATTGTACTAACCATGCCAGTAATAATATTGTACTAACCATACCAGTAGTAATATTGTATTAACCATGCCAGTAGTAATATTGTATTAACCACACCAGTAGTAATATTGTACTAATCACTCCAGTAGTAATATTGTACTAATCACGCCAGTATTAATATTGTACTAACCATGCCAGTAATAATATTGTACTAACCATACCAGTAGTAATATTGTACTAACCATACCAGTAGTAATATTGTACTAATCACGCCAGTAGTAATATTGTACTAACCATGCCAGTAATAATATTGTACTAACGATGCCAGTAGTAATATTGTACTAACCACGCCAGTAGTAATATTGTACTAACCATGCCAGTATTAATATTGTACTAACCACGCCAGTAGTAATATTGTACTAACCACGCCAGTAGTAATATTGTACTAACGATGCCAGTAGTAATATTGTACTAACCACGCCAGTAGTAATATTGTACTAATCACACCAGTATTACTATTGTATTAACCATGCCAGTAGTAATATTGTACTAACCACGCCAGTAGTAATATTGTACTAACGATGCCAGTAGTAATATTGTACTAACCACGCCAGTAGTAATATTGTACTAACCATGCCAGTATTAATATTGTACTAACCACGCCAGTAGTAATATTGTACTAACCACGCCAGTAGTAATATTGTACTAACCACGCCAGTATTAATATTGCACTAATCATGCCAGTAGTAATATTGTACTAATCACACCAGTATTACTATTGTATTAACCATGCCAGTAGTAATATTGTACTAACCACGCCAGTAGTAATATTGTACTAACCACGCCAGTATTAATATTGCACTAATCATGCCAGTAGTAATATTGTACTAATCACACCAGTATTACTATTGTATTAACCATGCCAGTAGTAATATTGTACTAACCACGCCAGTAGTAATATTGTACTAATCACGCCAGTAGTAATATTGTACTAATCACGCCAGTAATATAATAAATCCATATACCCTTAATACCCCAACTACTATATTTAATATGTTTACAATGTATTTTTCATCTCAGCATGGTCATTGCAAACTTCATTAATCACACTATCTCCACTAATATCCAGGATTTGTAATTACATTGTCACACTGGACTGAACTAACCTTGTTAATGAGTTTATATAATATTTTACCGCTAACTGTTTGTGAATATGGACTGGGACTACATTGATAAGAATCCACGTCTTCCCAGACAAACTTGTAATTAGCATAACGTCTACATCAACGGGAATGTCAGATTCTGTAGGGAGAAATATAACATCTATGTTTTCTATAAAACGTCTTATGTAATTTAGGTCTATTTCATTCTGCAAGGTGATTGTAGCCCAAAATAGACAATTCTTTTCAATTTGACATTTTTTTTGCTTAAAACTTGAAATTTTCTTACAATCCTCCAAAATGTAATCCAAATATTCGAGAGAAAAATTCAGTTACAATGTGATGTCTTATAAAATTATATTAGATTAATGATCATAAGTCCAAATTTTACTATGGGTCAATAAGGCACTTGGATTTTTTTTTTATTATTATTATTATTAGCAAATTCCATGAAAGGTGTTTTTTAAAAAAAAAAAAATTATTTGTGTAAATTCCCTGCATTAGCCTGAGTGCAAAATAAAGAAGGGATAAAATATAACTTTTTATTCAGAGAACCAAAGGAGTGGAATCATCTGCACCTGTTATTTATAGAAATATGAATTTGTGTTTTTAAGATTGGTTTATACATTTATAGTTATGTATTTTTAACCCTGTAAAGAACACTGGTTAGATAAATCCCTTTGTAGTGCGACATGCCTGCCATACCACTGGTATGCTAAGGGTTAAATCTTTTAGATTTGAGGTTTTATGGTTTTCACTCCAATAATTTCAAAAAATTATTATTCTCAGTTCCGATCACTGATATATATATACATATATTCTTGTATTGGTTTTTGTGTGTGTAAAATGTTTATATAATATAAATAATAATAATATGATTACTTGCCAGTAATGGTCCTGTGTTGTCTAACGCGCCATTAACCCTTTAATACTCAGATATCCACGATGCTTGAACATGGCCTGGCTGAAGGCAAAAGGCACCTAATGTCACTTATGGTCACTAAATACGGTTCCTCTAACTGCTACGTGGTCAGACTGAGCACCGATAACAAAGATTTCAAAGTGTGCACTGATGTAAACAGGTAAGTTCTTAAATCTCCGTCCCACCAGCAGTCAGTCTGCATCAGGTAACGGAATGTCTGTTTCATCCTGTGTTTGACCTAATTTTGTACCTTTTCCACTCCTGTTTCATGTCCAGGACTGGTCAGTAGTTATAGTACCAGGGGCCGAATGTCTGTCTCTCATTGATTCACTTTGATGTGTCACCAATTAACACTACTATAATAACCTAACTGGTTGTAACCTGGTGTCCCTTTAACCTCCGAAATGTAATTAAGGATTTACACCAGAATGCCACCTCTCCGGCAGTGGAAATGTCTCGGCCTTTGTTGAGGACAATGGCCGCAGGAGATATTTGCGTGATGTTGCGTTTCAAAGTATAAAAATCAATGAACTGGGGAAATTGTCTAAGGACAAACAACTCTGATATAATCCTTAATTGCTATAAAAATATCCACGCCTTGCATTCACGTTTCCAAATTGCCATTTCTGATTATGACCCGTTCATGCCCGTTTCTGCACAGGGTCGAGTTTGGAGCTATGGACAGCGTGAATGCATCAGAATTCTGGATCGAAGCTCCGAACACAATGAATACAGATTCAATGCTGACTGTTACAGCAACAGCCGCAAGCTGTCACGATAAAACCAAAACTTGTTTCACCATGCAACGGCTGCCCGTGAAAAAGAAACCAGAGGTAAATTAGATCTAACACCCCTCTACGCCATCACTGGTATTTAACATGTTCCACTGCATTCTAACGCTGATATATATACATAACAAAGCTAAAAAAGCATATAAAAAAAACTGAGGTCTTTGACATGTGTAAATTAAAACCGGAAAACAAATTATATTTACTTTCCGCACATATTACTTTGATTTATTATGAATGATTTATTTTTGCGAACACTTTATCAACATGCAGATATCAGCCCTGTGCTCCAACTCCCGCTACTCGTAGGCTGCAACAATGTCTACAGTATTCGTCAGCCTCAATATATAAATAAACGTTACGCCTACATTGTGTAAGCAAATCCCCATCTTTGTTTGTTAAGATAGGTGATTTTAAGTAACCCTGTAAAATGTAATAGTATTTTTGTGTGTCTGCCGTTTCTTAATCTGTATTTTAAATATTTAACCAATACAGAGAACTTTTATATATTTTTTTATATATTTGGGCTGATGGGTAGTATATCCTAACTTCCTCCATGCACTTCCTTTATCCTAACATCCTCCATGCACTTCCTCTATCCTAACTTCCTCCATGCACTTTCATTTATCCTAATGTCCTCCATGCACTTACGCTATCCTAACTTCCTCCATGCACTTCCTTTATCCTAATGTCCTCCATGCACTTCCTTTATCCTAACGTCCTCCATGCACTTCCTCTATCCTAATTTCCTCCATGCACTTCCTTTATCCTAACATCCTCCATGAACTTCCTCTATCCTAACTTCCTCCATGCACTTCCTTTATCCTAATGTCCTCCATGCACTTCCTTTATCTGAACGTCCTCCATGCACTTCCTCTATCCTAATTTCCTCCATGCACTTCCTAAACATTTTGTTTCCATTGTTCACATCTAACTTCCTATAAACACCTCACTAACTCCCTATGTCTACTTTCCCTGCCTTCTCGATATCCTATGTCCACTTCCTCTTTCTTCTTTGATTTCCTGTGTCCCCTTACTCTGCATACTTTGACTTATGGATTCCATCCACTCTTATTACCTGTTTGATTTACTCCTGTCTAACTCACTTTGAGAACTTCCTACGCTTATTCCGTGTGATCATAATTGCCCCTCTCTTTTCGTCGATCCATTTAATCTTGCCCCTGTACTTTTCCCCTAAATTAATTTTCCCACAACTCATAAATTATTCTCCGTTCTCTTTGATCTTCCTTTTTCGCCTTTTCCTCTTTAATTTTCTTTTTCACTCTTCTTCCTTTTTCTTCCCTCTGGTATTCTTAGGCAATTCCCCTGATTTTCCCAAATTGTACCATCCTTTCTTACGCTGGCATATGTCCACTCTCTGAGCTTCCAAACCCGTGCAAGCAGCACCCCTGGAGTGTCACCTTCCTAGGACTGCATTCTGACGGCATTGAATCGGTTCGAGTTCTACACGGCGCAGGTTCTGTCCTGCATGAGACAGATGGGATTTATGAACATATTCATTTCACATCAGACTGCTGCTCAAAGGAAGTGGAACTTCTGCTAATCTCCTACACGAAAACGAGTGGCTATTGCCATGCACGTGCCCTTTCTGCTTCCGCACAGCCGAGTCAAGACAAACTCATGGTGTTTTTGGTTGGCATAATATTTATATGGATTAACTCTTGGTAGAGATATATAACCCCATTTTTGGACTGATTTGGCATTTCGAACAATGGCTATTTCAATATTTTGGTTCGGAAGAAGCTCGTACACGTCTTTCAGTCATCTTGGATTGTAGACAGAAGAAAACCCATATATTGACGTGGATCTATACAGCCAAAAGAACAACTCGAGAGAGAGAGAGAGAGATTTCTGAATATTTAACATTCTAAACTCAGAAGCACAAAATACCTTTTTCCGTACATGTGTGATTGGACTGCTGCACATCATTGACCACAAACGGTGTGATAATTAATTTCTGTATCATGAGACCGAGTGACAGCAAATCTCTACTGTTGATGTTTGTAATAAATAATATAAAATTATGTGTGAATGCATGTGAATGTGTAGATACTGTGCTTCTTGTCGATGCATTTTAAAAAATATACATATTTGTGGTTGTTGTTTAATAAAATTTATTTAAATTTTCTTGTCACTAAATTAAGCACTTAAAGGAACACTCCAGAACCCTAAAGCACTTTAGCTAGCTGAAAAGTTTTATGTGTGAAGAGTGTCTTTTGGATAAAGCGTAGATTTCAATAAAAATTGACACATTTTTATAAATTATATTGGTTTCACCCACTGGCTTTTCGAGGTGACTACAGGTCCTGTTACTTCCTGGTTTAGTTACATTATTTGTACTGAAATCAAGAGGCAGCAATTGTCCAGAGCACCTGCCTTGCAAAGACATCTCATTGAGCTGCATTGTGAAATCTGTGATTGGACAGCCACAGAAAGTCTGGGCGGGGTTAGAAGGGGAGGGCTTGTAAGGGCTGCAGACCAGAGATCTTCAGTTTTTACAATCTGTGTTTAAATAAACCACCAATTAAATAATGCATAATTAACGTATGGATGTTTTCATTTAGAGTATATCTACTAAACAGTGATTTTTATTTATTTTGTATTTAGGCAGTGGAGTGTCCCTTTAAGGGGAGAAGAGAGTCAACATGTATTATTATTATTAAAACATTATATAGATAAAACATCTATTAAATAAATAATACAAATAAGTTAAACTAAAATAAAAAGTGGATGTGTGCTATTGCTCTATAAACAGTCATATTGCAGCGGCTAACAGCACGCACTTATAGTCTTTCTCATACAGCGCTACACAGTGAATAAAAGCTGTTACAGATTAGAATTTGAGTAAAGATTTTTTGTTACTAAAAAAACCCAGCAAATAAACTACGTGTAAAGTGTGTGTGAAGAAAATGAAACAATAAATACAGTATTTACAAAAAGAAACTATTAATAAGAGTAAAGAGTAAAGTTTGTAAATTCTGTGTATGCCAGTGTGTGTATCTGAGTATGTCAGTGTGTTTATTTGTGTGTGTCACTGTGTGTATCTCAGTGTGTATGTATATGCCTGTGTGTGTATATCTGTGTCAAGGTGTGTGCATGTGTCCAGCTGTGTACATGTGTCAGTGTCTCTATCGTTGTGTCTATGAATATGTGTCAGTGTGTTTATATGTGTGTATCTGTGTGACAATGTGTATATATCTGTGTATCTATGTGCATACATCCCAGCAATCAAACACCAACACAACATGCAAGCACACCCATGAAAACACAGTCATTGGAGTTTGAATTCAGGCATATGTTTGTATGTAATATACAAAGACACGCCTGAATTCAAACTCAAAAATAATATACAAATACACCCCTTCACTAAAACACCAATACTACACACAATGAACATCCACATTTACAACACAACACTATGTCCAAACACACCCCTGTATGCAAATGCAGTCATTACATGCAAACGCCCCCCGTATTAAAACGCAAAAATTATATACAAACACCAACTTTACACACAAAACCACATCTACATTTAAAAGCCAACACTGCATTCAAACACAAACACTACTCACAAGTACACCACTGCATACAAACACAGCCCTGCATTCAAACACAAACACTACACACAGGTACACCACTGCATACAAAGACATCACTGCATTCAAACACAAACATTACACACAAGTACACCACTGCATACAAAGACAGCCCTGCATTCAAACACAACCACTACACACAAGTACACCACTGCATACAAACACAGCCCTGCATTGAAACACAAACATTACACACATGTACAACACTGCAAACAAACATAGCCCTGCATTCAAACACAAACACTACACACAAGTACACCACTGCATACAAACACAGCCCTGCATTCAAACACAAACACTACACACAAGTACACCACTGTATTCCAATAGCAATAGTACATACAAATACAACCCTATATGTGCACACACACATACTCTATACAAAAACATGCTTAAATTCAAACGCACAAATTCAACCCTGCAAGGATGGGCAAATGGTAGATCCCCCGCTTTTTGCCATTCTTGCCCTAGAGAGGGCCCCAAATTTGTTCTTGCATCTGGGCCCCCTCTACATTAGTTCTGCCACCGGGAGGTTGTACACTTTTACAATGTGTGATTTGTCCTTGACTGAATGTCATCATGGTGTTTAGTGACCCTTTAGAAATTTCACAACGATTACTATTTAAACAGTGAAAAATAAGAAATGTTTCCTTGATCCGGTAAAATAGATATAGATAATGGGATAACTTTCCTGTTATCTGCCCTCCATGATTTGTACTATTTCAAGGGTTAGGGTTAGACTGATAGTATAACTGAGTGAGACTAAATAAGTTTCTAGCCTTAATTTTCTCTCAAATTTTATTTTTCAAATTTTAACCGTGTTTTAAAACCATTTAACCGTTAGCCTCACTCAATCGTTATTCTAACCCTAGCCCAAGAAATAAAATAAACAGTGGAGGGCAGATAATAGAAAAGGTCTGGGTTAACGTGCTGGATCTTCAGAAGTTACCGTATATATTGTCGAGTATAAGACGAGTTTTTCAGCTGAAAACATTTTTTGTGCTGAAAACCCCCAACTCGTCTTATACTCGAGTCAATGTCTGTATTATGGCAACTTACATTGCCATAATACAGACCAGGACCGCCGGGCTTGTAATGGGGACCGCCGGTCCTGTTGGGGGCTGACAGAGAGCTGTAACTTACCTTTCCTGCAGCTCCTGTCAGCTCCCTTCTCTCTCCTCCGGTCCGGTCAGCTCCACTGTAAGACTCGCGAGAGCCGCGGCGTCAGAGCGTTGCCACGGGTTACCGTGGCAACGCTCCGCGCAGCAGTCACACCGCGAGTCTTACAGTGGAGCTGACAGGGGAGCTGACCGGACCGGAGAAGAGAGAAGGGAGCTGACAGGAGCTGCAGGAAAGGTAAGTTACAGCTCTCTGTCAGCTCCCTTCCTACACAGCCCATCCACTGGACCACCCATCCCTGACCATTTATCAAGCAGGGAGGATGAATAAAAATAATTTAAAAAAAAAAAATAATAATAAAATTTAAATAAAATAATAATATAACAAAAAATAAAATATTAAAATAAGAATAATAATAATTAAAAAAAAATGCCCACCCCCCACCAAGGCTCTGCATCACATACACACACTGCACTCACACACACACACAAACAGCACTCATACACACACACACTGCATTCATACACACACACTGCATTCATTATATACACACACTGTAAATAAATATTCAATTAATATAATTTTTTGGGATATAATTTTATTTTGAAATTTACCAGTAGCTGCTGCATTTCCCACCCTAGTCTTATACTCGAGTCAATAAGTTTTCCCAATTTTGGGGGGTAAAATTAGGGGTCTCGACTTATATTCGGGTCGACTTATACTCGATTATATGCGGTAATTCAATAGCCGGGTTCTTTTTCAATGGGTCGCACAGTGATTTCATGTGCATTAGCAATACAAGTTCTGAGATATTCCGGATTTCACAAAATTCTGAAATAACACAGACACACACGGATAGTTACAAAGTATCCACACAATTCTAGCCAACAAATCAGTGAAAAGAATGGTCGATTTAATGTTAAATATGTTGAGATTTTCATTTGATTATAAAGGATTTTAGTGAACAACTCCCAATGAGTGCAAATACTTTTCAATGTAGATGGAGGGATGCGATCTGCCGATGGGAAAATTTCACCAGTCTGGGAAAAAGAGGGTTAGTTTTCTGATTTCTGGAAAACTTCAATTATTCCGGTTATTTTATAATCTTGGTAAGCGTGCTCTATAAGAACCTTTAAATTAAAAAAAAGATATGGGTTATAGTGTGTGTTACTAAACAGCGACCTCTGGTGGAAAATGATGTGTGGTGCACATTACAATGGAAAGAATAGCAAATGGTCTGAGAATACCCTGATGATGGCCAATATCCCCATGAAGACTTAATGGTTATTGCCAATTATATATTCTGCAATGACCACTAACAAATAGCGGTAACCTATCGCACTGACATGCCGAGGGATAAAAGACATGGGAAAGATGTGGGGAGGGAGTCAGGGATGACATGAGAAGCGAATTAAATAATTAGAAGTAATAAAATAATTCCCTGTTCTCAGGGGCCAATAGTCGGGGTAATAATAGACCTGAAGATACACAGACATTGTATTTTTTTCCATTTTACCCGGCAGTTACCGTAGAACCTTTTCTTGTTTTCCCACTCTGACCTCTATCTGACATTGTCACTGGCTTTGAAATGTGACTTATTCAAACACGAAGCTCCTGATTACACAGCAATGGGCTCCAAGGGCCATTCTTTGTGCTCTCATGCTTCCCGGTTCTGTAATCTGTACACGGCATCACTATATACACAACAACTTATGCTCATATTTTCTGGCATGCAATATATTCCCAATGAGTCCGTACAAAGAATGAAGACTGGTTTCTGTAAAACTGACGTAATAATGATTAAGGTTTTATAGAATATTATTTATAGGCATTTTAAGAAATAGAATTTAACTCTAGGGAACACTGATTATTTTGATTATTTATTTTTAATTGTTATGTTTAAATACTAACTTTTATTTATCTTACCATCTACCAGTGGTACCTTATAATAACCGTCAATCACTGTTACCTTACAACAACCATCTACCACTGGTACCTTACACTGACCATCTAACACTTGTACCTTATAATAACCGTCAATCACTGTTACCTTACAACAACCATCTACCACTGGTACCTTACACTGACCATCTAACACTTGTACCTTATACAAACCGTCAATCACTGTTACCTTACACCGACCATCTACCACTGGTACCTTACACTGACCATCTAACACTTGTACCTTATACAAACCGTGTACCGTATCGTACATCGACCATCTACTGCTAAAACCTTATACCGATTTAACGACCATCTACCACTAGTACCTTACACTGACCATCTACCACTGGTAACTTACACTGATTATCTACCACTGGTACCTTACACTAACATTCTAGCACTGGTACCTTACATCAACCATTTACCACTGGTAACTTACACCAACCAACTACCACTGGTACCTTACACTAATATTCTACCACTGGTACCTTACACCGACCATCTACCACTGGTACCTTACACCGACCATCTACCACTGGTAAATTACACCGACCATCTATCACTAGTAGTACGTTACATCAACCATCTACCACTGGTCTGGTAATTTACAACGACCATCTACCCCTGGTACCTTACATCGACCATCTACCCCTGGTACCTTACACTGACCATCTACCACTGGCACCTTACATCGACAATCTACCACTGGTACATTACACCGACCATCTACCACTAGTACCTTATATCGACCATTATATCACTTTTACCTTACACCGACTGTCTACCATTGATACCTTACGTCAACCATGATCTACCACTGGTACCTTACACCGAACATCTACCACTTATATCTTACATCGACCATCTACCACTGATAACATACACTGACATTCTATGACTTGTACCTTACACCGACTTTCTACCACCGGTACCTTACACCGACCATCTACTACTTGCCTACCCCTTGTCTTTAACACGCACCATATAGCCCTGGTATTTTTCTCTTGTAACCCACCACTTACAGTACAGTGTATAGGGAACTGTTATCAGCTGCTTGGTAAACAGAGATAATCAGTAAGGTAAAGAATATTTTTCTGCTGATAAGAATTCCCCTTAAGAATTCTCGCCAAAGAAGTACAACAAAATCCATCCAGACTTGTATTCCGCTCCTGGCCGCGGCAGACTTACATTCACAGCTCTCCCCACACTGGGATATTAAAGAAGAAAGATGGCCCTTGGACTGAGACTAGTGTTCCTTATGGCACTAATAGCATCATGTGCAAACGGTAAGAAAAGATGGCACTAGAGATATATTAAGATATATGTGAATAGTTATATAATAACACAAGGTAATATATATAAAGAGAGAGATTTAACAATGGAAGCATTTAACAGAAAGAGGATGAGTTTTGATTGGTGGATTTAAAGCATTTAGTCCAGACAGGGTAGCGAGCAGTGTCACGGTTTCCTTGGATACAGCCAATGCTGTTTAAAAATGTTAATTTAAGATCATTGATGTAGACCTTCCTTCTGACTAGGGAGACAGTCAATGAACTGTGATTTGTGGTTCGCTGTAAACGAACTACTTGACAACTTGCAAACAGCCGAACACAGCTGAGACGAATTGGGAGATTAATCCAGCTAAACTATCAGGGGCTCAGTTTTTGAAACTTGTTACCTAAAATATAAATATTTTTTTGTTTATTGGATTCATTCACATAACACCACATTGTAGTGGACTAAAATGCAGTTGAAAAAATCAGGCAAAAAGAGCCATGTTGTGACTTTTGCATAATTAGTGAATTTTCCAAATCAGCTGATTTTTTCCAGTTTTTGCAATTCGGTTTTCAATTCTGCACAATTCAGTATTTAGCGACTATGCCTTATTGATTTCATTAGCCAGATATCCAAATAAAATTCATTATCCATCAGGACGCATTGTACTATTTCCCTAAGGATAAATAATCTGCTCTTCTTATTATTTTACAATTTGTCATATAATTCCATTTTATAAGAATTATTTCTGATGTTTACAGATTTTTTATTTTTTTTGCGGGGGGAATGGTACTTTCTATAACTGAATCACAGATATCTCTTAAATTAAAACAGGCTACAGTTTATCCACTAAACATCACATTTAGCAAACTATAAGGCAAATTGCTAAATGTACGCAAAAAAGTGCAGATTTTTAAAAATTCTACAGCTCAGACATGACATGTTTATCAAAAATCATCATTTTTAACTCGTGGCAATTTTGATTTTAGTAAATAAACCCCAAATGTAATTAACACGCTAAGCAGCATAGCATGGCAAACTAAAAAGCTTGGATTTGTTCCCTTTAGATCAAAAGTGATAAAATTCCCCCACATTTCCAACCTGGATATTTTGAACTCCGTTTTGCAGTGTTAGTAATAAATATGCTGAAATATACCAAAACGAATGATTCCGGGTTTGACATATATGTGTAAATGTTATCTTATAGAGTTTAGCTTAAAAAAAACAATTTCCACTGTGTATCTGTGTATATTTACTTTTTATGCTAAAATACAGCACCTACCATGTTGCATAAAAGATCCATCATTAAATGCTCGATGATCTACCGGATGATTTCTTTAAAGCACAGTGATTTTCAGCACTCCATATATTGTGGACTACACCTCCCATAATAAATTATAGCCATAATGCTGCAAAGCTTCAGTTTAGATGTGGTCCATAATATCTGGAGTGCCGAAGGTTGCCTACCCCTCATCTGTACTCTTCCCAGTCACTTTGTCTGAACTTATTCTTAAAGGACCACTATAGTGCCAGGAAAACATACACGTTTTCCTGGCACTATAGTGCCCTGAGGGTGCCCCCACCCTCAGGGTCCCCCTCCCGCCCGGCTCTGGAAAGGGGAAAAGGGGTAAAACTTACCTTTTTCCAGCGCTGGGCGGGAGCTCTCCCTCCTCCCCGCCCTCGGCCGGGCTGACGAGCACGCTGCAAGAGCTGCACGCGCATTCAGCTCATCACATAGGAAAGCATTCATAATGCTACGCTTATGCTCTCACTGTGAAAATCAGGAGAAGTAAGCGCTTCAGTGGCTGTCAATGAGACAGCCACTAGAGGATTAGGGGGAAGGCTTAACCCATTGATAAACATAGCAGTTTCTCTGAAACTGCTATGTTTATGAAAAAATGGGTTAACCCTAGCTGGGCCTGGCACCCAGACCACTTCATTAAGCTGAAGTGGTCTGGGTGCCTAGAGTGGTCCTTTAACTGAGAAGAACCTGCCGTTTTCTTAGAAGAACCCATGACATCAATCAGTGGAACATAAGAGTTTAGAGGTGTTTGGGATTCAGAATGTCTTTGCTATAGAGACAAGAAGTTAATTTCAAGGGGAGCTGGTTTCTCTGGAATTTGTGCCATTGAATTAAACAATGAAGATCACCTATAACAGGGGCCGGCATGGGATAGGCGACCTTTAGCACTCCACATGTCGTAGACTACAGCTCCCCTGATGCTTTGCATCAATACTGTCTTAAGAGCATTATGGGAGATGTAGTCCGGAACTTGTGGAGTGCAGAAGGTTGTCTCCCCTGATGTATACATTCATTTGTATTACGTAAGTCTCTCAATTTTCATTAAAATGTAGCAAATGTCATCATAATCCAGCTCAGTTCTAGCAAAGCTGAGGCAAGCATTGCAAATAAACCGGGGAATAAGAGACATTATTTTATTTTCTCCTCCTCTCTGTATGCGCTCTCTATACTGACAAAGGGCGTAGCTTATAAGAATGATTGACAGGGAGCTAAAATGGAGATGGACTCTCTATACTGACTGCCAGGTGTAAAGGGCGGAGATTATCACGATTGACAGGGAGCTAAGATGGAGGCGGCTCTCTCTATACTGACTGCCAGGTGTAAAGGGCGGAGCTTATAACAATGATTGACAGGGAGCTAAGATGGAGGCGGCTCTCTCTATACTGACTGCCAGGTGTAAAGGGCGGAGCTTATAACAATGATTGACAGGGAGCTAAGATGGAAGCGACTCTCTCTATACTGACTGCCAGGTGTAAAGGGCGGAGCTTATAACAATGATTGACAGGGAGCTAAGATGGAGGCGGCACTCTCTATACTGACTGCCAGGTGTAATGGGTGGAGCTTATCACAATGATTGACAGGGAGCTAAGATGGAGGCGGCTCTCTCTATACTGACTGCCAGGTGTAAAGGGCGGAGCTTATAACAATGATTGACAGAGAGCTAAGATGGAGGTTGCTCTCTCTTTACTGACTGCCAGGTGTAAAGGGCGGAGCTTATAACAATGACTGACAGGGAGCTAAGATGGAGGCGGCACTCTCTATACTGACTGCCAGGTGTAAAGGGCGGAGCTTATAACAATGACTGACAGGGAGCTAAGATGGAGGCGGCTCTCTCTATACTGACTGCCAGGTGTAAAGGGCGGAGCTTATAACAATGATTGACAGGGAGCTAAGATTTTTTTTTTCTGCTTGTTTAACCTTCATGTTTGTGTTTTTGACAGGATTCTTCAATAAGCCACTTAAACAATCCATCTTGAGAAATAACAAGATTCTTAATGAAAAATCAACCGACAAGAAACCTTCAATATTGGACTTGAGCTTGTCCAATAAACTCAAAAATCAGATCCCAAATATTAGGGTGCAGCAGACGCTAACGGAAGCAGTGGATGTCATTATCTCTATACCATTATGTGCACAAAATAACACAAAGATTACGTTTGTTACAATAGGATCCCCAGGGAATGCTAACACTTGGCTTCATGTAGTTGCTGTGAGGAATAAGACTATGCACAGCAATTCTTCCAGTTGTCACACTAGCTTCTGTAAGGAGGCCATAATGCCGGAACTGGTCGTATGTGTGGCTGTAGGAACCGGGACTAATAAAACAAAACTCTACTTTTCCAATGTGACCGATCAGTCACTTTTATTAAACATAGAAACTGGTTCTACTATTAGTGTGAAGCCAATTACAAGTTCTGGTGCCGTCAATACCGCCACGATCTATGTAAAAATTAATGCAGTCAGCAATAGGACGTGCATAGGTGAATTAAAAAACTCAGGCTATTCTCAAAATATGACAGCAATCGACATATCAGCTGTTACTAATCTAAACTGTTTACCCCCCTCCACCACGAGTTCAACGGTTTCCAGCAAAGGTACCAGCAGCCAGCAGACATCAACAACTATGGACATTACTCATCCATCAGAACCTGGGGAAAAGGTGGGTCCGTGTGAAAATAATAGACAACAATCTGTGTGGAATGTTTACGTGTCAAATAGACTAAAATCGCACAACTTGAATTGTTCAGAGGAGTCATGAAATGCAATATGTGCCATATGCATAAAGATCGGGTCCTTTAACCCCTTAAGGACACATGACATGTGTGACATGTCATGATTCCCTTTTATTCCAGAAATTTGGTCCTTAAGGGGTTAAATAAGAAAGTTTAAAAAATAATGCAGCTTAGCAAATTGAATTACAGATAATAATTCTATCCAAAACTGTTAAATTAACTAGCCAGTGCTCTTCATTTTATTAACATTAAGAGTATAGTATTCATATCATGGTTACTGTCTGTAGATACGACATCATCAACAATTTTGTATCACAGTTTACTGTATTTTACTGCAGATACACAGATTAGATACAAATCCATTACCAACAGGGCTTTATGGGACATGGGACAGTTTCACTCATCAAATAGTATAAATGCAGCTTCTCTTCAGCCCTTAAGGATGGAGGTAATTGTACACATTCTGGTTAAAACAAAACGTAAACAAAACCTGGAATTTGAACCATATGTCAACTTTAATTCCCCGCTTTCCTATTAAGTGCACCCACCCTTATTATATATCATTTTGTTCAGGAGAAACAGGGTTTTCACATCAGATATTTATATATGAAACATAATTTGTGAGAACATAAAGTGAGGGCATTGCTAGATATGCTAGGTTATGATATAGGCCCCTGAAGTCTAATCCGCTGTGTTGCCGGTACCTAGCTAGTTTGACTGTATAGATAAGCATATCACTTATGAGTTACTCAACACAGGTTAAGGTCGCATTAGGTGGGCGACATAGTTCAACATGAAAGGATATGGCATTAGATTAATATTCAGGCTATTCTACGCTGTAAAAACATGTTATAACATTGCTAACGTTCGTCTGTCTCAGGGAGGTCAGGCTTGAAAATATTGCGAGATATAGTCCTCTATGACTGCATGGATGTGGTGGCATGACAGCAGTCCAGGCCGCAGTGCGGCAGTGAGAGTCAGTGAAAGTCAGCCTACTCCTGTAGTCGGCACTGGCAGGGCACATACCGGAAAGTCCCATGGGGCCTTGGTGTCGCTGATCATGGAAGCTAGAGGGACTCCGCCGTTGCCTCCCGGTCCTGTGTGAGTGCCTTGGGTGGTGGGGATGTATGCTTTGTGGTGTGACAGTTTCTCTGCTCCCCATGCTGTTTGGCGAGTGAGAGACTCTGTGTGTCCCTTTGATGTGGAGGTAAAGCCCTTCAGAGTGCTGTGAATCGCTGCAATTGGGTAGAGCGTTGACAGGCTTTCTTGACTTCACCTGGTGTAGGCTGGGTATAGGCCCCTCGAGTGCGCCATTTTAGTTTGTGGAGCGGCGGGCTGCGTTTGGTGGCTCTCCGAGCCTGTCGGGACTCAGGCTTGCAGTATCGGGTGCTCCCAGTATCGGTCTGCTGCCTTTAAGTCTGGGTAGAGCTTTTGTTACCTTCTGCAGCTTCGTGTTGGTCGGTGGCGTAGCTATGCATTTCAGCGCTGGTACTCTTGCAGGAGAGGTAGCGGGCAGTCGGGGGACCGCTGTGGCTGCTTGGTTTTGTGCCAGTATGGCCTGCCACCGTGTCCATAAGAGGTCGAATGCTGCCGCTATGCGGTCCTCCTGAGGGTTCAAGCTTGCCAGCTGCGCTGAGAGAGGTTGGACAAGTGGGGGCCTAGAAGCTCGGTCGGCAGCCGCCATCTTGGCCTCTGGGTATGTGCTGCTTGCAGTCCTGGGAGCTTGTGGGGTTCTGTAGCCTTGTGGAGTCTGGACCGGGATGACCTCCGCTGGTCCATGGAGGGGGGACAGTGGCCCTTAGTCGTCGAGGTGGCTAGTCGCGGCGGTGGGAGAGCGGCTGTCCTTCTCGCGCTCGCCTTGTGAGTAGGCTTCGATTGCCGTATCGGTGAAAGTAGCTTGTAGCGCCGTTTGTGGTGTACCATTCTGTTCTGCTTAATGTCCCCTTACGGTTGGTGGCCGTTGTGGCCCGATTAGTTGCTTTTGGAGCGTGAAAATTGCTTTTGAGTGTAGCTTATTGCAGGAGCTTGTGTGGTTCACGTCCTCCAGGCTCTGCGGTCAGGCCCCGCCCCCATTTTAAGTGTATTTTGATATCAATATATATATACAAAAAACAGAAAATAAGTTGATCCTATGGAAAGTCCCTGAGAGGACTGAAATGTTGATTTACGGATTTACATGTTTCAATAAAGGAATTCTTTTTATTGAAGACCGTGAGTGCAGCCAATATTTATGTTTTTCATATATATATAAATATTAATAATAAAATACAATTAATAAATATACTATTTTATATAATATAAGTTAATTAAAGCATGCTAATAATATATTATACATATATATTACATATATAATTTATTTCCAAGTGTATTTAGATATTAATATATGTATTAATATCAAAATACAGGAACAATGAAATTATATATGTAATATATATGTATAACATATTATTGGCATGTTTTAATTAACTTATATTATATATATATAAAACATGTATAATATATTATTAGAAACTTTCTTTCATTCTTTTTTTTTCACCTTCTGGAGACTGCCTGACAACTCAGACCGTCCCCCTGCAGGCAGAGCTGCAGAAAGCCATAACCAGGACAACAACACTGTAGCTGTTAGGGAATAGAGTTACGTATTCCAAATTAAACTCACGGCGAGGACTACACGGGCAGGATCCTTGCACCATAACTACTTCACCACGTTTTAATAAATGTCAGATTAAAAATATGAGAAATAAGGAAATAGTATCAATCATGACTTGGTTAAAAATAACCAAGTATGTGGGGGATGGATAACGTCAGTTAACGTCAGAAGTGATGTATCATTTAACCTGAGTGTGCAACAAAATATCTTGTATCCATAAATCGTGAGAAATAAAATGATCGTGGCTTACTTAAAGCAATCAAATAGAAATATTGGCTGTAATTGTAACTCTTACAATAAGACAGCTATCAGTATCCTGTGAAACATTAATCTCTTCCATTTTGTCCAGTCGGCAGCTCCAACTAAGGAGATCTGGAGCACCTCGTCCTCTCCACCAACTAAGACAACAGTGAATTCTAAGGCTTCTACACAGACATGTAAGTTGGCAGCTTGCAAGTCAGGGGACATCAAAAGGTTTCTGGCCAGTGTTTTCTGAACAGTATGCACACAATGACACACACAGACATAGTATACACACAATGACACACACACTCAGACACAGTATACACACAATGACACACACACTCAGACACAGAATACACACTATGACACATGCACACAGACATGGTGTACGCACAATACAACACACACATACATAGTATACACACAATGACACACACAGACATAGTATACACACAATGACACACACACTCAGACACAGTATACACACAATGACACACACACTCAGACACAGTATACACACTATGCCACATGCACACAGACGTGATGTACGCACAATAAAACACACACATACATTGTATACAAACAATGACACACACAGACATAGTATACACACAATGACACACACACTCAGACACGGTATACACACAATGACACACACACTCAGACACAGTATACACTATGACACACACACATACATAGTATATACATAATGACACACACACTCAGACACAGTATACACTATGACACACACACACACAGACATGGTATACACACAATGACACATACACGCACATACATAGTATACACACAATGACACACACAGACACAGTATACACTATGACACACACAGACACAGTATACACTATGACACACACACAGACATAGTATACACACAATGACACACACTCAGACACAGTATACACACAATGACACACACACACACATACATATATAGTATACACACAATGACACACACTCAGACACAGTATACACACACAGACACAGTATACACTATGACACACACACTCAGACACAGTATACACACAATGACAAACACAGACAGTATACACACTATGACACACGCATACAGAAATGGTTGACACAAAATTACACACACACACTTAGACACTGTATACACACAATAACACACACACAGTATACACAAAATGACACACTGCTATACACAATACCCACCATGACATAATATTACAAACACACTTAGACACAGCATACACACACTGTTACACACACACAGTGATTCACATACACACACAGTCAGACATGGTAAATACATTTGTAAGTATTTTTTTTTAGTGATTTAAGGAATTATCACCTTCAAAATGGTTTTCCTCTTGTGATGGCAGGTGCTGTAATGTCACAAATGTAAAATTAATTATGCAAATGAGAATACAAGTATTTTTTTTCCAATAAAGGTGGCAACACTAAGGTCAACTGATATGAAATATATTATATTACTGTCTGCCTATAAAGTCAGTTGATATACATTATATTATATTACAATCTATAATATCAGTTAATATGAGATTTGTTACAGTCTATTTGCTAAGTAGTTGTGAGATATATTTAATTTTAGTCTAAAATGGCGGCTGCATTTTATATATATAATATTACAGTCTATAATGGCAATTAATGTAGGATTTATTTTATTTCATTACATAAGATAAGGACAGTTGATAGGAGATATATTGCATTATAATCTATAAGGTAGACTCATATTGGATATTTTATAATACGCTGTAAGGACAGCTGATAACTGAGCTATATTCCATAGTTAATTATTATACCAGCTGGTATGATATAACAATTTATTGCTAAATATAATATGACGTCACCAGATGATATTCATTTAGATAAAGCGTTTTGCTGAAAACAATGCATTTTCCTCTCCTGAGATTTTCTCACGAGCACAAACAATACAGCTCCCGGTTACATATTAGTTAAACCACGTATGAAATAAACAGTTACACGTTAGCAGCTGACACTGGTCTGGACTGGTGTAAGATACAGGAGGTAGACCTTCTCTGAGAATTCAAGGAAGAGGAAGATATTTTCTGTTAACTATTGCACAATGGCAGAACTCCATATCATTAATATCATTTGAAATATTTATGATTAATGTTTGTAAGTGTTGCCTTATATATAAAATATGTTTTACTTGTATATAATTGCACTATCACATACTGGAGACACAGATGGTTTGATGGTTACAATGAATAGACCTGGGCCTATTACTGGAGCAGAGAGGGCAAATAGCTGTAGAGATAAGACTGGGCGAAATAAACCATTTTTCTTCAGGCCCCCATCCATCGTACAGTTGCCGAATGTATTAGCAACCATTCAACATTCCGGTTCCGGAACATTGTCATATAAATGTATAAAAATTCTCCAAGACAGTAAGTTTTAAGTTCGGCTAATTTGATCAAAAATTTGAAATTTACCTGAATTTTAGACAGTTTACACTTTAGTGAATAATTGTGGAAACTACGGTCATCAATAGCTTTGCAAGGCCCAGGGAGAAATCTATCCTTTCCTTCCATCCATTCATCCATCAACACATTCCATTCTTTCCTTCCAACCATCCATCCAACCATCCATTCCATCTTTTCCTTCTATCCATCATTCTATCTACCTATCTGACCACCTATTCCATCCTCTCCTTCCATCCATCCATTCTTCATCCAGCCATCTATTATTCATCAATCCATCCTTTCCTTCCATCAATCCATCCCATCCTTCATCCATTCATCCATCCATCCATCCATCCCATATTAATCCATCAATCCATTTATCCATCCATCAATCCATCCCATCCTTTCCTTCCATCCATCTATCCAACTACCCACCCCTTCCTTCCATCCATCCATCACATCCTTCATCCATCCATCCCTATTAATCCATCCATCAATCCATCCATTATTAATCATTATTAATCCATCAATCTATCCATCCATCAATCAATCAATCAATCCATCCCATCCTTCATCCATCCATTATTAATCCATCCATCCTTCACCCATCCATTAATAATCCATCCACCCATCCCATCCTTCATCCATCCATTATTAATCCATCCATCCTTCACCCATCCATTAATAATCCATCCACCCATCCCATCCTTCACCCATCCATTATTAATCCATCCATCCATCCATCCCATCCTTCACCCATCCATTATTAATCCACCCATCCCATCCTTCACCCATCCCATCCTTCACCCATCCATTATTAATCCATCCATCCCATCCATTATTAATCCATCCATCCCATCCATTATTAATCCATCCACCCATCCCATCCTTCACCCATCCATTATTAATCCATCCATCCATTATTAATCCATCCATCCCATCCTTCACCCATCCATTATTAATCCATCCACCCATCCCATCCTTCACCCATCCATTATTAATCCATCCATCCCATCCTTCACCCATCCATTATTAATCCATCCATCCCATCCATTATTAATCCATCCATCCCATCCATTATTAATCCATCCACCCATCCCATCCTTCATCCATCCATTATTAATCCATCCATCCTTCACCCATCCATTAATAATCCGTCCACCCATCCCATCCTTCACCCATCCATTATTAATCCATCCATCCATCGATCCCATCCTTCACCCATCCATTATTAATCCACCCATCCCATCCTTCACCCATCCATTATTAATCCATCCACCCATCCCATCCTTCACCCATCCATTATTAATCCATCCATCCCATCCATTATTAATCCATCCATCCATTATTAATCCATCCATCCCATCCTTCACCCATCCATTATTAATCCATCCACCCATCCCATCCTTCACCCATCCATTATTAATCCATCCATCCCATCCTTCACCCATCCATTATTAATCCATCCACCCATCCAATCCTTCACCCATCCATTATTAATCCATCCATCCCATCCTTCACCCATCCATTATTAATCCATTCACCCATCCCATCCTTCACCCATCCATTATTAATCCATCCATCCCATCCATCACCCATCCATTATTAATCCATCCATCCATCCCATCCATTATTAATCCATCCATCCACCCATCCCATCCTTCACCCATCCATTATTAATCCATCCATCCATCCATCCCATCCTTCACCCATCCATTATTAATCCATCCATCCCATCCTTCACCCATCCATTATTAATCCATCCACCCATCCCATCCTTCACCCATCCATTATTAATCCATCCATCCCATCCATCCCATCCATTATTAATCCATCCATCCCATCCATTATTAATCCATCCATCCACCCATCCCATCCTTCACCCATCCATTATTAATCCATCCATCCATCCATCCCATCCTTCACCCATCCATTATTAATCCACCCATCCCATCCTTCACCCATCCCATCCTTCACCCATCCATTATTAATCCATCCATCCCATCCATTATTAATCCATCCATCCCATCCATTATTAATCCATCCACCCATCCCATCCTTCACCCATCCATTATTAATCCATCCATCCATTATTAATCCATCCATCCCATCCTTCACCCATCCATTATTAATCCATCCACCCATCCCATCCTTCACCCATCCATTATTAATCCATCCATCCCATCCTTCACCCATCCATTATTAATCCATCCACCCATCCCATCCTTCACCCATCGATTATTAATCCATCCATCCCATCCATTATTAATCCATCCATCCCATCCATTATTAATCCATCCACCCATCCCATCCTTCACCCATCCATTATTAATCCATCCATCTATTATTAATCCATCCATCCCATCCTTCACCCATCCATTATTAATCCATCCACCCATCCCATCCTTCACCCATCCATTATTAATCCATCCATCCCATCCTTCACCCATCCATTATTAATCCATCCATCCATCCCATCCATTATTAATCCATCCATCCCATCCTTCACCCATCCATTATTAATCCATCCATCCATTATTAATCCATCCATCCCATGCATCCTTCACCCATCCATTATGAATCCATCCATCCATTATTAATCCATCCATCCCATCCTTCACCCATCTATTATTAATCCATCCATCCCATCCATTATTAATCCATCCACCCATCCCATCCTTCACCCATCCATTATTAATCCATCCATCCCATCCCATCCTTCACCCATCCATTATTAATCCATCCATCCATTATTAATCCATCCATCCATCCCATCCTTCACCCATCCATTATTAATCCATCCTTCACCCATCCATTATTAATCCATCCATCCCATCCATTATTAATCCATCCATCCCATCCCATCCTTCACCCATCCATTATTAATCCATCCTTCCCATCCCATCCTTCACCCATCCATTATTAATCCATCCATCCATTATTAATCCATCCATCCCATCCCATCCTTCACCCATCCATTATTAATCCATCCATCCCATCCCATCCTTCACCCATCCATTATTAATCCATCCATCCATCTCACCCATCCTTCACCCATCCATTATTAATCCATCCATCCATTATGAATCCATCCATCCATTATTAATCCATCCATCCATCCCATCCTTCACCGATCCATTATGAATCCATCCATCCATTCTGCATCCATCTATGCATGGGAAAGCGGTAAGAGAGTTGTGCATTGTAGGATTCAGTGAACACATCTATATCTGCCCTCTTGCACTAACCCATTCATGGACCTGTGAAGATCAGCAATCATAGGAGGCCAGGAAGGAATCATTAGTTTTAATATTTTCAAACTTTCATGAAGTAGCTCCCAGGAGCTTGGGCCCAAAGCAGAGAATCTTCTAAACCTTTCTACAGCTGGTTCTGGATAAAATGCAGACTGCAATCTACTTAGATCTGGGTGAGAATGGGCAAAAGAGAAGACCATCTTCCAAAAAAGATATATATATATAATTAGTTTGTCTATGTAAAGATGTTCAGATCAGTGATATGAAACTATCATTAACTAATCAATAAAAGTTTGAATGCAGGTGTTTTTAGAGGAGCCGAGTCAGATATATTGTTTATATGTAATTTCTATTGCATGTATCCAGAGTACAATGTGTCAAACTCTGGGCTTATTAGCTAAACAGCGAGTTCCGATAACTTTATAAAAATTTTACAAAATTAAGGCTCAGTTGTCCTGTTGGATAAAATCTGCATTCACTTGACCAGGGTATATTTCAAATCTTTGCAAGGTAAATTAGTAGTGATGGTTATTCACTAAAATTAGAATTTTCAGGAATTCTCTAAAAAGTTAAAAATCTAAATCCAAACCAGCAGAACTCAATCTGTCGATGACCACTTTGTCTTATAATTTTAAACTCTCCCAAAAAATTACAGTTTAGTTAATAATCCGTTGTGCTAGATTAAAATAAAAATTACAATATAATGTGACTAAAGTCACATTATTTTACAATATAATTCTCTTTAATATTACGTAATGACTAGTATTGCTGCCTAGAAATTGTAACTTGTAAGAGAAAATATCTTGTTTTTTAATTAATTATATGAACGGTTTCCCATTTTTTTCTCATTTCTCTGCAGACGATATAATGGTTCCCTCCAGCCTTATCATTCTTTCTATGTATCTTTTCAAGTAACTGGGCATCTACTCTCGGTAAGACGAAGTTCCAAAACACATGAACTGTATTCTCTACCTTTTCATTAGAAAAACACTATAAGCAAATGGCAAAAACTAGCTACATGGCAAGATACATCTACATTGCCCGCCAAGCAACCAAGAGGGCTGCAGGTCAAGCAAGACTACCCACAATGCACCATTTAAAATTCTGAGTGTGGGATTATAACTAGGCACTGGTGACCTGGACCCTCTAATACACAGGGGTATGGTGTGTAGGAGAAACCAGAGGAGATGATGAAAAGGCTGAGAACATGATAAATGTTAGAGAGGGCAGGAAAATATCAATCATTGGGGAAGAATTAATAATTTTATAAAGTTTTCTCTTCTAAAAATTGCTGCAGAAATGTAAAAGAAAAGAAGTCACCAATGGAATGTACCTGTTAATTTCTTGGGTTTCCATGGTGATTGCCCAACTGTTATCACAATAGGCGAGTTTAGACCAGAACACTTTGATGACTCTTTTTTCTCATTGTCTATTCTCTAGTTATTAAGAGGTCTTAACCTCAAACATATATTATCCCCAATCCAGACATATCAAGTCACAACGTTTGCAAATGTTCCTCCTGTTAAGCAATGTCTGGAGGACTGTTGTAAAGTTAGCATGAACGCATGTTGAAATGCTCCTTGGTTGCACTTGGCTGCTCCCATTCTCAGAAGTCTTTCAAAAACATCCCCTTCCAACCCTAACCTTACAATGTCCATAACCTTTTCCGTGTCACTGCAAAGATTTTCCGTATTTCAAATGCTGCACACTTACAGTGTAGATCATGAATGAATTGTGCCTTTTTTAGCTCAACATCTTTATGTCAGCATTGTAACTGTATACATGCTCCTGGTTATTGAGAAATCTAGACGATCCATCTACATTTTAGTTTTACTGGCCCATGTACTGATAAAGAGAGTTTGGGGAGTGAGACACAATCCCTTGCCCCTCTCTATAATTTAATTTAATTATTTTAAATGCTTCTGCAGAAACTGCATTACTTTCCAGCAAAAAATCTAATTAGTGCCTGTCATTCCAAAACACGTCATGAAATCCATACTTTGTAAATATTTATGAATCCATTGACTAAGTTGTCTTTTTTTTAATTTTTTTACCAGATTCTTCTCGTTACAAATTGCTGGAATACAGCAAGTTACAGCCAATCATGATTGCCTAATGAAAAACGTCAAACAAACTGGTTTCCTCTGTGTGAATGTAGCTCCAATACCCCTGGCGCACAATGACCTAAACACACGCCTTCTCTCACAGTCACAGTGGGATGGCGTTACATCGATCATTCTGACCTATTCTTCAGTAATATCCAAACCATGACTGCAGACCCATAGTTAAAGCATTTTGTTCAAAACTAAATAAGATGAAAGATTAATTCAGCGTTTGTATAATACTGAAACAGTTCTCTCTTGCAACTTAACAACCAAATTCGGTGTCATCCGGTCTCTCTCAAGTAAAACAGAGGGGTAGATGCAGCGCCTGAAGTGTCCTTAAAAGATTACGTAACGACAAAAGTAGAGAAAATAGAGGAACTGATAGTGTATGAAGTCTTTGTAGTGATGGATAAATGAAAATATTAGATGTGCACTTTGCTGGACCTGCTATCCAGCTCCGACTTTAGCTACTGAGCGGTATGATCCCCGTCTAAGGACATAGTGTAATTCTTATATTGCAGGTAAGGGTAGGTAGAGAGTCTCGCAGGCATAAAAGGAGAACAGAGTAAAAAAATATAGTGCAGTACTGTAAGTATAAAATTCCAGAGGTGTATATCTATATACCTACTTAATTTTGGAATCTTATACTCAAAATATTTGATACACTATCATTTCCTGTATTTTCTCTAATTTTAGTGTTACATAACCTTTTTACCCCTTAAGGACCAAACTTCTGGAATAAAAGGGAATCATGACATGTCACACATGTCATGTGTCCTTAAGGGGTTAAGGACACTTTGGGCTGCAGCTACCCCTATGTTTTATTTTGTTTAAAACAATCTTGTCTTTTTTTTCCCATAAAATCATTTGTTTCTTTTAATGGGACTGTCTAAGCACCATAACTACTACAGCATCCTATTACAAACAGTTTAATAATTACCTGACACCCTGGTACTCGTGGCCTGTTTTATTATGCTAAAGAGAAAGTTGGTGCTTCTACATTATCATACCGATGCATAAGAAACTCTGGACGTTATTCACTGGGTGAGATTGTTAGCTGAGGCTGACGCATGCGATATAATATTGAGTAAATTGAGTAAAGAGTAAAGCAAAATTATTGAAAACTTGCTTTACAGGTAACAGAAAGCTCAATCAAATACAATAACTATTGATACAAATATGTCCATTTAATACTTTATTGGGCAGCCCAGTGCAAGCAGGCAATCAGTGTGTATATGAGGTTCAGGTGTAGAGAAAGATAGACTCAACTCAACTACAATTTCTGTAATGCTTTGTCAGCTTAGGGAACCCTCCCCGTCATAGGGTGATATTGAGGAATGGCCAGGTTGCCCTGAAATCGCTTTCCGTTGCCTGAATCTTTTACAACGAAATGCGTTAAGCTGTTATTATTCAAGCAGAGAATTCACTTTTCTCTTGTATAATTGTGGCTTTGATACAATCCGATACACTGGTGCTTTAAGAATCGCTGTAGGTAGATCCTACTGTTGGTATTTATTTGGGCTGTGTGTATACCCCTCCGATCTTTGTGACTTTCTAATATTTATCTTTTAATTGGATATTTTAAATTTTTACACTCTATTTCTATTTCGATTCTATTTCTAGGCTGTGGGTGAATTTAGATTTTCACAATGTAATTATAATTCACAAGATATCGATAAAGTTAATTCTAAATATATATTTGGTGTCTTCATTTTGTCTTTTTTTTTACATTTTCTGTGCACAGTAATGTGTATTCAAATACAATATATATGACACGTTGATATACATTTTCATGTTTTATATATTTTCTATGGTCAATACAATAATAAAGGATCAATAACTTTAAACTTGCTAATAATTTTCAGTTTAATATTCGCTAAAAGACCATAATACCTGTGCAAAGGGCAGACATCTTATAACAGACACTACAAAAAAAACAAAACAAACATTGGGAGATTATTCTATTAGCTAGGCCTAAAAACATAGGCTCACCTTTTAAAATATTATAATATTAAAGAATTGCCCTGTCCGCCAGGAGGGATCTGGCAGTAACATGGTTGCAGGTCTTGGTACTGCCTGCCGGGGCTGTGATAGCAAAACAGACAATACATAAATTAAGGATAAATTGATGGTAAAAAAACAGATCCACCTGCATACAATAACATATGGGAACCATGGGAAAAATCTATTTAAATTATTACTAGGATTAATAGTTTTTTCGCAGCAGGACAACACTCTCGCTGCCATTTTGTTCTTCGTATGTGTAACTGTTGCAGTTTGAATAAGGCCTGTCCTGTTAATTTGAAAAATAGGTCGAGCCAGACACACATTATAAACAGATATTAATCGAATGTACTTCGCTGCTTGACCAACAAATAAAAGATTTTAGAAAGATTAACCACTTTACATATGCAGGATAGTTTATACATCAGTGAAGAAAAATAAAAGGTGTGCTATTCCTTTAAGAATATTTTTTTCGGATTCGAATTTTAATGTTATATATTAAGGTTTGTTTGGTTTTTAGAAAGAGTTAGTAACGCATGTTGATTTCCTGCAGCTGTTGGCGAGAAATCCAGCCACAGCTCCCCCTTCCACTGATATAAAAGTGTAAATATAAACACTTATGATGGGTTTAAAACACAATGACATGCGTTGAGTCTGTGTGTACGAGATAACTCTTAGTAAATGCTGCTCCCTCATCTCTTCCTGATGGATGGCAGGAGGGAGAGTGAGAGGTAGAGAGACAGAAAGAGACAAGTAGAGTCAAAGAGAAGGAGAGACAGACAAAGAACGGGAGAGAGAGAGGGAAAGATACAGACACAAAATGGGACAGAAGTAAGGACAGACAAAAAGCAGATTGCCAACGCTCCCTTTTTCTGTCTTTCTGTGTGTCAGGTCCGATAGACAGACGGTCAAACGGAGGGGCAGGGAGGACCGAGATATATAGGGTCTGAAAGGACAGACAGATATAAGGGTATAAAAGACAGATCAATACAGTAACCGACGCAGACAGGCAGATGAACAGAAAGAACAGACAGAGGAGAAGAAGTGACACGAACAGTGGAATGTTGCTCCAGGTCTTGCTGGCGCTCAGTGTAGGGGTCGCACATTGTGATGCTCAAGGTAAGTGTGAGTGGGCTTGAATATGTAGGTGTCTGACTGAGCAATGAATGGTGAAGACTTCGTTAAGCGGCTGAAAGTGTCTCTGAAAGTTCTACTGGTACCCGTCTGCTCAGACGTAATATACAAAGTCCTTCTAGCAGCGAGTGCGGCTGAGTGTACGCACGAGACGCCATATTAAGAAAACTGACACTAAAATTGTGAATTGTTTGGAATTAACCTGAGAATTTCACATTTAATGCCAGAATAGCTGATCTGAAACAGAAGACTCTGAGAACATTTCAATTCACAGTTTATAACTCTGGCAGTTTGCCCTGTAAAGGGGGACACTTTAACTAAAATCTCATATGTATGAGCCATCTTTGACATGCTTGCGGCACCGGGAATTGTGGGAGTTGCGCAATACCAGAAACATATAAAGTATCTTCAAGATAAATACATTACTTTTAAACATGATTACTGTTAGAGAAAGATCGGGTGCAACAAAATAAAAACCTCCAATTAAAATGCAGACATTTCATTTTAAAGAATACCGATACAATGACCTAATGACCAGAGGGAGATCAGGGAGAGATGGGTGAACACAAGCCGTTTCTGAAATGTTAATAAAGTTAAAGGGAGACACCAGGGCTGATTTACCAATTCTAGAGATCTGGGCTCTGAGGTCCCCAGCCATTCTCTGGGCTCCGATTGCTTTCACTTGGAGAATTATTAAGCATTGGTATGACATTGTTAGACACTCATTATTGTAGCCCTGTGTGGCTAAAGCCCAACTTAGTGGAAAGGGGCCTTGACAGGGCTAGGAGACGGGCATTAGGAAGAAGCTATATAGGGATTGGTGGTTTAGAGGCTGGGCTATATAAAAAGCAGCCATCTTAGGAAATTCACTTTTAACTTGCCTACCTGGCTGAGTTTGTCCCTCGCTCCCTCCAAGGTTTTAATTAGGGGTTGTCCCGTTCTGTCACAGCGGCGGGATAGTGAGCTGAAGGATAGGAAAAAGGCTCTCCCCTTTAGGATGGTTTTGGAAATGGTTAATACGGTTCTTGGTAATTTTAAAAGGTTTCAAGCCCGTCAGTGCCTCAGAACCCGGTGGGGTAGGGGTATCCGGGTATACCCTTACCATGGTTAATTAAAATGTTGGCACTTTCATTTCTGTTCATGTTGAAATACTGTTTTATATTATTTATTTATATATGGGTCATTGCCTTTTATATATAACTGTGAGCATACAGATGTGGTATGGCGGAGCAAGGCAATGACCTTATCAATGTTAATTTATTACTTTTATTAATAAAAGCTAATTTTGGACAATTATGACCCATATACCCTAGTGTCCGTGTTTTATTGAATTAGCTATGTGGGGGGTTTGTTCTGATTCCGCCTGCCCATATGGCAACTATGCACCTGTCAAGTCCATTATCCTTCTATAGGAGATGGGGTCATTCTTTGAGTCTTCAAGTAAAGGAGCTGATGGTAAAATATGTTTTTTATTTTTTATTTATGATCCTTTCCCTGTTGCATAGTTGGTCGCCAGCGTGCAGCAAAGAGGAAAAGCGATGGCAAACTGCAAATTCTGCAGGTTAAATATCTTCTATTAATGTTTAATACTACCCAACAGCTGGTAAAGTGTATTATAGCAGCGTATATACGAATTAAAGAACATCCAAATTAATATATTCCATATTCATGGATACAGGTGAAAGTTTGTATCTGTACATAAAAAACATTGATTCCCATCATCTTCAGTTATTCTGCTGATGTAATAAGGATTGGAACCTTAAAGGGACACTGCACTATCTAAACACAAAAATAAATATAAATTGCTGTTTAGTAGATATACCCCCAATAAAAACGTGTGCATTTCATTATGTATTTTTCATTGTTGTGTATCTAATAACAGCTTGCAAAAGCTGCAGATCGTTTAAAAGCCCTCCCCTTCTAACCACACCCACACTTACTGTGTCTGTCCAATCACAGACTTCCCAACTCAGGTAAATGAGAAGTCTTTGTAAGACAGGTACTCTGGGCAATTGCTATCTCTTGATTTTAGCTCCACTGAGCTAACCGAACCAGGAAGTTACAGGACCTGTTTCCTAACAGCCGGGGTTGTAACAAGGTTAATTTATAAAAAGTGTACATTTCTATTGAAACTTGCACTTTTGGTAAAATAAAAGGGCACACTTTTCATGCATAAAGCTCCTTAGGGCTAAAGTGCTTAGGGGTTCGAAGTTTCTTTTAGAATGCGTAGGGGAGAGGGGACAGAACATCCTGTTAAGACATTGTCTTCTTTGTGTTTGCTGCAATGTTTTGCATGTTTCAGCCTCTCATTCCCACTTGTATAATTATCTCAGCAGGATGTCTATCTTACCCAGAGCTGTCTCTGGAACTTGTAGAACACGGTGACGCCCTGCTATGCAGCTTTTGCCATAAGGACCTAATTGAACCCAAGAACGGTATCGTTTTCATCTGGAGATTAAATGGAAATAAGGTCAATAACAAAAGCAAACAGAAAGGCCGGTACCCCCTGGAACATAAATATAACAACAACGAACCGTGGATAGTGAGATGTGAACTGAAAAATTATTCTTATATCAATGCAGAGTATAACATGGAGCCAGCACAACTCAGACAGAGGAACTTGTATAAAGGTATCTGATAAGTAGCTATGAATCAGTTGTCAACCCCAACACACAGTGACACAAATAGGGGTGCTACGAGTCTGTCCCTCCCCCTTCAGGGTATCACAGTGACACACAGAGAAGTCGGAGTGGTTTTGGAGCCAGATGCGCAGTGGCTCACTCCCAGATTAAGCAGGTGTTTGCAAACAGTTTAAGGACCACTCATCAGAAAAGGTTTTTTGTTTTTTAAATTTATTTAAATAATAATTTATTTAAATAAAATATAAATTCAAAAGGAAATAAATTTGTCACCCCTTTTGTACAGGACAGGACAGTTCAGCCACATATATGCATAAGGTGGTGTGGCACTATAGGTGAGAGTTGGTCTCAGCTCACCAGCACCCTGGCAGGAGTGAACGAAGGATCTGCAGCCCCCCACAGTCCTAGAATCAGTATGTTTTTTGATACTAGTGTTTGAAAACCAACATTTAGTCTATATGGTCTTCCCTGCGTCTGTGCTGAGACTGAAATGGGGATGCTCATACAGACTAACTGGTTTTGTATATGGAAAAAGACTTTGTCATATATCAAAAGGTCGGAATGAGTACCTCTCTTTTTGTTTTTTTAACATATACTTTATTTAAAAAAAAAAAAACGTCTTTCAAAAAAGGTTTAACCCGAAAGTTTGCCTCCAGCGGCGATCTGCAGGTCCCCGAAGTGGCATCTTCTGAATCTCAGTTACAGGAAGCGCGGAGTGTCGCCGCTGATTGACTAATTGCTCTAAACCAAACCGTAGCTCCCCATTGATTTAAAAAAAAAAAAAGATCTTAAAGTAGAAGGATATTGTCACGATTCGAATATACACACACTATATTGGATCGCCAGTGATAGAGACACCAAACATTTAAAAACACATGGAATTTGTAATTTTCTTTATACTGAAGGGTTTACTAAGGTATAAATAAATTATTCACAAAATGATTACTTATAATAACTTGAAAACATTGAAATATTTTCCCCACACACAAATAACTGACTAATAATATTTTGGAATTGATTCCTTAATGCCACTTAAAGTTTAAGATGGTGTTCATCATTGTGGCTAGGGCCATCTTTCCCCAGGGGCATCATTTGATCTCCCCTACCAGCCCATGGAGAGACAGCCCTGTTTTATGGCTGTGGGCCCTCTCGGGCTGGTGAGGAGATCAGAGATCTCCCTCACCCGCCCAAGGGCCCTTTGATCGGGTAGAGAGGACCCGGACGAAGGGGGAGTGACCTTGGAGGAAGATCACTCCTTGCGCAAGCAGGCTGTGTGGAGCATTGCCATGCACTGCCATGTCAACGCTCCACATAGCATTCTGCGCGCAGGAGGAGTGAAGATAGCCTGCAGCCAGAGGAACTGCAGGCTAAACAGAACTCACCAACGGACCACCAGGGCTGGCTGTGTCCCCCTCCTCCACCAAAGGTAAGAAGAAGGGTGAGGGGTACATAAATGTTTTATTAATCACAATTTATTTAAAAAAAAAAAAATCAACTATTTGCTCCCTGTACCCCTCACACTCTGCAACACACACACAACCCCTAACTGCAGTTTGGGTGTATTCAGCACTGTGTGTATGTGTTTGTATTCAGCAGTCTGGGTGTATTCAGTAGTCTCTGTGCGTGTATTCAGCGGATAGTGCGTATGTACTCAGCATTTATACATGCTGTCTTTTCAACAGTTTGTGTGCGCGTGTATTATGCAGTCTGTGACTATATTGAGCAGCCTGTGTATTCAGTAGTCTCGGTGTGTGTATTCAGCAGCCTGTGCGTATTCAGCAGTCTGTGTGTGTGGATTCAGCGGATTGTGCATATGTATTCAGCAGTCTGTCTGTGTGCCCATGTAGTTGGCAGTCTGTGGCTATATTCAGCAGTCTGTCTGTGTGCCCGTGTATTCGGCAGTCTGTGCCTATACCCAGCAGTCTGTGCCTATATTCAGCAGTCTCTGTGTACCCGTGTATTCGGCAGTCTGTGCCTATATTCAGCAGTCTCTGTGTATGTATGTATTGCATTTGTTAAAGGTACCAATAAATATAAGCTTAATTTAATAATTTTTATTCCTGTGAGGAGTTGTCTAGGCAGAGCCCCAGTGCACTGCTTTTCCCGGAGGCCCATAATGTGGTTAAGATGGCACTGATTATAACCACATTATAAACGGTCTACATTCAGTAGAGATCATCATTATGGCCACATTATAACGTTCTGCATACAGTAGAGATCATCATTATGGAAAATATAAGTGGGATTCAAATGAATGCAGGGTTGTAAAACTTGAATAGTCAAGGCAGGCATTAAATCTAAATTAAAATCAAGTAAGAATCAGAGAACAGAGAAAACGTCTTCAAACAGTCACATTCTACCGGACACCTTCACATAAACAGCTTTCTTAGGGCAGTGTAGGTCGTTCCATAGAACAATACTTTGTATCTCTGTGTATAATTCCTCCATATATGAAGTGGTATCGAGAAATCAATGCCCAGTGAGGGAGGAGATTGTAGAATGAAACTTACAGTAAGGGGGTAAGGGAGAATTATTTTTTTCCCCTCGTTATAGAGAAGAAAACAAACAAACAATATCATGCCTATAGCTTAGTGATTTAAGGTAAAGCAGGCTCTTATGGTATCAGGAAGAGGTTACTGAATGTGGCTGAAATTCTTGAAGGATGTAGAACCAGAGGAGACGGAATGCTACATTGCACTGCAACACCCATCATCACCAGTACACAGCTAGCTGGTGGACACGGTGTGGGCTGTGATTTTCTAGATGGAGAGCGTAAGTGGATCCACTTAATTCAATCTACTTTTTTATAACCTCTTCTCGCTAATCTCTAGAACAGGGCTGGCAAACTGACTTGCAGATGTTACTGGATATCTCCCTTAATTATTTGTCAATCTTTTGCATTCAAAAAGGTTTTGGAAGTGTAGTCCATTAACCAGCTGTTTTTAGCTGGAGTTTGACATCCCTGCCCTTGATTGTTTTCAGACCTGTATATGCTGCTCATTTTCCCATTTTGCCCCCTTTTTCCCTAATTATCTCAGCAGGGTGTACATCATACCCTTTGCTGTCTCTGGAACTCACAAAACAAGGCTCACTCGGCACCCTGCTGTGCAGTTTTTGCCACAAGGACTTCATTCAACCCAAGAGGGACTTCAATTTCATCTGGAAGTTAAATGGAAGCAGTGTCGGTAACGGAGCCAGACAGAAAGACAGATTCGTCCTGGACCTCACCAACCAAAACAACTATGGACAATGGACTTGTGAACTGGAGTATAACTCTCGTATCAGAGCACAGTATGACCTGGGACCTCCTATAGGAGAGCTGGATAAAGATATAGGTATGTGACAAAAGCTACAAGGCTCTTTAACAAAACGTCCATTCTGGGGTGACAGTGACATTGACAGAAGGGATAAAAAGTCTGACCCTCCCCTGCATTGTGACAGTTAGAAGGGGATACAAGTCAAAATTTACCCTGACAGACTGGGTGCTATAAGTTTGTCCCTTCCCATTTAGGTGACCCACGCTGACAGGAACTGTATGTTTATTTTTACAGCGAGCAATACAATTCCACACAGAATTCTAGTATCAATTATCACAGTAATCGTGTTAATTCTTCTCCTCATTGTCATCATCGCCACTGCCACTGCATGCTACATGATGGAACAAAGCAGGTAATTTTCCAGCCAGGTATTTGTGTTATAACGGTTTGTTCTCTGCACAAACTGCAACTGATCTTCGCTCTCTCTTTTCAGAAAGAAATCAGCTCACAAGCGAAAAAGCAGAGGTAATCCCCTTGTTGAATACTTCCCCATTTTATTTTTAATTTGTTTATCATTTCTGTCAGCTCCTCCCTTTGCCTGGCCATAATTATCTTGGTTTGAGCCTCTACCTGTTCCATTTGTATTCTACTTATTTTGAAATTCACTCTTGCAGCTGCTGTTAATCACTAAGCTGAGAATTGACCAGATAATTGCAAGTTTTAGGCAAGGCAAACCGAAAAAGAGTTCCAATGCAGAGATATATATACCTTTTTTTTTTTTTTTTAATCCAGCCAGGTATTTTGTTCTAATCCACTGGTTAATGTCAGACAACTCCCCAGTTATGGAATAAAATATATATGTATATCAGCCCAATCTGTGCATGGATGACACTGAGTGAGATCAACCAGTTATGTTCCATGTTAATAGCTGAAGCCCTTATGCCAACACATTCATTAGAAGGGAGAAATGAATTCATAGTTGGTTATGCACTAAAACAATAGTAGTGAATTGAGAACCCAACTGCAAATTTTAGTCTGCAAAAGCTGAAGAGTTTTTCAAAACATGTTTAGTAAATAAAAAAACATTAAAATAATTTAGTAGTACTGGTGTACAATATAAGTACAGCCTAAAACTTGCTCCCTGGACATTAGGATAGGTCTGAGCAATACCTGTACACACCTGTTCCCAGTGAAGATGGGTGAAAGCAAGTGTGGTGAAGGTTTCATTTTCATGGCTTTGTATTACAGAGAAACGGTCCAGCACTGGTTCGTTAAAAGAGACTTTACATTTAGAAACCCTTAAGCATGACATGAAAATGGTAAGTAACTGCAGCTTTAAAGAGGTGGCCCCACCGGTAACTTTCAAACTGATCCCCATTTCTAGAGTACATGTGGCTCAATTAGCAACACCAACAGTGGACATAAGGTGGCTCTGTAGCTCCTGAAGGCTGCCATGCATCATGGTAGAACTGGTACAGGTGACTTCCAGTTCACTACACAAAGTGATCATATATACAAAATAAAAAGCACCAGAAGTTGAGGAAAATAATTCTAAATAAAAGAAGTCTTATACATATAAATCAGACATTCAACTTATCCATAGGAATCTCTTGAAGATCAGAGGATAGCTGCCTAATGCGCTTAATAACCCCATGTTACTTACTCCTAAACCAGAACGCAAGCCAACTGGAAATAGAGGTTTCAACCATAAAGCTTTGAGGGTTTTATTTTTTATGTTCTATCCATAATAAATTGTTTACTATATTGGTATTATAGGTTTACTACATTAGATTACCGGCACAAGTTCCTGGTTTGTGTTTCAGTCATCGTGTGTAGGGATAATGGTACTCACAGAGCTCCAGCTGTGGTTTCTTATTTGGTTTACAATTTCAATGAGAGTGTAAAACATCCATGTTTTGTCCTCAAATTACATTGACTAACAGATAACCTTTGAAAGGGGGGGCTACCTTCATGCCAGGGTCCTCATCAAGAGCCGTTAGGCACCACAGGAGGATGGTATTGGCGTTAGTCCATGTAAGGGGATCCTGGTTTGAATGCCTTTATGATGAGATTAACCCATTTTCTCTGATGGACATGGGTAGCAAGGCACCAGCAAGCGCACACTCTGAAACCAGTACCAGCTCTATGGAATTCACATACTTTTAATTTTCTTTTCCATTTACTCAGGACGAGGATAATGTTTCCTACGTTGAGCTACAGTTGGGACCAAAGCAGCCCTCCCGAAACCTTGCAACTCCCCGTTCAACCATCTACGCCTCGATTATGTGATTCCGCAGGTTTTATCAGTAATGCAGACACCGTATCCTGACTTCTCAAAGTTATTGGTTGGTACAGGGATTTTTGGCCAGCTCCTTTAACTCCGTTTACATGAAATCACATGAGTTCTCTCTTCTCTAAGTTTATCCACCAACAGCTTATGTCCATTTACTAGTGAGAAGCACTATGTTCTGGCCAAGAAAACAAAGCAAAATGGCGGATGCGAAAAACATGTCTGAATGTATATATGCACAATTAAACTATTTCCCTAACTCATAGGAAAAAACAACCATTACCCTCACATTATCGTGCGTAAAACTAAGCTATATGCTGTCATTTTAGGCAAGTGTGCTGATCGGTGATTGACAGGTGGAGGGACCATAGTTAAGATCTATATATTTGTTAACGTACAGACGAATGTGTCACTTGAGAAGGAAAAGTACATTTTATGTTAATAAAAAGTAAAAACATTAAAAAAACCTTCACAAAACTTGTTCTTGAAGCTCTTTAATTATAAACGCAGAGGAATATAAAAACACAATCGTTCTGTTTCCAGTATATTATAGATGGGGGAATGAAAGAGTGGAGGTATAAAAGTAGGGGGGAATCTCTTTTGGAAATCCCTACCATTGTGCAAGCGCCATTTTCTTGTGTATGAAGCAATCTGCATCTCAGGAAAAGGCTTTCAGCTGTGACCGTGAATCATGTTGTGAAGCCGTTCTGCATTTCATATACAAAGACAAAGCCACAATTCTGAACGGAAACCACCGAAATGTGGAAAGAAAAAAGGTGCAGGCACAGATAATTGAGTGGAGATATTTAAGGTGGAGTAATTACAAAACATTAAAAAGAAGATCAGACAGAAATCCAAGATCGATGAGAAGATTCCGAGGAAATGGCAAAGTCTAATGAAACCTAAAAATATTGAACAATGGAAGCTCAGCTCTGTGTAAAAAGAACAGAGTTGGGGCATAATGGAGTCTGTGTGATATGATGCGTTAAAGGGGCTTTAACATTTTAGCACCAAAAAGACTTTGAAATTAAGCACTGTTAAATGTGCTCCCATTAACTGACCACAGTGCAAGAGGCTGAGTGTTTATGAGTGGAAAAGAAAGTTTAAACCGAAATTTAATAAAAAGGACCGTTAAAAAAAGTGACTGGTGGTTTTTAGGGGATATACTGGAAACTACATCAAAATGTTGTAAACGGGGACACTGATCATACGGCAGAGATTATAAGAGGAATTTGTTTATATTCTGGTAAAATCGATCACAGCTCAAATAAGCGGGGCATCACTTATCAGAAATGGCACCAGCTGGAGGGGGTAACTGATCACTCCTAAACACTCAGAACAGCCAAAACTCCAGGCTGTTGGGAGAGACTGGGCTTGTGCAAAAACAATTCAAGACTTTTCAAAACAAAACATCCCCAACTTTTTTGAGGGGGGAGAGAAAATAAAAAGTAACTATAGCCAGAAAATACTGAACTCTACAGGCAGCGTTCACTGTAGAAACGTGTGCACTTAATAAGCACATTGTGTGTAATGTGTATGTACACGCACGTACGGTATAAAAAGAACGCATGTATCTCCGTTTAATGCACTTAATATATCTAAACTTTGAGCTCTATTTAAGCACATTGAGAGGGAGTGAGTGTACATACACACTCACACGGAGGAAAGCTGTCCATCTATGCAGGTCTCCCTTGGCCTGGCCGATATGTTGAGTTTATATCTCCACTTTGCGGCTTATTAGTATAGAGCAGGCTGTCAGACAGCCCCCAATCTTGGACACCTCTGAACAGGAAGCAGGGACCAGGGTGTAATCTGTGAGCTTCTGGAAGACCTATGATAGAGGAGGATTAAGGTAAATTAGAGCAAATGGACACGTTCTCCTGCATAGATTTGTCACAAGCTGTATTCACTACAATTCACTGTATTGAATAAACACCATTACCATTGTAAGCTACTTCATGCCATCCCACAAGGCAGAGGGAATATACAGAACTGCAAAATTTAGCAATTTGGACAGAAATTTTCCAGTTACCTATAATCAACGTGCAACTATTTTACCTTGAATTATACAGCAAAATTTTCCACAAATTACTACTTAGTGAGTTAATCCTAAAGTGTGTTAATGACATTAGTAACTAAAAGTGAATGGTAATGTGAAGGCTTAAATTAGCCAGAAGAATATAGTTTGAGAATGATTCCAGTTTATCCATTTCTTATGAGAAGCATCTGGATGCACACTTGGCAATTGCTGCATATGTGCATCAGTGAAGCATTGGATTTGTCACTGGAGAGATGATACAAGACGATACTGCCAGAGGCAGAGAGGCTGGCGGTGCCAAAGGAGCCTGGGTGCTTGAGTACAGGTTTTTACTGCAAACGTGTAACTAGGGCATTTATTGTTTCACGCAACATAACTAATGGGGCACCTCAACCACATTATGTTATTAACCTGTCATACTGGTAAATATATACAAACATTATGTAAGCTTTGGCTGCTATGCCATCAGCACAGATCTAAACTACTAATAGTTATTGAAGGAGATCTGCATTCATTTAGAACAATCCTATAACTCCCAGTGGAAAATGTCCAGCAAAACTACACATTGCAGGATTGTTTCAATGTGCACTCAACCCTGGCTGCTAGTTTTAGTAGGACAACCTATACATTTAAAGGGACACTAAGCACCATAAACACTACAGCGGAGTGCGTTATTACAGCTTATTGTAACTGTTAAGGTAAATGGTACAAATTTACCATGTTTTTTCCCCCAATCATAAGATCTTCCTCAAAATCAGGAAGTCATTGGGACGGAAAAGTTGCTCATTTATATTGGGTACTGTGGTGTGCTTCACCCTTAAGATAATACCATTATGCTGGAGTTATTGTATGTGGGTGTACTCCTCTGATGAGCGGCGGATCTCTCCTCTGTCACAGCACCAATAGGACTATCGATGCAGGGTTATAAAGCTTTGATTTGACAAAGTTACCAAATACTGCACAATATTTACATATTGATAATTCGCACTTATTTGAGGAGTATGTTATGCTCGGTACCTGGACGCTGTTTGGGTACTCGTCAGCACTGCGATGGATTAGGACATTCGTTTTGGTGCCCACTCGAGCGTAAATGCAGTTAGCAGCAGGATCGTCCGGTACAGTGAGGGTCTCATAATGATGATCTGTCAGCTGCTCCATCACCTGACAAAGACAGATAGCGGGTTTTAGAAAACACTATCAAAAACCACTCTGAAACAAAGGCAAGATGATTCTCTCTCCCCTCTTCCATCTCTCCATCCACCACCCCCCCCCCCCTTTACAAATATTAGAACTTGCCCTAAAGTGGGATGTGGAACAGATATTATGGAATCCTCTCAAAAAAGGTCTTACCTTAAGTGCTTTCTTCGCAGTGTCACTGCTTCCTATGACTAAGGTGTCCGGGCCCCCCATACTGCAGAAACTTTTAAGATGCAAATCACCCGGAACTGGGACAGTAGAGACAGCATAATCCTAGAAGGAAAGGCAAAGCAGAGGGAACACAGACAATTCAAGGCAAAAAGAAGATAAGACAGGTGTGAGCTCAGAGCAGAGACCTCCAGATAGAGCATTTTGGGGGTGGGATTAAGAAGCAGAGCATTGTGGGTCGCTAGCATGATAGGTTCTAATACCTGGTAGGTTTTCGCCACCATTTCTGCTCCTCTGAGATTGGTCCATTTAGATAAACCCACAAATATCTCCGTCCCTGCAAAATAAAAGGAGAGATTACACTACCTTCAGTACAAGAACGAAAGCCAAGTACAAACTCATACAACTCATACAAGACAGTAATTTTACGAACTTCTAGGAACGTACCATAAGAAAAACAACCAGTGAGACATGTTTACAGAGCCTGGTACTGCTAGGTAGGATTGGCACAGTTACAGACAGGGACAAGCACCTATTGGAAAGGAATCTAGGGAGGTGAACCGGAATATTCATAAAAGACCAGCCCAGCTAGGGTATGCAGTTCACATAAAAGGATAAATCCAGGAGACTCCAGGTACGGCACAAAGACCAACAAAGAAAAATAATGTACAGCTAGCCTTGGCAGTTCTAACAGTACCTCTATATAACTCTTTTGGGGGAGAACACAGGACAGCCCAATATCTCTGGCACTACCACTAGATGTGTTTGGACCAGACCTGGATTAGCACTCACCTGTGAAAAGAATATCACTGGCATCTATTGTGGCGTTCTCATCTGTGATTTCAAAAACCCTGAATTTCAATTCTTCGAACAGCTTCTGCAAGCCTTCAGTCTGACAGAGAAGAGAAACATACAGATGCTGTTATTTAATCTTTTTTCATGCACAGATGGTAGATTATGGATGTAACCCACATGCAGGGAATGCAAGAGAAAGCATGGGATCACCTCTTTCCTTCTAGCCGGTATCCATGGCCGAGTGATGAGAGCTGTATCCGCAATCACTACCGCCGTGTCACCAGTCAGTTGCCCTCTTGGCAGGTCCTCATTAGGTGGAATCTCCACTACCTGCAAGCCCAGCTTCTGCCTCAGAATGCCACAGTACACACCACTCTCCCTTTGTGCTCTTGCCAGTTCGATCTTCCCATCCGCCTCCTGTGCCAGGGAGGAGGGCACACCCCTGACCACGGCATGGGTGTAGCGCCCAGTCATTGCTAATGCCCCAAGAAGGGGTGAGAAAGAAAATGCTAAACTCACACAGGTGCTACTGAGAGAACAATCCTTTCTACCTGCTTGCTACTGTATCCCTCTCCCCCTCTGTTAAATCTCCTCTTCTCCAGAACTCTGGTTTGTTTCCTGCATTCACTTCCTGGGAAGAGAAAATTAATTTTCAGAATATTTACATAGAACAAGACGCAGCTGTGTGTATACGTGCCATAGAGCTACAAGAAAGAGGACACGCTATAGAGTAAGACAACACAGAACTGGCATTTGGCTTCCCGTAATATATAGGGCTCAATTTAAGATTCTGGTACTTGCTAACAAATAGTTTCAAAATGCTGCTCCCTAATACACAAGTATGTCCCGTCTAGACCCTTGCGCACTACCGAAGACCTACGTCTATCCTCTGTGCGTACTCCCACCTCTGATGCTCACCATCAAGACTTCTGTAGGGCTGCACTGTTGCTGTGGAACTCCCTTCCCTTCTCCATTAGACTGCTTTTCAGTGGTTTAACACGGTCAAGGTCCCTGGGGTCTATGTGCAGTGATTCACTTGAAAGTTTAACCCCACTGGCAGAGTCACTGGGTTGTCATGACGTAACCCGGAACTAGAGTTCTGGGCTGGCTAATGCCAATTCTGTGCAATTTTAGCTGCACATGATATCGGTCATTGGCTGTGAGTGGACAGCTGACACTCAACCAGTGAATGGAGAGTGCTGTGGTGTCTACTGGGATCTGATGATCTAGTGAAGCTAGAGACACCGGTATTAGGTAGGGGGGGGCCACATCATTGCTAAATAGGTTTCCCCATTACAAGAGGACTGGGCCAGGGTACTACTGGCATCATAACCACTACAGCAGGCTTTAGAGGTTATGCTTTGAGCGACCCTTTAATCTACATATTGGCAAGAGAACAAACTAAGTCCCTGTTCAAACAAACTTACAGGCTTAGTCACCTCTTGTCTGTTAATATTCTGCATGTCAGTTATCCCCATTCTAGAATTGTAAAGCACCGAGAAATACATTGGCACTATATAAATGCCAATAATACTTCCAGATACATTTGTTAAACATAATGGATAAGTAAACTGAATCCTAAAATCCTGAGAAGAAACTGTCCTCTGTAGTTTTAACACCCAAAAACCTATTTATTAATTATTTTTTAAATAGTACACAGACTTTCAAAAAGAACCAGTCTACGCACACATTGCCATGAATGGTGTCCATGTGGCACTGTGAGACCTGCGGGGAAGGAGTAGGCCTATCAGTAATGCTGTACATTGTTATGGATCCTGTAAAGGGGTTTTCTGGATTGACATTATCTTGGGTTCATTGCTAAACTCAGATGCCATGTACAGGAAGCGGTGTCCCGGGGATGAATGGGGCTTCTCTGCAGCAAGCAAGGGGTTACAGGGCTCTTTGATCCATTAACACTAAATGCTTGTGATCAATGCATTATTGAAGGGGTTAAAGGTCACATATGGACATTTTGATTAATCAATAAAAGTAGCCTTTTAACAGAGACAGAAGACTGTCACTACAAAGTGACTGATAGAGTGCCTCATGTGCAGCAGATGTGAATGTGGGGAGATGCCTCTGGGTGTCTTGGTGCCACGGCCAATAGACTCAATGACTGTCTATCAAAAGACAAGAGACAGCTAATATATGGGGGTCTCTTCCCAACTCAGACACTTTTTTTTTTTTAAATACCATCTTCCAGGTACCGAGCATAACGACTCCCCACTTCAAATAGACCCCCATGACAGACATTCCCAACTGTAAACAGACCACCTGGCTGACAATTCTCCCCCCTGTGCAAACAGACCCCCATCACAGAGAGAATCCCTGACAGACCACCCCCACGGAGACAGACCCTTTAGCAGACCCCTTCTCTCCACTGGAAACAGACCCCCCAGACAGACTCCCCACCCATCACAGACCACCTCACCGCTGATAGACCCCCTAACATCCACAACTGTAAACATACCCCCAGACAGACTCTTTCTCCCCCCCCCCCCGACTGCCAATGAAGCCCCCCCAACAGGTTTATCCTCCCACAGTCACTTTGAGACACCTCACACAGGCACTCACTGATTATACACTCACAAGGCGCCCCCAGGCTGACAGGCACCCCAACAGGCCCAAAGGCTGACAGACACCCCAACAGAGCCCCAGGCGGCAGACACCCCAACAGAGCCCCAAGAGCTGACAGACACTAACAAGAGCCGCCCCAAGGCACGGCAGACACCCCAACAGAGCCCACCCCAGAGCTGACAGACAGCCAGCAGAGCCCCAAGGCGGCAGACAAGCCAGCAGAGCCCCAAGGCGGCAGGAACCGCCAAGCAGAGCCCCAAGGCTGACAGACACCCCAGCAGAGCCCCAGCGCTTCCCCAGGCTGTCAGGCCCCTATGGGGAGCCCCCCCTCCCCAGAGCTGACAGGCACCCCAGCAAGGCCCTCCCAGAGCTGACAGGCACCCCAGCAGAGCCCCTCCCAGAGTGACAGGCACCCCAACAGAGCCCCCCCCCTCCCCCAACAGAGCCCCCTCCCCAGGCTGACAGGCACCCCAACAGAGCTGACAGACACCCCAACCAAGGCCCCAGGCGGCAGGCACCCCAGCAGAGCCCCTCACCCCAGACATCCCAACAGGCCCCCTCCCCCAGGCTGACAGGCACCCCAGCAAGAGCCCCCCTCCCCAGGCTGACAGACACCCCAACAGAGCCCCCCTCCCCCAGGCTGACAGACACCCCAACAGAGCCCCTCCCCAGGCTCACAGACACCCCAACAGAGCCCCCCAGAGCTCACAGACACCCCAACAGAGCCCCCCCAGGCTCACAGACACCCCAACAGAGCCCCCCAGGCTCACAGGTACCCCAACAGAGCCCCCCAGAGCTCACAGACACCCCAACAAGGCCCAGAGCCCATTGAACTACCCCAACAGGGCCCCAGGCTCACAGACACCCCAACAGGCCCCCCAGGCTGACAGGCGCTAGCAAGGCCCCCAGGCCTGACAGACACCCCAACAGAGCCCCCAAGGCTGCAGACACCCCAACAGAGTCCCAGGCTCACAGACACCCCAACAGAGCCCCAGAGCTCACAGACACCCCCAACAGAGCCCCCAGAGCTCACGGGGCTGACTAGAGCCCCCAGTCACAGACACTATGAGCCCCGGGCTCACAGACACCCCAACAGAGCCCCAGGAGCTCACAGACACCCCAGCAGAGCCCCCCAGAGCTCTGGACACCCCAGAGCCCAGGGCTCACAGACACTTTAACAGGGGCCCCAAGAGGCTGAGCCCAGACACTTCCCAAGCAGGGGCCCCAGAGGCTCCACGGGCCACCCCAAACAGGCCCCCAGGCTCACAGACACCCCAACAGAGCCCCCAGGCTGACCAGACACCCCAGCAGAGCCCCCAGGCTCACAGACGCCCCAACAGAGCCCCCAGGCTGACAGACACCCCAAGCAAGGCCCCAGCCTTCCCCCCCAGGCGACAGACACCCCAGCAGGCCCCAGAGCTGACGGACACCCCAACAGGCCCCCTTCCCCAGGCTGACAGACACCCCAACAGAGGCCCCCAGGCTGACAGACACCCCAGCAGGCCCCCTTCCCCAGGCTGACAGACACCCCAACAGGCCCCCCCTTCCCCAGGCTGACAGACACCCCAACAGAGCCCCCCAGGCTGACCAGACACTGACAGAGCCCCCCAGAGCTCCACAGACACCCAACCCAAGACCCCTTCCCCAGGCTGACAGACACCCCCCCTCTCCTCGAGCAGACACCCCAACAGAACCCCCCCCTCTCCTCGAGCAGACACCAGAGAGATCCCTTAATACATCCCCCCAATATGGGAGACATTTTTATCCATGGGGTGACACTGTTTTCAAGAGACAGCCTAATGCAGGGAGCTAGACACACCCTGAATCAGGAGACGGCATAATACATTGATTTATGGAGAGACAGACGCCCAGAATGAGAGACATCCTGCAATATAGACAGATGGAGACATGCAGGGAATTAGACAGCTGCCAGAGACAGACTGCCAGCCACACAATGCCAGGGGAAGGAATGAGACAGTCAGGGAGAGCTGGGCCTGCAGAGAGACAGCCAGAGAGGAGGGAGACACTCACCGCAGGGAGGAGAGGGACAGCCACGTGACAGCTCCTTGTCCCCAAACCGCAGAGAGCCAGGGGTCACTGAGACCTTCCCTACAGCCCCCCTATCCCAGCCTTCATCCCCCTCCCTCCATCATCAGCATCATCATCATCCTCCCTCCCCCTTATCTTCACCACTCCTCCATCAATCCAGGGAGTGCTCCCAATACAGAGAGAGACCTCCTCCATCAATCCAGGGAGTGCTCCCAATACAGAGAGAAACCTCCTCCATCAATCCAGGGAGTGCTCCCAATACAGGGAGAGACCTCCTCCATCAATCCAGGGAGTGCTCCCAATACAGAGAGACACACCACCTCCCAATAAACAGGGAGTGCTCCAATACAGAGAGAGACCACCTCCCAATACACAGAGTGCTCCCAATACAGAGAGAGAGACCTCCTCCATCAATCCAGGGAGTGCTCCCAATACAGAGAGAGAGACCTCCATCAATCCAGGGAGTGCTCCCAATACAGAGAGAGAGACCTCCTCCATCAATCCAGGGAGTGCACCCAATACAGAGAGAGACCTCCTCCATCAATCCAGGGAGTGCTCCCAATACAGAGAGAGAGACCTCCATCAATCCAGGGAGTGCTCCCAATACACAGAGAGAGACCTCCTCCATCAATCCAGGGAGTGCACCCAATACAGAGAGAGACCTCCTCCATCAATCCAGGGAGTGCTCCCAATACAGAGAGAGAGACCTCCTCCATCAATCCAGGGAGTGCTCCCAATACAGAGAGAGAGACCTCCTCCATCAATCCAGGGAGTGCTCCCAATACAGAGAGACCTCCTCCATCAATCCAGAGACCTCCTCCATCAATCCAGGGAGTGCTCCCAATACACAGAGAGACCTCCATCAATCCAGGGAGTGCTCCCAATCCAGAGAGAGACCTCCATCAATCCAGGGAGTGCTCCCAATCCAGAGAGAGACCTCCATCAATCCAGGGAGTGCTCCCAATACAGAGAGAGACCTCCTCCATCAATCCAGGGAGTGCTCCCAATACAGAGAGACACCTCCTCCATCAATCCAGGGAGTGCTCCCAATACAGAGAGACACACCACCTCCCAATAAACAGGGAGTGCTCCAATACAGAGAGAGACCTCCTCCCAATACACAGAGTGCTCCCAATACAGAGAGAGAGACCACCTCCCAATACACAGAGTGCTCCCAATACAGAGAGAGACCACCTCCCAATACACAGAGTGCTCCCAATACAGAGAGAGACCACCTCCCAATACACAGAGTGCTCCCAATACAGAGAGAGACCACCTCCATGTACACAGGGGGTGCTCCCAATACAGAGAGTGCTCCCAATACAGAGAGACCACCTCCCAATACACAGAGTGCTCCCAATACAGAGAGAGAGACCACCTCCCAATACACAGAGTGCTCCCAATACAGAGAGAGAGACCACCTCCCAATACAGAGAGAGTGCTCCCAATACAGAGAGACCACCTCCCAATACCCAGAGACACCACCCCCTATTACACAGACACATCACCCCACATACAGGGATAGCACCCCCTAATACAGAGACACATCACCCCACATACAGGGATAGCACCCCTAATATACAGACACATCACCGCACATACAGGGTTACCACCCCCTAATATACACAGACACATCACCCCACATACAGGGATAGCACCCCCTAATACACAGACATCACCCCACATACAGGGATAGCACCCCCTAATACACAGACACATCACCCCACATACAGGGATAGCACCCCCTAATACACAGACACATCACCCCACATACAGGGTTACCACCCCCTAATATACACAGACACATCACCCCACATACAGGGATAGCACCCCCTAATACACAGACACATCACCCCACATACAGGGATAGCACCCCCTAATACACAGACACATCACCCCACATACAGGGATAGCACCCCCTAATACACAGACACATCACCCCACATACAGGGATACCACCCCCTAATACACAGACACATCACCCCACATACAGGGATAGCACCCCCTAATACACAGACACATCACCCCACATACAGGGATAGCACCCCCTAATACACAGACACATCACCCCACATACAGGGATAGCACCCCCTAATACACAGACACATCACCCCACATACAGGGATAGCACCCCCTAATACACAGACACATCACCCCACATACAGGGATACCACCCCCTAATACACAGACACATCACCGCACATACAGGGATACCACCCCCTAATATACAGACACATCACCGCACATACAGGGATAGCACCCCCTAATACAGACACATCACCCTTTTATACAGGGTTACCACCCCTAATACACAGACACATCACCCCACATACAGGGATAGCACCCCTAATACAGACACATCACCGCACATATACAGGGATAGCACCCTAATACACAGACACATCACCCACATACAGGGATAGCACCCCTAATACCTGAGACACATCACCCAGCCACAGGGATATACCCTAATACACAGACACATCACCCCACATACAGGGATAGCACCCCTAATACACAGACACATCACACCCCACATACAGGGATAGCACCCCTAATACACAGACACATCACCCACACATACAGGGATAGCACCCCTAATACACAGACACATCACCCACATACAGGGATAGCACCCCTAATACACAGACACATCACACCCACATACAGGGATAGCACCCCTAATACACAGACCTCACCCCACATAGGGTTACCACCCCCTAATATACACAGACACATCACCCCACATACAGGGATAGCACCCCCTAATACACAGACACATCACCCCACATACAGGGATACCACCCCCTAATATACAGACACATCACCGCACATACAGGGATACCACCCCCTAATATACAGACACATCACCGCACATACAGGGATAGCACTCCCTAATACACAGACACATCACCCCACATACAGGGATAGCACCCCCTAATACACAGACACATCACCCCACATACAGGGTTACCACCCCCTAATATACACAGACACATCACCCCACATACAGGGATAGCACCCCCTAATACACAGACACATCACCCCACATACAGGGATAGCACCCCCTAATACACAGACACATCACCCCACATACTGGGATACCACCCCCTAATACACAGACACATCACCCCACATACAGGGATACCACCCCCTAATACACAGACACATTACCGCACATACAGGGATACCACCCCCTAATACACAGACACATCACCCCACATACAGGGATAGCACCCCCTAATATACACACATATTACGGAGTGTTCTTAATACAGGGGTACCACCCCCTAATACATAGTCCTATCCTGATGGTGAGAGTGGTCAGACCCATCTTGTATCCGTGGACATATCTATTCATGCTGATAGAACAGGTTAGGGTTGTCTTGTAGTGTGGAGCATTCATATGCTACTAAAATTAAATTATTAAACCGAGGAGGATCCCTAAAGGAAATACTGTAGTTAATTTATAGAAACATAGAATGTGACGGCAGATAAGAACCATTCGGCCCAGCTAGTCTGCCCAATTTTCTAAATACTTTCATTAGTCCCTGGCCTTATCTTATAGTTAGGATAGCCTTATGCCTATCCCATGCATGCTTAAACTCCTTTACTGTGTTAACCTCTACCACTTCAGCTGGAAGGCTATTCCATGCATCCACTACCCTCTCGGTAAAGTAATACTTCCTGATATTATTTTTAAACCTTTGTCCCTCTAATTTAAGACTATGTCCTCTTGTTGTGGTAGCTTTTCTTCTTTTAAATATAGTCTCCTCTTTTACTGTGTTGATTCCCTTTATATATTTAAATGTTTCTATCATATCCCCCCTGTCTCGTCTTTCCTCCAAGCTATACATATTAAGATCCTTTAACCTTTCCTGGTAAGTTTTATCCCGCAATCCATGAACCAGTTTAGTAGCCCTTCTCTGAACCCTCTCTAAGGTATCAATATCCTTCTGAAGATACGGTCTCCAGTACTGTGTACAATACTCCAAGTGAGGTCTCACCAGTGTTCTGTACAATGGCATGAGCACTTCCCTCTTTCCCTCTTATCTCCTGCAGCAACACAGAACATACTAATGACCTGGAAATCAAGGTGGCTCTAGCAGCTCTGCTACTAAACATAAAGCCAGCACTGTTACTAAAACTCCCAATAGGGCCCCCTCCTAAAGAATAGGGGTCCATACCTTTCACTCTCTCCATATAGCTAGGCATGGTGACCTATCAGCTGTAAGAGCTGGCAAACTCCTGAGATCTGGGTGCCCTAACAGCCTGAGCTACCTGCTAGCACACCTATAATAACTCTGGCTCCTGATCAGGGAGGAGTTATTTATTATTAACCATTAAGTGTCATCTGCGAAGCTTAATAATGTGTATCTTTTACACACCATTTACCACTGGTATAACAGTGTGGACAATTCCAGAGTTTGATATTTAGCTAAATTGTTTTACTATGAAGAATAGACTGGACTTGGATTTTCAGTCAGTATTGTGTGGGGGCTTTATTGCAGTGAAACTTGTACACACAACCCATTATTGTTTGTTTTATTGTGATATACACACTGCACATTACTGTGAGTTTATAGCTGTGGCGCTCTGTGATATATGTAGAGACACTGCACATTACTGTGAGTTCTATAGCTATGGAGCTCTGTGATGTACGTAAACACACTGCACATTACTGTGAGTTTATACCTGTGGAGCTCTGTGATATAGGTAAAGACACAGCACATTACTGTGAGTTTATACCTGTGGAGCTCTGTGATATATGTAAAGACACAGCACATTACTGTGAGTTTATACCTGTGGAGCTCTGATATATACGTAGACACACTGCACATTACTGAGAGTTTATACCGGTGGAGCTCTGTGCTATACTTGGAGACACTGCACATTACTGTGAGTTTTATAGCTGTGGAGCTCTGTGATGTATGCATACACACTCCACATTACTGTGAGTTTATACCTATGGAGCTCTGTGATATATGTAGAGACACTGCACATTACTGTGAGTTTTATAGCTGTGGAGCTCTGTGATATACACACTTCACATTACTGTGAGTTTTATAGCTGTGGAGCTCTGTGATGTACGTAGACACACTGCACATTACTGTGAGTTTATACCTGTGAAGCTCTGTGATATACGTAAAGACACAGCACATTACTGTGAGTTTATACCTGTTGAGCTCTGTTATATACGTAGGCACACTGCACATTACTGTGAGTTTATACCTGTGGAGCTCTGTGCTATACTTGGAGACACTGCACATTACTGTGAGCTTTATAGCTGTGGAGCTCTGTGATATACACACTGCACATTACTGTGAGTTTTATAGCTGTGGAGCTCTGTGATGTACGCATACACACTGTACATTACGGTGAGTTTTATAGCTGTGGAGCTCTGTGATGTACGCATACACACTCCACATTACTGTGAGTTTATACCTATGGAGCTCTGTGATATGTAGAGACACTGCACATTACTGTGAGTTTATACCTATGGAGCTCTGTGATGTACGCATACACACTCCACATTACTGTGAGTTTATACCTATGGAGCTTTGTGATATATGTAGAGACACTGCACATTATTGTGAGTTTATACCTATGGAGCTTTATGATATGTAGAGACACTGCACATTATTGTGAGTTTATACCTATGGAGCTTTGTGATATATGCAGAGACACTGCACATTATTGTGAGTTTTATAGCTGGTGAAGCAGTTTTAAATGACAATAATAAATGTTTTTTTTTTTTTGTATAAACAAATTGTGTTATTATTGAAATGATTAATTATTAGACGCAGTTTCTGAAATATCAAATAAAGGATCCACTTATTCCCCATCGTTGTTTACTTGAATGCTGGAATGGTACAAAGCACACGGCTTGGCCAAATCTCACATAATAGACACACAAGGTTGTTTGTGGTCTTCGTAATGGCTGGTTTAAGCGTTACAGTGGTTTTAAAATCCCACATGGAGCGTGCGGCTCAGTTCTCAACGTTTATTGAATACAATTCTTGCCACGTTCTCCTCCATATTTATTAATAATCAATATATTGGATGATTAATGGCAATAATAGATATTTACAAAGGGTTGTGTAAATGAATTGCTGCAAATTAACCCCACGTGTTTCTTTTTAATTATTATTATTAGCATTTACATAGCGCCAACATATTCCAAAGCGCATTACAATTCTACAATTATAGAAAGGGGATACGCGCTGTCACACAAGCTTACAGTCTCTGAGGATTTGAGGTAGGTGGATATATTTATATTGTTGGGTGTGTTGATTAAGGACACTTACCGCTGAGGTCATGTGGTTTGGTACAAAAATAGTGAGCTGTGTAAATTCTAATTTGAATTCATAATGGAACTTATTTCGTGTTACTCCGTGGCATTTCTGAATGTAAAAGGTTAATTTGAAGTGTAATGATGGGCTATATTAAGAAGGCAGGATGCCCAGAGAGATTGTGGTGCAGCCATAACTTATCTTGCAGCCATTCCTATTGCACAACTTATCTGTCTACAGTGCACAGGACTTTATATAAAAACTGAATATATCTCCCGTCCACAGACGGCCCACGGTCCATCCTGTATGCCATATAAATAGACAATGGCATGTTCATTTCACTGTCTCATCCATTGGTGGTTTAGCACAAACAGCCCTTATTGTCTGACGTGTCTGTAACACAAATTACCAATGTTTTAGGAAGTCCCTCTTTTTATAAGCCTTGCTGTACTGTATCTTACAAGGTTTGTTCCAGGGACAGTTTGACAGCCAATGTTATATACAGCCAATGTCACATTAGAGCGTGTCACTGTGCAGTGGCGTACACACGATCCACGGGGCCCTGGTACGAAAATTGATCCTTAGCCCCCACCTCACCCCCCCTCTGGCGCTTACTCTGCGTGGGCCGGGGTCGCTACACATGGCGGCGGGCACCTGGTTGCAGGGCTGTTTCCCCTGCGACCGCGGTATGTACAAATACACATACACTTAAAGGACCACTATAGGAACTCAGATCACTTTAGCTCAATTAAGTGGTCTGGGTGCCAGGTCCCTCTAGTTTTAACCCTGCAGCTGAAAACATAGCAGTTTCAGAGAAACTGCTATGTGTCACTGAGGGTTAATCCAGCCTCTAGTAACTGTCTCACTGACTGCTGCTACAGGCGCTTCCGCGATTCTCACTGTGAAAATCACAGGAAGAAGATCCTGGACATGCCACGCATGTGCATTCAGAGCTGAGAGGCAGATCGGGGCGTAGAGATCCCCAGCGCC